ACACAAGCCCCCATGATAATTTTCAGCAAAACCTGGTGGTTTAGTCCTGTTGTACGTCGTTTTGGCTTGGGCTCATTGCCTCACACTTGCGTTGTTACACGAAACGAGAAGCATCAAACTCTGACAGCCAACACCTTACCTCACGAACCATTGCCAACTCACCCCCGTGCCCATGAGTCAGGTTTCAAGCCACTCTTGCGATAGACCGTGCGAGGCGTGCCCGTCTCAAGGTCGATGTCGCATTTCGTGAAAGACCACTGCGTGGACTCCATCGTCGCCGTCGTTGCCTGCTTTGGGGAGTTGTCGTTATCGGTGTTGGTGTTGGTGTTCTGGTTCTGGTTGATGGTGTTGGTGTCGGTGTTTGTTTGGTGTACTGGTTGTGGTTGGTGTCGTCATCGTCATCGCCATCGTGCCGATATCGTTGTTGTTGTTGTTGTTCTGGATGGCGCTGATGGTGTCGTCGTCGTTGTCGTGTTGGCGAGGGTGTCGTTTTCGTTCCATCGTTGTCGTGTTGCCGACATTGTTTGTTGTTTCTTGGGGCAATCAGTATTGGTAGACAAACGTTTCGGAATGGTGGCGTGTGTCCTACTCCTGGCTCTCTCTGTTGCGATGAGATCTTTCTTCGTCATGCAAAGCTACCCATGAGAGCCCGACCACTAGACTAACCTTCAGGAAGCCACCGAAATGCTTCTGTGAGTAGAGGAGAGACAGCGTCAAGCCCAGACCGTACTTGCCGGCGTTCTTCCCGGCCGCACCGCTCGACGACACATCTTTACTCCGTCGAAACCGGCGACAGGAAGAGTCCCAGGGGAAACATGGACGACAGGGTTAACAAAAATCCACGGGCAACGAAACCTCCACAAACGAGAGTGGGTAAAACAATCTTGCACGAATATCGGTTGATAACGCCTTTCCGAAAGCGTCACAAACACGCCTCTTCTCGGAACTTCAACAATGGTGGACATCAACCCGGTGTATCATGTATTTGTAGGTCCAACCGGTGCCACATTGTGTTTACCTGCATTTTTCCAAGCGCAAGGCGAAACTTGTGTCGTCGGATGCAAATATCCTCTTGTTTAGGGTCGGAACCGAACGGGTACCATTACCGGAACATAACAGTCCAAATTCAACAAAGAGGCCTGCTACGGGTATCTATGACCCTCCGCTCATGGCTACCGCAGGCTCGTCGTTTTCGCACAGACACCTGGCACACGAAAAAGGTCGACTTGTTGGCCGTGTCGGTCGTGCGCACGATCCTCGAACCAGCCCATTCACGGCTCTCTGCGTCCGCTGTACCTACGACGAGAGACAAACCTGGAGCGACCGGCGGTGTGTGTCCGGACTTGGTGGAAGAGAAGAGTCCAAGGGCCTTGGTAACGTCCGTCAACCCGGCGCCGTTGTCCGCAACCTGAAGTTCCAGAGGTTCTGTTGTACGGGGGGAAACCACGGGGATACCGGGGGGGGTCACAACGGCAAGTCGGAAATAGGACGATAAAACTCGACCATTTTTGTCACAAATATATATATTGTCGTCCTGGTCACCCGCAACCTATTGTTCCAGAGGTTCTGTGTCTTTGGAGTATGTGCAAGTAGAGGGGTACGAAGAACTATCTACGGCATATATACTGTTGTCTCGGCGACATATTAGATTTCTGTGTTCCGACAGAACATCATCACGTTCTATCGAGCAAGATGAGGTCAAACATTCATCACGGCAAAGCCCAAAAGGCTTCTTTGGGTCAAGCATGACATACCACCAACAACCCTATGATCATATCCAAACATCGCCAGCGGTTTCACACAGACCTTGTCCTTCTGCAGGTGCTCGGCATCGTCACACCGCGGCATCACCTCACCCATCGCAACGAAACGTCAACCAAATCGACGCTCACTCGGCAGACCAATCCCCGCGGAAAAGAAAGAAAACGCGCATGCATCACCTTCTTCCAGGTCGAGGTCCTCCCCTACCCCCTCGGCGACGGCTGCCCCTGCCGCTGCCCTACGGAGCACAACCCGCACCGTCGGGGCGTCTTGCTCTGAGGTCCGGCACCGGCAAGAGTCTATCGCGTTGTCGACCAACTCCTTGACCGTTTGCTTGATGATCGGTTGTGCCGCGACGACAGCGGTGTTGCAGGGGAGGCCGGAGAACGAACGTTAAAGAACGGAACTGGTGAAACGGAATGTGAAAAGATGACGGAAAAGTCATTAAGTTGCGGTCAAGAAAAGTGGTCCATTGAATTTGCGAGAGCGAAACGGGAAGAGAGGGGAAACGGAACGATCAAAACAGTTTTTCTTATTCTGTGCCATCTGCGCGATTCAGTGCAGTTCCTCCCAGGCTGGAGGGACACGGTCGCAAGATGCGGCGAACAAGGAAAGAGCCTGCGGTCAGGTCCTGCACCAGCAAGAAGACAAAGTCTGTGACGTTGTCCGTTACTCCTCGTAGGATGCCCTTGTGAGCATCGCGCGACAACGCAATAATAATGTGGAAGACGGAAAAACGGACAACATGAATCAGCAGTCAAGAGGAAGAAGAACAACAACAGAGGAAGGGTGGTATCGAGTAGGGATGGGAGGCTATTCGCTCGCCTGTCCACTTTCCCACGTCGATTGTGATGTTTCGGGAGGAGGAGTCTCCCAACTGTTAGTTTCACTCGTTCGTTCAGGACAACCTCGTACCACTCACTGACTAGGACAAAAAGGAATCCCTTGCTTTCATTTGACATGTGGGCGGCACGTGAACATCGTATCACTTGCCAGTATACCAGCTGGCATGTCTGGAGACCAACAACGATCCTTACCCTGCAATCATGCATATTATTCATTCGTGGGGGGGAGTGCAATTGAAGTCAGGCTGCTGTAGTGCGAGTAATTCAAAGCGCTTTCACCACCACTATAGCGGGCACCTAAAATAGTCAATGAATAAATATCTTCATTACAAATTAAATTTTGTGGTCCGTCTGTGCCAGCCAATGTTACCCGAACTACAGTATATCGGGCACCCGCCAAATTCAACCTGCACTAAAGCGGGCCCCTGTAGAGTGACCTCAGATACTGCGGCAAAAGTTGTTGCAGCATACACTGCTTTTGTCTGGTGTAGGCCATGAAGGTCCACATGCAGCTAACACCGTCAACGTCGCCAACAGCAGTGTCACATCCATTCTTGTTATTGTGACGTTGAAGGCGATCGACAGAGCAACGCGATGTCGCTGCAAGCCTTTCTTTGTTTGCTGAGAGTGAAACGCACCGTTCGTTACACGCACGACAGACAGTCCGACCGAGAGACCGGGTTGATTATTCTTACCCGAACGTGAGGACCAAACCATAGTACCTTGACACGGTGTTTTGCGTCTTAGATTGGTAGCTATGTTGCCGTCAGCCCATGTTGCACGATTCACGATCTCATGCCGAGGCCAACACGGCAGAGCAGCGTGTGTAGTGAAGAACAACAACAACAACAGAGTGGGACCATGCTTGGAAGAGGTTCTCGAGAAGGGCTCGAAAATCGATTGCTCTGAGAGAGTTGACTGGCAAGTCCACGCATTTCACACCACCTTACTACGCTTCCCAACACTACCGGCGTTAGCGTGCTCTTCGCCATTAGGGCTCACGCGCGCTCAGATCGCGTGTGTGTGTGTGTCGGTTGACTGGGAGCAGGAAACGGAACAGAGACAGAGATCGAGACAGAGGGGTCACCGTGCCCAACTCATGAGACATGATGGCAGCACCTTCTCGGCACCGCAACACGAAGCTATTTCATCTTGTATTGTTTTTATGCAGGGCTACAGTAGTGCCGTATGACCATCTCTCAAATCACTCCTTCATTGTATTACAGGCGCATGCATACAGTATGCATACCACAAGCGCTTCGCCAGTTGACCCAAAACCGGACAGCTCGAAATTTTGTCTAAAGTGATGCACCACGCTGCTGTTGCCTGTTGCTGACGACGACGACGATGATGATAGTGTGATGCCGTTGCTGCCGGCGAGGCTAGATGAGCGCTGCATTGCTGTGCTGGTAGTTGGTGCTGTGGATGAGAAACCCACTTGTATCGAGGGGGGGGTACACAGACAAGATTTGCCTTCATGCACCCACCCACCCTGTCTGGCTTCCAGGGGGTTGTTGGACGTGAGAGAGAGACGTTAGGAGCAGTGGGAGGTGGACCTTGTGCGTGATGCAGCACGAGAAGTAGATAAGACTATAGGAACGTAAATCTGAACAGCATTTCGGTGTGAGGCAGTGGGATTTGTGCTGCGAAGAGAATTTTGTGAGGAGCAGTTTCGGGCCTCCTCGAGTATGCCGCAGAAACGTTGTCTAAACGCCATATTGTATGTGCTCGACCCCGTTACGTTTTCGTTTGTACTTCTTGTGTTGATGAAGTGAAATGCCAACTGCATATGAGGTTCCTTTGCACGTCTCAAAACCACTGCGCTATGCGTGCGTGCCTCTGAGAGGATTTTGGGGTCGCTGGACGAGTCTGGGCGAATTTCCTCTCTCCCGCGCGTGCTGCGTCAACGCTTCACTTTTCACTCGCAACCGTCGATTCATATGCCCCCCAATGGCATAAGCGTGTGGTGGCGCTGACAAATGGGTGCAATGACGATGATGTGTTCCCCGTGCAAGTGATTGTCGTGACCTTTGCACGTGATCATCTTGGCAAACAACATGAATATGCCGAAAGGGTAAGAACAACATCTGCCGCAGCGTTGGAAATGAAACGGAGAGTGAATGTCTCACATAGAGATTGAATATCGCAGATAAATACCAACTTGGAGATTTTCACGTGGACAGAATTTATCTCGTTGGTGTCGTACAATGTATTTCGCAAAACGAGATCCGATCTTGACCTTCCGCTGGCGCTCATACTGCGACCAGGTTTCAACGAAAAGTGAATCATCACGCGTATGAAAACCCGTTTCGAAAACGAATGAGACAACTGTCTCAACCATACTCTCACATGCCCACACTCAACAAAAAACTAGCAATCTGAACCAAACCGATACTATCGTCGCTCGTCGCCATCTTCGCCATCCGCCCACTCATCAAACTCTTCCTCCTCCGCACTACTCCCATACCCTCCAGGGTCCCTCATACTATCCCGCCATCCTCCCTCAAACCCCTCCATATCAACAACATCGCCCCCGCTTGTACTACCAAACCCGGACTCTCGTACTTTCCCACCACCACCACCACCCTCGTCTTCCATCGGCTGTCTCTTCTTATTGCTCTGCCAACCATACTCTGGCTCCGAAGATGATGAGGACGATGAGGGATCAAAGCGGCCTCTACCCTTTCCTCCTGACCGGCGGCTGCCTCCGCCCCGTTTCTTGGGGACCGCTGTAAGCCCCGCTGCCACAGCATCCTTGAGGTTCCTAAGAGGTGGGGGGAGGGTTCGGTGCGTGAAGGATGGCCTAAATAGTTGGTGTGGAGGCGACTTTATATCACGCGAGCATGGGCACAAGGTCTGCGCGACAGAACAAGCAAGGAGAAGAGCGACGTGGTGTGAAATGGGGGAACAACAACTACATGTACAACAAGGACTACTACCACATACAGTACTACGAATGCTACTACTGCTACTACTGCTGCAACAATCACGGGCCGCTACAGTCTGCTACTGCCGCAAAGTCTGCAACTACTTTCTGCAACAAGGGCCACAACGGCAGACCAAAACAGCCAACTCACCTGCACTCAATGACTTCGATCGCGCCGCGTCGGCCGTCATTCCCTGCTTCCGACACCCCCGCAGCCACTCTAGCTTTGCCAGCCCTCCCACCCCCCCTTGACCTTGCGGAGCGATTCTTGCGCGTGAACGGGACCACTACTCTGGAAAATCCGAACGTCTCCGCTTCCTGGTGCATGGAAATCGGGGTCGCCGTAAAAGTCATCCAAGACGACAAGAATCAAACACCATAGGGGTCCTTTAAACATAGAGTCCGAGTTTCCAGCATCAATCAACTGCTCTGCGTCAACAGAGACACCAATGTACCAATACCAGAAGCTGCTGCTGATATCAATAACGTTTGCCCCAATACCACTGCTGAAGCATACTCCTTCAGAAGCCCCTTGTTGATTATCTGTACTTCTTAGGCGCCGTTTTCGAATTTTGTGGGGTTCTCCTGGCGGGCAGGCATATCGACCAGCACTCTGTCAGGGTTTCAACGAGGAACACCGCCACCTCTGATATCATGGCTGATAAACGTACGTAACGCGTCTGACAATCATAAAACGAAGCACTGCTATTCGGACCAAAGGACACGTGTGGTGCACTAGAGCAGTGGCGCGAACGTTTCACCTGGATTCGCCTGGGTAGTTGCTGCACTGGCCTGAGCTCTCCTCCGAGGCCGATCTCTCCGATGAAGCACGTGTCCTTTTACAATGTTACAGTAGTGTTACGGTGGCCGAGTATCAGTCTCTGGTTACTAGTGTGATGGCAAGGCAACTGACATAAATGTCAGACTACATTACCTCGGGCGAGTGAAATCTCGAAAGTCGACTGGACTATTTCGCTGCGTGTCTCGGGTATATTCTCCCCACCACCACGTACTCAAGAGTATGTTTTCCGTGCTCAGGAAACGACATGGTTTGGTTCTTTCGGCATCGCCCGAGAGTCACTGTCAATCTACTAAAGGTGAAAGGGTGCCTGTCACAAGCAACCCCCTTGCAAGCCGGTCATGTTTATGAAATACACAGCTTGTGAATCACCGGCGAGAAAACGACTGGAGATCAATGCCTCATCGCCGGGATTCACGAATTGTCGACAAGCAACTTGAACATAACTGACATGCACATGATAATCAATTCTTGGGAGTTGTGGTCGGTGAGAACAGCGGTGTTGTTGAGGTCGACTTGAAACTATAGTGCATTGGAAACAACAAGCGGCGGGATTTGAATGATCATCACAGTCCCGGGTGAGAGTTAAAGATGTGTGATGAGTGGACTTGCTCCAACTCCAAACGCTCCATCCATTCCATCTCTTCGATAAATCGAGGGAAGCTAGACGGGTTCTGGCTAAAATGGGGCGAAAACCCTTGGTGGTATGTACGTCTTGCCTCCAACCACGCGTCCCCAACTTGTCTTGCTTTTGCGCGCTACAGGACAGATTGAATTGACGTGATGCTTCACTCGCAACTGACACAAGTGCTTGGAACATTTCAACAGTTGTGGCTTCTTTGAGCGTTCGTAACAACTGCATTCGTGTGTGTCTTGAAAGGCGTGGTAACAAGGCATGAAGCTGGCTCCTGAGGTCCAATTGGATTCAGAAAAGGGATGCCTGGAAGACAACAAAAGTTTATCTCTCTACTATCCAACGGGGAGATCGTGATGTGACCCCGTACACTTCCACCCGTCCCTGGAACACAAGTTTTCTTACTCGAATGCGCTTCACTCAATACCTCCGAAAAATGGCAAAAACAAATTGTACCAGGTGAGCCCAAAGCAACCACTCAACGTCCGGGGATCAGTAAATTGGGACACAATAGAGACGGTACACGGAGGGCGGGCGAATGAAGCGAACAAGCCCATCCCCTCTCTATTCTCTCCCTCCGACTTACCGGTCGGACGGGGATGGTGGTGTAACTGCTCACAACGGCGAGGGCCACGGCCAGATCGGCAGCCGTCTCCTGCACCTTCAATCCCCCGACGATGTTCAAGTACACCTAACGGCGGCGCAGCATGAAAAAAAACGACATACGTCCCAGCAGATGCGGGCATTTCACCGTGGGGTGTCTCCATAGTTGTTGCAACGACAGTTTCTGTTGGCAATGAGCAAAGACAGGTAACGACAGGTGTTACAACGGATACTTGCCGGTTAAGAGTGCGCGAGCGATACGCGGCCTCAGAATCGATGCCTCGCGGAACTTTCGACTGAATAAGCATTCGACAACAACAATAACAGCAACAACAACAACAACAAGCTCACCTCGCGGGAGCTCATGTCGTAACCTAGCCTCTTCTGGAGAACGGCTAGCAGCAACAGCAGCCGCGGAATGGGCAAACCGTCTGACAAGAGGCAAGGCAACAAACACAGACCGCCAAAACGCAGCGCGGAGCAGCCAAACCCGGGGGAAGGGAGAAGAGGGAAGCGACAGAGAGAGAGGGAGAAAGAGTCAGACCCCGAGGTTCGAAAGGTAAGATACAGTACCGTGTGGAAGGACGGTTGTGTGACTGATCGCGTTGCTCCGCCTCCGGAGCCGCAGTCAGACCTTTGCTGATATCCACAAAGGCTGCTCTGTACCAAGTTGCTACTGCAATAGCACATACATGGCGCGGCCTAGCTGTTGGACACTAGCAAGCAGACGAAATTTACAAAGGTCAAAACAACTGGGGAGAAGGGCCGTTTTAGACGGAGCCCTTTCCTTCCAAATTTTGGAACGTGCCCAAATTTGAGAACTCGGCGAAGCCATTTTCGATCGCAAAACACATTTGAAAATTTTCAAAACCTTGGAAGCGACCGTCCCACATGTCTTGAGCCTCACTCGCTTTTCCACGTTTTGGGAATCTCGATTACTGCCAAATAGCCAAAGTTTGGGCAAAACAGCTGCGAGTAAAACGGGCCTACGAGAGCAAGGCCCAAAGATAGTGGGCCCGCTCGAAATTGTGCCACAGGCACCAACCAAGCGAAACGGTACAGGTTTTGTGGCACGCAATTCGCTGATTGGTAAGAAAACCTGCGGCGGAATATCAAAAACAGGCACGACCCAAGACCCTTGGGCGACGGGTGGTGTCCTGTGCCTGATCGAGCCATAAAATTAGCACAGCTCCACTGCCGTGGCGATGCATGCGCTTTACTTTACCGGAGGTGCGCCTCGGGGACGGTAGCCTGGTGTACGTGACCAGGGACTGCAGCTCGCAAAGGATGGGCCGGCTTCCTTCCATGTACACGCACACCGCTGACCCGTCCATGTGCTCTGCGTGCTGTGTGACGAGGCGGGAGCGAGTTCGAATTGGGGTTGATCGTTGGTTCATGATATGAATAGCAATGTCCTTGGTGTTGGTGTTGGTGTTGCTGCTGCTGCTGTTGTTATTGTAGCTGTTGTTTATTTTGTCGCCGAAAGCAAAGAGGAAATGTAAAAAAAAACAATATCGTCATTGTTGTTAATAGTGCCTGGACACGACGTAGAAAGACGATTGTAGTTAGGTATCGTTGTCGTCGCCGTTGTTACTGTCGCGGTTGCTGTTTGTTGGTAGCGATGGTGATGACCTTGGTATTGGTGTACAATTCATATTTCGTATACCTCCAAACACGTGCTTAGGAAAAACAAGTCAAACACAGACACAAGCGTGAACAACAAACAAAGACGTCAACAACAAACATCATAGGGTGCAAGCTGTTCGATAACCATGCATCCCGCGCAGCGACAATGGAAATTGAACGAAAAACACACACTAAAACCTACCAGGCTGTTGTTCCACACCTCACGAGGCTGGAGGTTATTAACTCCAGGGGAAGGGGGGGCTGATATACCACGTCACATGCTGTTCTATATCGAAAAGTAGCCTCACGTCGTCGTCATCGACATTTTTGTCGGAAAGGAAGAGCATGGAAGGGTCCGCCACATCGTCCAAACCGCCGGCCTCCATCTGAAACACCCCGATCTCGTTGCTGGGCCCGAAGCGGTTCTTCACGCTCCTCAGCAACCTGGTTCATGGTTCGCGTCTTAGCAAATATACATCAAACACAGAAAGACTACCCGTTCGAGATAAAACCACAGTGCAAGTCCAAGGGGATGGGTTGAAGTCTTAACAGTGAGTGGGACGAAAACTGGCCGAATACTGGCGATTTGTGGCCGTGTTTGGGCATCGAGAGAGTGAGACGCGACGGCGACGTGAAGTGCTTTTCGTACTCTCGGAAAAACAAAAAAAGGATTTTTGGGTCCCTGGTAGCAGTGAGTGAGTGGTCATACTCTTGGGGAAAAAACACAAAGCAAAGCACCCTTGTCCACTCTCTTCTCTCTCTCTTCTCTCTCTCTCTCTCTCCCTCTCCCTCTGTCTCTGTCTCGGTAGGTCTCGCATGTAATTCCAATTTACTCTAAAACCCTCATATGGTACATCCATCGAGCGTCGAAAATTGCGGGGGGCAGGGGTGGGGGACACAATCTTCCTTTTTACAACTCAGGGTACACCGTACGCTCCATGCACAACACACAAAAACTAGCAATCAATACCTGTAGGAGTTGAAGCGATCCCCCTCGAGGTAGAGGACCGTGTCAACCATGTGCTCCACCACCTTAGGACCGGCAATCGATCCCGACTTAGTCACGTGCCCTACGATAAACACGGTGATCCCGGAGCCCTTGGCTAGGCGGACGAGCCTGCTCGCGCACTCCTTCACCTGCCGGCACAGGTATGTAGATAACCGGCGCGGTCCGATCATCATTGTGCACTAAAACAGTTTGGCGCAGAGCTACCCCACCACCACCAATAGCAAAAACAACAACAACAACAACAACAACAACAACAACAACAACAACAACAACAACAACAACAGCGACAACGACAACGACAACAACAACAACAACAACAACAACAACAACAACAGCGACAAGGACAACGACAACAACAACAACAGCGACAACGACAACGACAACGACAACAACAGCGACAACGACAACGACAACGACAATAACCTGCGTGACGCTGCCAGGACTGGAGGTTGAGTCCTGCGTCCTCATGGTCTGGATGGAGTCCACCATCACCAGTGCCGGCTGAGGCTGCATGACCAACATCTGAAAGAGTCCAGCAAACACCGGGTAAAAGCAGCAGGTGTTAAACACCGAGCAGGGTTGTGTGTGTGTGCTTGTGAACCAAAGGGGCTTGTCGCAGGCTGGTGCTTTCCACACTACTGCTGTGACTCGCACTGTACAACTGGTGAAACTGGTGCAACACTAACAGCAGCGAAAGGATAACCAAGGTGGGTACACGGAGGTGCTGATATGAAACAAGAACAGGAAGGGCCGGGCCAGGGGCCTCAGAAACAGTAGACCAGGCAACCAACAATGAGCAACAGTAGTTGAATCGATGTACAACACACATCAAGGTTGCTGAAAAGTGTCTGAACCGCATCTATAGCTCGAGCCACCATCGACAGCGGCAACGACAACAAAAAAAACTCGCCTGGTCAATGATGACATCGATGTCCGTCTCACAGTACAGGAATAGGTCTACCCCGCCGATGCCCATCCTATGCAAAAAGAAAAAAAACACGCCAAGAAAAGGAGCAGACGATCAGTTCCACCGAATAGAGAGGCCGTACGTACGAGATTGGTGACAGCGGTCGGTGGAGCGTGGGACCCTAGGCAAAGTCAGCTAGCTCAACAGAGCAAAGCACGAAAGGGTGGAGGATCGCCATGAACGTCGAGGGATGCGCCCAACACAAAATGCTTCGGCTGAAAATATTACCGTGCGCACGACCACCATTGCAGCGACACAGAAATGTGTCCGTGCATTCGCTTTCGACGCGCCTGTCGTTTTTCTCTTCCAGACGCGCGCATTGGCAACAACGCACAAGCCAGGAGGCCGAGAGAGATGACAATTCTGGAGTTACGGTGAAAGAGTACCACATGATACGTATCTATATATGCATACGACAGGTTACAGATACCTTAGTATTTGTACAGTGTACAGAGGCAGCAAGCCAATGACGATATCGCCGTACCAACGTCACGCAACAAACTAGCCACTATCGAAATGTGGACACTCACCACCCTGCAACCGCGGCGCCGTGCGGCTGTATGTGGGGTGTAGAAGGCACTGCCGACACACGCCTCCTCTCATGCTTTCATTCATGCGGGTAGACAGTCGTGGTCCCGCTATAATGCCGGCAAGTGCAAGCCCCTTTGAACCGGCACTACTGCGGGCAACACCATTCAGAGTATGAAACAGCTTGAATACGCCATCTGTGTCACGCCGGCATTTGCAGGGCAACCGGTACTATAGCGGGTCCACTGCTGTACCGTCAGATAGGAACACGTGCACCCCTCTTCTCTTGCTCACCGCGCTGCCCTCGCCGCGACCTGCGAGTTGTTCTCTTCTCCGGAGATGTAGACTACGGTGCCCGCCCGACACCGCTCCGCTTCCGTCACGGGTGTGGCATCCTCTCCCGCCTCGCCGCCTGCTTCCTCCTGGAAACCTTCGTCGGCTTCCTCCTCCTCTTCGAACGCCGCCTCAAATGCGCTACCCCCGCCACATGCCGAGAATTGTTGCCGGTGGTGCATGTCCGAGAGACAGGCATGAGGCACCAGTCGTTTGGTATCAAGGTATCGTCAAAAAAGCCGTGTGCGATCGGGTGGTGTTGGTCCAAATACTGGCCCGTGTTAAACATACACTGTCATCCATCCCCATCCATTCTTGACCCTCATCAGATTTTTTTTTAGGGGAACAAGCCGGGGTTACACAGAAGGCAATCCTGGTTGGTCTGAACGGTAAAACAACACCCACCCAGCTTGCGAGGACGCCAACTGCCCCGCGAGCTGCAGCAGGAGCGTGGACTTCCCCACCCCGGGGTCCCCGCCAAGCATCACCATGCTTCCGGGCACGAGGCCGCCGCCGAGCACACGGGGGAGTTCCGTGCCAGGCAGCGGCATTCTTCCTTGCTTTTCGGCTGCGCCGATACGGGTATGCGACGGAGGTCGACCGCGCGCGGGGGGGGGGGTCACGCGGTCAGGAGCATGAGATCAGGGGTGGGGGGGGTTCTTCATGAACATGAATTCCCGAGCGTTTTCGACCGTACGACTTCGCATCCCCACAAAGTCGGGACCAATACATTGGGGTTTCGCCTACATGTACGAGGAGGCTCCTACTAAAGCACCCAGTGCGGAGAAGCGAGAGATTCTTGTTCGGCGAGCCGCGTTAAGGCTTGAGCAACATCTGCGGTAAAAAGAACCGCTCGTGAGGCGGACCTCGGAACCTTGTGCGTAATTTTCTTGCGCATGGATGGGGGCGTCCGACTGCTGGGCTTGTTTCCCGGTCTACACGTTCAACAACTAGCCTCGAGGCCGCCTGGCCTTGCATGCCCTTTGTGACAGTGTCACCCCCCCGTAACCGGGTTCTGAACCACGCCCCAACATTTGGACCATCCTCGACCATAATCGGCGATTACATGTCGTCAAAATCAACACGGCAACATCGATAAGGTCACGCAGATATGCCGTGGTTCGTTGCGGCGTCGTCAACGGACGCCTTCCCCGTTGGGGAGGGCGGGGGGCTGGAGGGGGAGGCCGCGCATCGACGATAAAAAAGCGTGCGCAATGGCAACATCGTGTATGACCGGGTGTACTGCTGCCTGCTCTCCCCCCTCCTGCTATCTCTACCCAAAACGTTGGTTCACAATCACCCCCCCCTCTCTGCTCTAGCTGGACTCACCGCGGCGAGCAAATTAAGAAAAAAAACTCACAACGACCAGATCAAGAGACACTAGCTGGCACGCGCTTCCAAACTTCACCCCAGGCGACCTTACGACTATATCGAAATACATGGTTGACGCTGCAAGACATAGTCCTAGCACGCTGTCTTTGCATACTGGTTTGAACCAGAATCCACAGACCACCGTTTGATGCGAGGTAAGGGTACCGTTGGCTGGCGAGCGCGCACTGGATACGTGCCGGGGCAGAAGGCGGCATCATCTTCCGACAAAGAGACCATTAATTCCACCAGTTTTTGACCAAGCGCGGCTGTGCAGCCCACTCAACATGCTGAGGCCGAGGCTTGTCTGGGGCGGGGCTGCCCCCCCTTATCCAGAGCAAAGTCGAGCGGATATTTCATCCACTGCCTTTGTGCAAGACTCTGCGCCACCTCTGCCCTTATCCTCATCACCGCCACAACAAACGCAGACACAAACCTTCGCCCACTTCCGAGAGGAGCGTGGGAGCGGCAAATCCTTCCTCGGGAAGCCACCCGGCACCCCCGCTCCCTCCGAAGGCACCGCCTCCCAGGCCGCTGAACTCCGGATCACCACCTGACGCCCCGCTTTTTGTTCGTTGAGCGTCATTGCGGTATGCAGCAACAATATGCCACGGGACGGAGCAGGGGGGGGGGGGAGTACTAGTTTCCATAAATCCATCAAGCAGCCAACTCTGCGACTAGAAACGGCGCCCCGTGCAGAAGGGGAGAAGACGACGAGGTTTTCGTTTTTATTATTTGGTGGTGGTACTGACAAGTGATGCAAGTGCACCGTTGGGTTGGGTTTGCGTGTTTCACGATGCAGATGCTTGCTGTACATGCATTCTATTGCGTGGATGGTGAGCCAAGGGATGGGTCGGACACATCAAAGCCGAAGTCTTTGTAGGTGTTGGCGTGTGTTTCTCTGTTTACGGCCGACCTATGGGGAATACGCAGAGAGGAATGAGGGGGGGTCACAATGACTATTCAGTGCACTACCCGGTTCAATTCCATCTCCAACGGTGTCATTGCTTCATCAACAGGATCAGCGCGGGATGCATAGAGGAACTAGCGACCACAAAATGAACACTAGCGTGAGCACACAGCAACAGAACAACAGCGGCGACAGCCACAAAAGCCGACAGCAGAGAAACGGCAACAACACACCAACAAGAACAACGACACAGCCACGAACTACGAAGGGTTTATTTCATTCAGCGAATCAAAGGTCTACTCTTGTCACACCGTCCCCCGCCGCGAGCTCCAGCGGTAACGCTAGCAGCCGCAGCCCGGGACACGCGCGAGGGGCTCGAACCTGCAAGACAAGACAGGACAAGACAACAATGGGAAACACGTACGCGTCGGAGAGCGAATAAAGAGTAAAGACGTTTCGTCAGTGCAGACCAAAACAAGCACCGTCATGTACGAAGCTCTTTCCGTGCTGCCGATTGTCTCGACAACGAGGGCGTTGAAAACAAGCAGCAGAGTGGTTCAAAACGCATCCAAATCTCCCCAACAACACACACTTGACGCATGCATATGAGGAAACACCTGCTGTGTTTTGTGTTGAATCGAGCTACTTCCCATGCCCCCCGCGGGCCTCGCACGCGGTCCTGCCGCAAGCCCACCCAAAGGCACCCAACGAGGGTTCCCATCACAATGCGAGCTGGGACTCCCCGTGCCTCCCCTCGTGTCGTCCACCCCCGTGCCCAGGGGATTCTCCTACCTTGCTCCCTGCGGACCTTGAAGGGTTTGACGCAATTCCACTCCTTGCACGTTGGGCAGCGGCCCACCCACTGCACGTGCTCCGACCCGCACACCTCGCAGACATACACCTGGAAAAAAAAAAAATCAGCGCCGAGCAAAGACGGTTACATGCGGAGAGATATAAAAGCGTGGCCGCGCCAACTATACCGCAGTGGTAGGTGTAAGGGGGACAGATACAGCGGGGTGTGTCGCACTCGCTCAAATAACACGGGAAATGAATCTAACGAAGGAAATATCGCAAGCCGATGCCGCGGGCAACAAACGTGCCGAGCAGGCTGAGGCACGCAAATCGGAAGGCACAGGCGCATGAAGAAGGCACAGTTACAATCTACTAGCGCCATTGGCGGTAGTAATTTCCCGAAACCTAGCGGCGTGTGCCTGTAAGCATTGTCGAGCGGCAAACGACCGAGAGCACATTCACAAAAGAAACACAACCAGATCCGAAACGTCTATCAAGCCAAAAAAAACATTTGTTTCCACTCACTATGGTGTGCGTCTTTTTGTTGCTGCCGAGAGCCTTCCTCGCGCTGGGTTGGCTCCTAGAGTTCAGCCCCCACGACACCATTCTTTGCCGGGGGGAGAAAGAGGGGGGGGGGGGGGTCGTCAGTATTGGTTGCCTTAGCCTTAGTGACGTGAAACATTGACCAACGCTACACCGCAGCAAATGGGGATGAAAGACCACAATTTCGCCCGAACGGAGTTGAAGTCTTCTCCTGATCATTCCCAATCTTGCCCCCGCATTTTTCGCAAACAAGCAGTGAGTTACCTGGGCTTGTGCACGGAGATCTCCTTCTTTGTCTCTTGTCTTTTTCCTTATTTGACGAAGGGGTAGCAGTGGAGTTAAAGCATCGTCTCCCACGCGGTTATGCGCGGCAAAAGCAGGTTGACGTGCTTGACATGTGCTTCAAGAGGTTCCTCTCTTCGCATGCAGCTTTCGGCAGAGTCCTGGTCAACGACCCTTGGTGACAATACCTGCGTACCGCCGCCTGACATCTTGCACACCCATGGTACAGCAGTACGCCACCGGAACGGCACCACTTTCTACGCTCGTATGGATTTCAACGGAGAGACATTGGCGCAGCATTTCCTTACTTGACGCATTCGGCTTTGCACCTTGGCATCGGAGTCCCAGCCTTGCCAGACCTCCTTTCTGGGACACTCTCATCGTCTTCTCCTTCATTCCAGCTGCCACCCGTGTCGCTGCTGCTCCGTTCATCCTCCCTGTACGCGTTGTTTAGGATTTGTTGTTGGTGTCGCTCATACAACAGTGCTACCTGTTGTCGGTCGTAGTCGGTATTGCTGTTGCCGACGACATCGCCGGTGTTGTACTCGCTTCTGATGCTGTATTCACATGATTGGCTGAAATTCAAAGGCTCGGTCTAGACGTAAAGCGCCCCGTGCGCCACGCGGCCTTGGGTAAACTCGTTGTGTAAGCATGATTCGACGAAGGGATCCAACCCCTCAGTATGCCATTATAGAATGGACGTTACAGCCTCGCGGGTGGCTCCAGTGTGGGCGGCAAAAATTACGTGGTTGTTTCAGGGGCAAAACTTACGTGGCTCCAGCGAGGACGCCATTGGAAACCCATTGACGTATGTGTTGGCAAAATAAATAACCGAGCGTGTGAGCGAAAGTTAAAAACTTGATTTTTGGAAGCGGGCTCACTTTTAGTGGGACACACGACGCGCATAGCTCCTACGCAAAAGGGGGTAACGGCGCATGATCGAGACCACTAGGTATCCGTGGGTGTAATACGTAGCGGTGAGAAAGGCTTGGCAACAAGAACGGAGAAAGAGCAATAGATGGAAGAGTTCCATCGACGGAAAGTAACGACAGGTAATTGAACAGGCAGGGAGAAGATATCAAACTGTAGTTAACCCTTTTGAGTCTTCAGGCGTTCTCACTGATCATTGATTGATCATTTGCAAATGCTGGTGTAGTGGCTAGTCGTGGAGTTGCCGCCCTGCAGCCCTTCGCGCCGTGTATTGGCAAGTCCATAGGTAGGTGTGTCTAGATTATTAGCACCCGCGCTAACCGGCTGACCAATGAAGAGACTTCAGTGACAGCGGGTAATATCAAGGTCTCGGGAATGGGAATGGGGCTAATCAATGCCAAATCATGAATCTCTCAACGTATGCACATGTCAATGAACGCGTGTGTGCATACATACATACATACATATGTGTTCTTTCGCAGCACCACGCATACACTCGCCCGAACGTAGGAAGCCACTGCTGCAAAGAGCAGAGGGCAGCAAAAGGGAGGGGTATTGCAATCCCTGCCGAAGCCCAGATATCGAGGATATCGTGGTTCCCAACAATTTGAAAATCGTTCCCAAGATCCAGCAGTCATTGTCAGCAGCTACAACGAACGCTACAACAACACTACTACTACTGCTGTAGACGAGTAAAACATATCAGCAACACATCCACACTCGTAGCGCCACACATACTACCCTCGCCCGAACCTAGGAAACCACGAGGTACAGGTGTGTGCTGGTGGATGTGCTTGTTGTTTGAAAAACACAGGAGCTCTAGAGAGCTGGCAGGGCACATTTCGGGGGGGCACAGAGAACAGAGAAGTACAGAAGTACAAATACCAGCTGGATCTTCACTGATCATTTGGCCCTCTCTGGACTGATCATTTACAATATACCGAAAATAGAATAGTTGAGGCAGCTAGACGACTGATCATTTCAAAGTCTACACAGCTAACCTGCCCTACTGACCGCAGCGCGACCACCCATCAACCCTTCTACGACCCTGTCTGTGGCCACCACCCTGTCGCCAGCTTCTCTCATGGCCTACAGGTGGAGATAGCTGTTGCGTGTGCAGAAGTACACTGGTGTCTTCCTCTGCACTTCTCTCTCTCCCGCTCGCTCTCGCTCTCATTTTGTTTTTTGGCGCAAAAACAAATCTGACAGTCCAGCCTAGACCCAAAGGGGTTAACCACGGGATGCCCGCGTTATTACTGGGTGGGCGCATTGTGAATGTTTGGCGCCGCTGGACCTCCCGGTTCACGTTGTGTCGAGGAATATACACATGATGCTGTATACCACACACACCCCTCCTCCCCACCTCGCCGATGTGCACGTGTCGCCCGATTATGATTTTAGTGTTACAAACACCAGCACCCTTTGTTCAAAGGCCTCCAAAACCTGTCGTTCATGGTACAGCGCAGAAAAAAACGCTACGACGGCCAATGTCCTACAGTACCTGTCTCGCCACCCCAAGATGTACGGGCATGAGTATCGTACAGTAGGACCAAGAGTAGAAGGCTGATCATGTTTCTGCGCAGCAGCTTTCAGCGTGTACACACGCCCACTGTCTCTCAGTCACTCAACCAGCGCTAGTGCTACAGAGCAGACCCCGAAGCGGCTTTTTCATACCCGTTCCACTCCTCTCATATCTACGCACACACATGACCTCCCGGCGCACCTCGGTCTCCTTGCCGACCGCGGGGTGATCGGCCGACCGTGTTTCTGCTGTTGATCCTCGAAGCAGATGCTCCGCCTCTGTTCCTGCCCGACACTGCAACCACCCACCGGAGTCACGAAGCACGGCAGAGGTCCGGTCCATGTCCCTCCAGCAAGAACAGCAGTAGAGGTGGTGTGGTGGCCCGGTGCCCGCAGCTGGCGGTTGCCTCGCTGTGCATCGGTCGCACCGGGCATGGATCTACGAAGAAGCCGGTTTGGTAGACCGCCCCGTGATGCTGGCCGCACTGCTGTCCCTCGAGTAGCACGACCTTGTGCATCGGTTGATGCCGTTGCAGCTGGTGATGGTGCTGTCTCTGCGGAGGCCAGCGGCGCCAGGCAAACAGCGGCAACGCCGAGAGCCGTCCACATTTTCAAAGTTTCAAATTATGTGTACTGCTCGCTCCTCGCCCTGCACTCCAGCACAGCACCTGCGGCTTGCAGAAGTCGTCGTTGGGCCACCCACAGGCCCACAGGGAGATAGCGAGAGAAAAAGGGAGGGATTCCCTCCACACCGAAGGCAAGAAGGCGCCTGTGAGGGGGTAGCGGTACCGGTACCGGTACTACAGCAGTACTGCTCTGGCCGCATTCAGCTCTCTGCGCGGCTGTGCTGCATGGCTTTGGAAGAGCAACAGCCACGGAGCCCCCATAACCTCACCTACCCCTACTATATTACGTCACAGCAGCTTTTGATTTGCCTCTTGCCGGCGCGGGAAGCAGACACAGAAGAGCAGACACAGAAAGGAGCCGAAAGAGGAGAGGATAGCTTGCAGTGCCGCAATACGGAGCGAGCTCTCAGGGTTCCTAACCGACCATGTTGTCAGAAGCAATCGAATGGCTTCGCTACATCGTGCTGCTCAAGTGGCCGTACTCCAGCGAGTTCTACCTCTTTTCGCTGGTGACGTCTGCGTGCGTGAAAGCACGTGGCAAAAGCACTAAGTGAGTGTATTGTGGAGAGGGAGAGAGCTACGGTAGGGTAAGCACACGATGTCCGCTGCTGGTGGAGCATGATAGCTCGGCAGAGAGGAGAACGCTATTGATGGCTCACCCGTGTATTTTTCCTGTAAGCATGGTCTCTCTGTCTCTCTTATCTGTCCCTCCTGAGGTAGCAAACGTCGTTGGCCGTCTGTTTTCGGTCCCTCTCTTACGTAATCGCCCAACTCCGTACCCCTGCTGTACCCCACACACACACTCGGTGCGCATGATGCACGTGATGCACGATAGCAAGCAGCGCGAGAGCCAGCATCCCCTTGTGGTCTGTTGGGGGCCTGTTGCCGACGATCAGGGACAGCCCTGTTTTGGGGGGTCGTGAGACATGAAAAATTGAAATGAATGAATATGAGATCCGAGGCAAGAGTACATGAATCGTAGGTGTTCGAACGAAGTACGTAGCGCGGGTGACCCCAGGTCGGCAAAAGGGTCAGGTACCAGGTACTCCAATGTCGATGCATGTGTCATACGACGGCGGGAAAACGAAACCTCCCCAAAGCAATTTAAGCAGCAACAGCAGTGAGCAAGCCGAGCGGCGGCGAGGTGTAGGTGCCCTCTCTAAATTTCATTGGCCGTTCGAAAGTAGCTTGTACATCGAAAACTCCCATGTTGCAGCGCTTTCGCTGCTACGCTACTGCTGTACAGCAGTAGCTGTTTATAGCTGTACACCCGCAGTATAGGAAGATGTGCGGTCGCATGCAGTTATTGTATGCATGTAGCATGGACCGCGTTAACCGGCTGAACAATGACAAGACGTCAGTCGCCGTCGAGATACCATGTCCCACACAGGCATCTATCTATTCCATGGTACACAACTGCTGTAGTGGATGCCATACGTGATCACACTGCTTCTGTGCCGCTGTTTCTACCTTTCCTTTGGCCTTGTTTCGCAATGAGGAGAGCTCCGATCGTGCGTCGCCTCGTCAAGAACTCCCTCCCCTACCGCAGTCCCTGCTTGCTTGTTTTTTGTTTCCCTACAGCAGCAGTAGGAAGGCTTCGGCCTTTACCTCGTGTTGTCTTGGACAATACACCAAACAATAACGGCACATCAGACAAACACGGCTGAAGCTCCTCCCCCCCATATGACATGGCGGTACATAGTGCTATGAGCAAGGATGTTCGCTTGGGTGGTGTTAAAACAAACCGGTTTGCACGCACAAAGAGAGCGAGCAAGCAGCGGCGTCAGTTTTTTTATGCCCGAAAGAACGGAGTTGCGGTGTTGTTTGGACCGCGTGACCGCACGCACGGATCGGTACGCTCAGTTGTTGTTTCGCCTCTGCCTTAGCCGAGAATCCTGTGCTCATACCGCGGAGTTTGCGGTTACCCGGGTCGGATCAAGTCTGAGTCATGGGTTTTCTTTCGGGGTGGTAAATAACTTGGTTGTTTTGGTTCCTCTTCCCGATCGATGACAGGTTCGAAGGGATGCTGCTGCCGATGTTCGTGCACACCCTCATGTGCACGACTGGTAGCGGCGTCGTTGGCCCCCTCCTCATGAGGGACCCGCCGTTGTTCCTGAACAACGACCTGCTGGTGACGTGCATCATGGTCTTCTTCCTGTTCTCCGTCGTCTTCGACCCGTACGTGGTCAACTTTATCAAAACGGTATGGGCCGGCTTAGTCTTGTTAATAGCACTACTTTAAGGTCGTATTTTTTTTTTGTACATCTATTACCAATCGTGACAAAATATCGAGTTGGTTGCGGATCTGATTTTCGCGCACGTGGTGTTGGCACTGTGTATTTTGTGGGTTGTTGCGGTCGTATTTTGTTAACATGGAGTGCGCTAACTGGCTACCCGACTGGCCAATGAAAAAATGTCAATCTTTTTGCGGCAGGATCGAAAAAAGCCCATCCGTTCAACTCTCACTCGTGTGTGTATTTGTGGTGTATTTTTGCTTCGTCTCTTCTTTTTGTTCAGCCACACCTGTGGAAGGCCATGGCTCTGCTGTCGACCACGAGCCGCATGAACAAGATCTGCTTCATCGTCGACTACGCCCTCACCAAGTTCCCCCCCAGCCCGTACTACCCTATCGCTTTGTTCGGACCCATCATGGTACGTGTTTTCGGAACACGTGGATATTAGCGCCAAAGTCAATCTACGTGCGTCCCCAGTACCCTTCCCCTAGTAGTTGAAATGCCGCTGCTTTTTCTGCTCGTGTTTCTGCAGCCTAATCTGTGGAAAGACTGGTACGCACTGATCTCATAATTGAAATACGGGTGCTTGCTGCTCTTTGTAGCCTGAATCCATGGAATGGAACTGATGAAAGATACATGTCACACCCATGAATCAGATCGGGCTTGCGCGTGGTATCGGCGGAAGCCTGGTTCCCGCCGACAAGGGTCTGTCGAGCATCAGCAAGGACCTGCCTTGGGCCGTTCAGCTCTGCTTCTCGGTGGCGACCTTCTACCACGTCGTCGCCAACGACACGTACATCCTAGGAGGGTGAGTGTATTGTTGGTATTATGTGTTTTTTGTGTGTTTTTCTTCACAAAGAGTGTTTTGGTGCTCGTGTGTTTGTGTGCGTATGTTTCTTTACGATAAGTGTTTTGGTGCTTGGTGTGTGTTTGTTCACAATGAGTGTTTTGTTTGTTTTGTGTGTTTCTTCACAATGAGCAAATTCGAACAGCTGACCAATGAAAAGACGTCAGAAAGTTGCCTGGGCGCAAAGGTCTTGAACTCTGTATAACCCCCCCAAGGGGTTAGTTTGCGAAGTGTCAAAGTGTGTGTCTGACTCAAACCGGAAGGATCTTTAGGCTTTATCCGGCTTTGTTTGGGATGTTGTCATGAGACCGACGGACACCAACGAAACCATTTATTGCGTGCGTCCACATGGTTTGCGGTGAGCAATCTTCTACAAGCATTCAGCCATAGCGCCCAAAAAAAGGATCCACAAAGGAGGCGTGTTTACTTTCACCGATGAACATGAATCGAACTGTGTATTACGTACGTCCAGGATGGTTCGCGGTGCCCTCGGCCTGGAGAACGCGACCCGGGAAGATATCCGCCTGATCGCGGTGACCTTCGGCGTTGTCGTGACCGTGATCCAGACGTACTACGCTCCCAAGTTCAACCCCTTCACGCCGGCACACCAGGCGAGTATGCTTGCCCTTGTCCTGCCCACCTTACCTGCGTTTGTGTCCTCCTTGGCCCCCACCCTAGCCTTGGCGGTTTGTTTTACTCGTGACATAAGGTGAGGGTCGAGCTTGCTTGCGTGGAGCCTTCGTAAGGACCACCGAGCTATTGTAGATGCCATTGCCCGTCAGCGTCTCGTCTATTGGTCGAGCGTGTGCGCTTGCTTTTGACCAGTCTGGGGATGAATTTCACCTTCGGCAATGGTGTTGTATCTTCCAGGCTCTCTACACCGTAACCGGCATGCCCAAGACGGCCATCACGATCGAGGTGCCCCGGAGCACTCCCTCCACCGACGCCGACAAGGCTAAGGACAACGGTGGCAACGGCGCCGAGGAGGCCAAGGACAAGGAAAAGAAGGAGGGGGAGGGGGGGGGGCTGTACGACCTCAAGACCCGCAAGAAAATCCAGTCATTTCTCGAGGTATGTATGATGTATCGGTTTGTGTGGGGCTGGCTAAGAGAAGAGAGGGTTTTGAGGAGATTGGGTGAGGGGCGCATTGCTGTTGTGTGAAGCGGGGGGGGGGATTGAGAGACGCGAACGTAGCATATGCGGTCCGATATTATGTCCAAGGCTACAACGGCGCGTGTAGATACAAACGAGGGACCGTTGTTTTAGTTCCGGAAACAGCAAGAGATCCAGCGGTACCGCGACAGATTGGCGTGGCATTGGGGTCTCGGAGAAGAGAAACAAGTCTCTATTGCGTGTTTCCGACTGAACCCCTGATCGTAGAGAGCCACGTTCGCGCAGGGAGGAGAAATAAGAACCACAAACCAAGGGCTTGGCGGGTGGAACAATCAGGGGCATGATGGGGGCAAGCGCCACAACGATAAGTTATGCGGAACAATATCACGGGCTGTCAGAACATTTGAATGCTGCGGGTGTCGAAATCAGCTGACAACCCTCCCCCCCACCTCGAACAGGCGCTCAAGCCGGTAGGCGTGGCTGCTGTGGCCGTCTTGGCGCTCTACTCCCGCCAACCCCCTTCGACCATCATCCCCGGGGTGGTCGTGAAGGCGGGCGGGTCGGGCCTGGCATCGTGCGCCTTCTTGCCTAAGGTGCTCAGCAACGGGTGCACCCCTCTTCGGGCTGCCGTGACGGAGACGGGGTCCCTTGTGGTCTACAGGGGCAAGGAGGTATGAATGGTCGTTGTTGTTTTTCATTTGATGTTGTTGATATTGTCGTTGTTTTTGTTTGATGTTGTTGTTGCTGTTGTGTGTTTGGTTCATTTACGACAACTCTGATGTGTTGGTATGCATATAGTTTTGTTTATTGAAGGGTGGAAGACACGGGAAGTTCGTGTTAGCAGGTTTTAACACGCGTAAGCTACAACTGGCGAAGGGAGACAGAAAGCAAATAGCCTCTCACCATATGACGGCCCTCCCTGATGCTGGCTACAGCAGTACCACGTATGCATAACCAGTTATATTTATTTAAGGGTGAAACAAAAAAAAGTGGTCACAGGTAGTAAAACGCATTAGCTACAACTGACAAAGGGAGACACAGAAAAGGCCTCTCGCCATGTTACGGCTCTGGTGTTTGCCATGCACATACTTTTACTTTATTTTAACGGGTGGAGGAAGACAAGAACGAATTCGTGGTCGCAGATTTTTTTTAGCCCGCGTAAGCTACAGCGGAGGCACAGCAAACAACCCCTTCACCATGCTCTTAAAACGGTGCTTGCTGCTGTCGTGTTCTTGTGGCTAACAGGTGCCCGTGTTGCCGGCCGCAAAGAAGAAGGTGGAGGGTGATGATGGCCCCGAGGTCCTTTGGTCCTCTCCCGCTCCCAAGAAATTGGCGGTAAGTTGATAGAATCTGTGGAAATTGTTTTTCGTATTTTGTGTGCACGTCGGAAGATTTTTGAGCTGTGTCCTTTGAAGGAAACATTTGACAGATTGGTAGCCTTGGTCAGGTATCATTGAAAGGGTCTTGCGGGAAAGGTTCAAAATATGCATGCCAATGTTGCGATGAGGTTACGGTCTCAGTGTTTTGGGGGGGGGGGGGGGGGGGGGTAGCGTTTGCCTCGATATGTAGACGTGTATCAACAGCGCTGGCCAAGACACAAGGACTAGGCGAAGGACGGCAATGTTACAGCAGAGATGGTTTGCTCACCTCCACCCGAAGTGGGTGACATGTCTCTGGCTATCTGGATGAGTTTTGGAATCTTATACTCGTGTTTCCCCGCCCAATACACGGATGCAGAGTCGCTTCATACTGCACGAAGTTCCCCCGACACGTGAAAAGTAGCATCAAGGGCACTAACCAGCAGCTGACCAATGAAAAAAGCAACCAGTCTTAAAGCAGCGTGTTGTTGTCCGTGAGCAGGCCGAGGATGAAGTCCAACTAGACCTGAGCGAGGACGGCATCCTGAGCGTGATGGCCGGCGACAAGAAGCTGTGGTCGAGCACCCTCACCACGCTCGGGAAGCGTCTCCCGAACTTCAGGTGCCTATCTACCTGCACCTGCGTAACCTCCCCCCTTCGGCTTTTTAGCACGTCGTGTGGCATACTTGGTGGAAGTACCACGGTTTTTGATGGGATTCTTGGCACCACCTAAACAGAGTCGCGAGCTATGTCCAGCAAACGTTTACGACTTGATCAGCAAACAGGGCAGACGAAAAGCAGGAAAGTACGAAAAAGTCACCGCCTTACTCATCCAGAGAGAGACTCCAAGCCAACGCACTCCCGTCAAATACGTCTTGCCCCTGCGGCATTATAGAGGTCCGGCCGTCGCCGCACGGATGGAAGAGGCGAAAGTTGAATGCAACGCGGGATGCTGGACCTTGTCAACACACGTTCATCACTTGTACCTTGTTGCGCTCAACTGGTATATAACACGCGCTCATGACTCGTCCGCTGCAGCGCGCACATTTAAGCACGCTGAATCGTGCTCGCGCTTGAAACGCAGGCGCTTGCCGCGGAGGTATTCTGAGCGCAGTAGATTCCAGGTTGACGCCCTTGAGTTGAGAGGAGAGTTCATGAAGACCGGAGGAGCGTAGTCGGAAAACGCCGGGCGATGGTAGAAGTTGGATTGCCGCACAAAGAACATGAGGTCACGACTTTTTGGCAACCCAGGCTTTGTGTGTTGTTCACTAATGACAGAGATTGCAAGGGTTGTCTTTGTCCAACACGCATTGATCACATCGGACGTGCGTCGACCAGAATCGATGCCTTCACCGTCCTCCTCGTTCCTCTTGGGGGCCGCCTCAATCTTTCTTATTCTTTGTTTTGTGGCCCTCGCACCTCGCACGAACCGGTGTCGTGCGATACGATCTACCCCCCCTCACAACATGCCTCCTTGTATTTACAGAGATGCTACGTAGAAGGTTCACGAACCGCAAGGTTAGTCTGTGATGATTTCCCCCTGTGGTGACGCGCCCCGCCTTCCCGTGCATCTTTGACCCTCTCCCGCCCCCGTCTCCCCTGTTGGGAAATTTTCCACCGCACAACGACTCGCCGACAGAGTGGAAGCAAGGCTTGACGCAGTAAAGGGGGCCCTAGAGGTCTACAAGGGCGGACAGCTGCAGTGGAGCTCGGCGGGGAAATAGGTTTTTTATCATGACTCAAGCCCTCATTTTGGAGTTGTGGAAGGGGAAAAGAGGCAAATCTGCTCTGCTGCTAAGGAAGATAGATCGTAGACAGTTCCTCCTTTATAGCATCAGGCGGTTTGATTGTTGTGGGAAGACTCCTGTTCGATTTTCAGGAGATTGGTCATTTAGATGCCGGTTAATTTGCTTGGTCGCTTACCTTCGCGTAGCTGTGTTTTGGGAATTAAATTCTGCGGTTTGTGGTCAGGGCCGATCAGTCGGTGCCCCCATGGCGAAGATGCGCTTCATTCGGCACCGGTAGAATTTTGTAGTGTTGTCCCCTGGCCCGTCGATCGCAACCGGTTCCTAGTTGTAGGTGCAAACTTGATGCGTGTCAAATTATTCAAGTAACCCCACACACCACCACTCTGATTTAGCATTCAGTATTGCGGGATTGGGGCTCAATTTTTTCCGTTGGGAGGAACAAGGGCGTTGGCTCGTTGGGGTTCGGAAATGGGCGTACAATGTTGTCCCTGTTTTCTTGTGGTTTGGTCTGGCTTTTTCATGTACTAGATGCTCTTGACGAGTCCCCCACGGACAATCCTTCCATCTGTGGGATCGATTTTCTTTTTTTGGTCCGGCAGTGCGCGTGCTATTTTTATATTTATATGGCGTTCTTGACGTCTGGTACGTTGGTGGGTCGAGAATGAAGATGGAACTAACCCTTGTGATGGAAGATCGGTCTTTTATGCATATTGTAGCTCTCCCGAATGGCATCTGATTCATGGGTTTGCGTATGGTGTGGGAAGTTTTATTCATGCACTTATGCAAGTGCGTACGGTATACGCGGCACATGTTTTGGGTGATGGTGTGTCGCAGTTACGTTTAGGCGAGGTGTGTCAAGAAACTGCTATTGCAGCATACTCAAAAGCAATGCTTGCTCGATTTCGCGCAAGGCTTTTTCCGAGTATGTTTTTTGTTTTCCTGTCGTAGGGAAGATTTTGGAACCTCAGGCAGGCACTTGGTAGCACGTAAATTGTTGTGCGAGTGTTTATCTTGTGATTGCGGGTATGCCGTTTGTTTTTGATTTTCCCACGCCTTTCCTTTCTGCATCAGGACAGCCAAGGGGTGGTCTCAGGGGGGGGGGGGGGGGAGTAGAGAAATTTTGTGCTGCGTGACCCCGAATGGAAACACGCCTGTTTCATGCTGGAAACCCGCGTCATGCTGGAGAATGAACTGCTTCGGGAGCAATTCAAGAGCATGCGTGAGGCAATTATAAGAAACAACGTCCCTCAACACACACATACCCCTCTGCTTCCAAAGCCACCAACGGCATGTGATTGCTTTTTGGTCGTGACGTGAGAGTTGTCATTCTGCAGAATGGAGAGGTGAACCGTAGATCCCGTAGATCGGGCTCGTGCCGAGGAATGAATCTAGCCAGCGTTAGCAAGGGGCGCGGTAGCGGATGTGGAGAATGCTCTCGCACCCACAATTTTTTTTTCTGTTCCAGCTGTATCATTTTGCATTAGTAAAGCGGAGCGGTTTCGCTCCATGTGCCATTGTTGATAACAGCAATAGAGAAGTGGTGATGGACCCCCTTTCACTTTCTCATGAGGGGTGGGAATGTCAGCAGAAGGAAGGTACAAGTTGCGCTGCTTCCATCATTCTCAAGCCCCCTTCGGGGGGGTTTGAGTTTCCGTCCCAGATCTACGAAGCAACCTCCCATCTCCGAAAACTCTGAAATCAAAGATTTCGCTCGCTCTCAAGAGCCAAGTTCGCGCACCTTCTCACACCCGGGGTGGGTAAGGCCAGACCTTCAAAAAAAAGGTTGGGAGGGCGTCTCACCGTCGCGTAGCTGTTACCCTGGTCGTTTGCTACCTCGGGAGTGTTTTCTTCGATATCAGAGGGCTGGTTGCTCGAAGTGCTCAGTTCTAACCATCTGGTAGATATCTATCTACCCAAGGGTACTCGTTCGCCGCCCCATGTAGGATATTCCAGCTTCTTTCGAAAGAGGCGTCCCGATGCAAGTAGTGATGGATGATGTACCGGTGATCCACGCGTGTGAATGTGGGAGTCCACGACGGAAGGTGGCTTCTACTGCAGCGCTCATGATCATCTGACGCCTTGCGCGATTTGTTGCAAACTGGAACGTATTGCACCACGTTTCTCTCCGGGAGAATTACGACGGCTTCCCGCCCGACTGCCCATCCTTCGCGACCACATGTCGCGTTTGTTTACCCAGCCCCTACTCCCGGCTGATCGTTTTTCCTAGAGCATATACACTGCACCCAACGCGCGTTCCAAGTCTCCGACGAGTGCGGGGTCCCCTTCTCCTTTCCCTGTCCCCCCTGTCCGTCTAGGAGCCAGCCAAGCAATGTGGCCGTCTGGACGGAGTAAAACCGCTTCGGTCCTCGCGGCAGCCAATGCCTCTCCGAGTTTTCCACCGCTTCCGTCGACCGCGCGCATGGGTAGCACCCACCCCGGTTGCGTCGGGACGATTTCTTCGCGGTAGTCCAAGTACTCTCTCAGATTCTCGATGGATGGGGCTGGCGAGGTAATGGCGGTGTTGTGTTGGTCGTTGCTGATGCTGCTACTGACGGTCGATCCAGGAGAAGGTGGTGAAACCGTCAAGACGACGAGAGGGCTCGAACGGGAAGTGCGGCTGTGCCACGATGTATCGGTCCCTACCATCGCCATTCCGTCGCGCTCTGACGAATACACGATCAGCACGGAGGCTAGGGATGCTAGCTCGGGCGTCGCGGACGAGAGTTCTGAACCGAAACAATCGAGCAGCAGTCCTCGAATCTGGTCCGGAAGGTCCACGGTGGAGAGCAAGGAAGAAGAAGAAGAGGAAGGTGGCCTCAAGAAAAAGTGGGGCATTCGTCCTCCGAGCCGTATGCTGCACGGTGCAGCACGAAACGCACCGGTGTTGTCACCGTGTCCTTGACCGTTGCGCCGGACTGCTGGTGGTCGCGATGAAAATCCCGCCGCTGGCAACGGCCTCGACGACCGTGACGTTGGCGGGGGTCCTACCCCTGCCGCCCTGCCACCACTAGCCGCGAGCAGCGCCGCGCCGTGGCCACCGTACGTAAAACCCACGTCGTGTTCGGGGAAGAGGAGGGGCAGCCCCCCGCCCTCAGCCAGCAGTCGGCGCAAGTCTCGGACGCGCGATTCGCCGTACGGGTGGCCCTCTTCCCGCAGGCTCTCCAGCTGACGGCGGCCGAGGCGGAGGATCCTCTCGGACCGTTCCTCGGCACTCTCCGCGGCACTGGTCTTCCCCAGAAGGGAAGCCGCCATGTCCCTGATGCCACCGCCCCAGTTCAGGGTCAAAGGCGAGCGCACGAGCTGGAAAAGGTATTCGGAGGGGGCGGGCGGGGGCACCAAGTACTCAGGAGTGCCGAAATAATGTTGCTGCTTTGATGTGGGCACGCTTACTCTGCGGGTAACCTTATACCAACCGACGATTTGCGAATACCTAATGCTGTCCAGCTGGCGGCTGTCCAGCTGGCGTCCCTGACATAGCATTGATCAGGCCGATGGCTACATGGAGCTACATGGAGCTTGAAGGTCATGGTACACCAAGCACGTGCACCAGGGGGTCGTTGAAGTGAACATGTGCGATGGTAACGTTTTTTCTTGAGCACGTGTGCCAACCTTTTATCTTCTTTGGGCCAAGCTCTAAAACGTCATGATCATGAAAACGAGTAACGCTACCATGTAACCCGAACTTGTCGTGAAATAAAGTCACCTGATCCATGAGGTTGGGCGAGGCTCCAAGGCTAGGATCTACGCCCAGAGTTTCCAACACCCTCAAGCTTCTCTTCAGGTTCCGCACGCTCAATGTCGCGTTGCGCATTGCCACTGGCCGCCGTTCTGTGTCCCAGGGCATGGTATGCGAGGGGACGTGCGAATGTCACAACACGATAAAAAGCGGAGGATTCGCGTACAAAAATGTCGACACGTCACGGGCCTGTTGTCCGTGGGGGTTCCGCTGAGTAGGACCAGGGCTGATAAATAAGGGTCTGGTGATATTTGGCCTAGACGAACGTTGCACGGAAGGGGGCCGGGGGGGTTGCCCAGAGACTTGTCTCGCGTCGGTGCTACACCTACTAAATCTGAACTTGGAGCTGGGCGAGCGAGTTCAACCCACCATGAAGGAAGGCTCTCTGACGCGCCGCGGTGACGTTGGGCCCACGCCCCACACACGGGGGGGTAGATGAGGGAATCACATTCTTACAAACCCATCGTCAAACACGCCACGGCATCGTCTCGGCACATGTTCGGGTCAGCAGGGATGGGCTCAGTCGTGACGTTTGTCTCCCAACGACAAGCACAAACCTTGTTCATAGGTCAGCAAAAGGTCAGGAGAGGCTAGGCCATGATGTACCGCAGCCAGCTTCCAGGCCAGGTTATGCGCATCCTGCGCATCCACGACAGGCAGTAAGGGAGGCGGGGGCGGGGGCGTCTTTCGGGATTGCCTCACACTTCGAGGCCGTCTGTTTCCGTTAGTAAAGGTTGGATTCAGCTCGAAACTTGGGTATTCTGTGAAGAATGCTTGCAGGGAAATCACTTGCAGCTAGACTAGAATGAGTCTCGAATCTATGCCTGATTCTGAAGGGGGTGAGGCTCTGCAGCTCAAGGTTCTGCAGCCAGGTAGAGGCCCGCATCCAAAAGCTAGGATTTCTCTCCAAATGTCTAGACATATCCTTCGTTGCTCAGGTGGGGCAAAGATATCACGGCATCACCGTAGTCGTGTGCTCTTGCCGCGAGCGACTTCTTGCGTGCCATCCCTCCGAATATACCGTGGGGGTTTCGCGGGAAACACCCACAGCTACATCTCCATGCCGACAAATTGTGACGTCAATGCTCCACAAGTCGTTCCAGGTGCGGAAGAATATGGGTTCCCGTGGCAAAAGGTCGTCAAACGGTTACCCAGGAACAGGGTGGGTGTTAGGCCCCGCAAGGCCAAAAGTGTAAGGCAAAACGGCTTCCCTTGCTTGCTTCTAGCACGGAGAACGACACATGCAAACCAAGGTGCCGGTCTAGTATTCTCAGAGATTTGACTATACAATGTGATGAAGATATGTGCCTAAAGGGCATGAAGCGACATTACGTACACGTTGCGAATCACAGCAGGAACAGCCCGCCACCCCCAACACGCGCGCTTACCTGAACACCGGTGTTGAGGCCGAATCCACCAGCGGGAGGGAACTGGTGCGCCGCATCCCCCGCAAGAAACACGCCCCCGGATTCAACCCCCGTGCCCTGTTCTGCGGCGACGCCTGTCCCTTCCGACGAAAACCCCCCCGTAAAATAGCGGTCCGCAACGAGAGCGTTCATCGTCCAGGGACGTACGGAGCAGATTTCAATGTCCAAGACACCGCCTCCGGGCCCTAGGGCCTCCCGGATGATGGAGAGTGATCGCTCGCGAGTGAAGAACTGCGGTTGAACGAGGGGAAAGGCGGCGTAGACCAGACCCGCTTATAGGGAAAATGTTGTTGGAGGTAGGGAGGGTCAGCGTCGTTGTCGTCGATGCCTTTTAGGTTGGTGGGCTCTCGATTTGGCTGGGGGGTGGCAGAAAGGAACTCAAGCACAAAAGTGACATGATCTAACGGTTCAAATGAAAAGGGCGGACATTCAGGTTTGAAATTCAGGTTTGGGGTTATCGATCGTCCAAGCGTACAAAAACACGGTAGAGAAATACGTAAAAGCAAAAACAGCACCACCACCACCACGAAAAACAACGTCTAAAAAACAGTAGCAGCAGCAGCAACAACAACAACAACGTTGACTTTCCAGCAAAAGCAGCAAACGAAATCATGCCGTATGGCCAGACTGTAGCCGAACTTGCGCACCTCAGCAGTCTGGTGCGGCGGGAAGAAAGGCACCTGGCAGGCCCACTCCCCCTTTCGCACGTTATGCGCCACAAGCACGCAGATCGTCTCCTGAAACAAGCGCGATAGGAACACACACAGCGCAGAACAAGGCAAGCAAAGACTGCTGTGACAAGAAAATATGTGCGCCGAAATCAACAAAAGAACAAGTGTCGGATAGTCGACCGATGACGGCTAGGTCGACGAGGGCGCACAACAATAACGGTTGCTCGAAAGCAGTCAAGTTACGTGTTATTCACGTCCGAAGAACTCGCGGGATGTGGAACGGACGGGCGCACAACGAGCCTATTCCGCTGTTGCTGCCTGGTGGGTGAAACCCCGACGTGTGCTCCGTCCCCCGGGCCTACGGCCACCCGAGATTCATCTACCTGCCTGCCTGCCTGCCTGCCTGCCTGCCTGCCTGCCTTCATCACGAGATAAGCGAAGCCCACCCACCACCCTGGCCAATATACACCCCCATATCAATGATTCGCATCCCCAAGGTAGCAAGTGAGAACAATCAAGCCTCTGCTCGTACCCCTCACGACAGCACAAAAAACGGCAATTCAGGCGGCCACTGCTCCGACGAGTGACTAACCCGCCCCCCTTCGCTCCCTCGCACACACCAGCACTTACCTCGTTGTACACGAAATACAGCATTCCCGGCCGTTGCCTCTTCCCTCCCCCGCCCTCCCCTAGCAGTAGTTCTCCAAGCCCCTCGCACCGAAAGTGAATGTTGACAACGTGTCCCAGATCTCTCCGCCCTGACAGGCGGAGACCGGCCGCCGCGCGCACCGAGCTACCAGCACCGTCAGCTGCAATGATATACTTGCACGAAACGCTGGAGGCCCTGGTGCTGTTGGGAGTAGAAGCTGCTGCTGTTGCTGCTGCCGGACCGCCGCTAGGACTCAAGTGATGTCGCACTGATAGTTCAAGTTGTGAGTGTGGAGAGGTATTGCCGGTGCTGTTGTTACTGCCGACGCCTTCTAGCCTCCGGAGCCCAGTCATCTCCGCGTTGAAAAGGATCTGATTCGGGGCAAAGTCAATGGTGGGGTAGGTGAATAATAGTGGTCACAAGAGGCGAGCACCGTGAAGACAAGAAGCAACAGCAACACTGTTGTTGTCACGAATTCCGCGGCAGGTCGACAGGGGTGGATTAACCCGCGTCGCACAGGACATGTCCTCAGCTGTGTAAATACACTTTACCTTAGTTGATGGGCACGACTCGACGGCGACGCGCTGGGCTTCTTGCAGAAGCAAGGGCAGCAGAACGTTTTGCGACAGATGGGCAACGCCTGTTGGGGACAGCGCTCGCCTCTCCGCCTCTCCTTCAGTCAGCATGAAAACAAGCACAAATTTGACAAGAGGGAAAACAACACGCGCCGAGTTTGGACGCGAACGGAACAGTAGTTGAGAAGCGATTGTTTCATATGGGTCTTCCGTTACTCGTAAGCATTTTTATAAGCCCACCTCCGTAGAAATTGTCGACGCGCGCCAGCTGGCGCCCCAGGACGGTCGAGCATACCACAAAATCCCTGCAAACGACGTCGTCGAAGCAAAACGTCGGCACCATATAACTAAAAAAGCGTGTACAAATCGGGACACCACCAGGTAGTTCACGAAACTTCGCTGAGGGGGCTGTATAGGGAATTTTGACGGACGCGATCTACAGTAGGATATTTATGCAGCAAAAGCCGCATCTATAGTGAACCGACGAACTGGCAGGAGTTCAGAGACTCCGATGTAGGAGTATTTTTTGCTTGAAGGAGCAACCCATCTCGTGGCTACCCCGAATATCACGCATTATTCAACCGCAGGAACGACTGCTGTCTGGTGATTCGCAATATCTTCGTGGCAGCAGTTGCAAATGGGGAATAGGCTACGGTACTGGTGCACCAATGTTTTCGCCATACCTCCACTCCTCTTGCGGTGGACACATCTCTAGCACCTTCCTATCCAGTCCTCCAAAGGCATGCCGCATGATTTCCATGCTGCGCAAATTGATGAAGTGCGCCTGGGGGTGGGTGGGCAGCTCCGGGGCTCTCTCCAGCAGGATGGAAGGGACCCCGAACTTCGAGAGCAGAGTAGAGAGCGTGAGGCCCGCCGGCCCAGCGCCGACGATAGCCACTGGAGTAGAAGCGTCAAGGCCTTCCTCCTGCCCCTGCTGCCTAGAATTGCTGTTGGTGAATGATGCCGCAGAACCGTGGTGGTGACTAAGCGGGCGTGGACGCTTCAGGCCGGCTCGAAGAGAAGAAACTGGCATGCGTAGGCTACCACCCAGGGATGCACACCTCTCCAGCATGGTACTGGTATGGAATGAGGCACACCCAGTGTGGTGCTCGATGGTGATTGTGTGGGGAACAGGTTCCATGAGCAGGAAGAGATGCAATCGCGCCGCACGTGTTTCCCGAAGCGGAATGGCCGAGAGTTCGGACTTGGTTTGGACGTTTGGACGGCTTGTTTATTGGTTCTCCAAAAACGGCCGAGCCCCTCTCGCTAGCCACAAACTTTGACGAGCAGGAACAAAACACAGCCGTGCAAGCACGGGCTGGGGTCGCGTGTTTCCTGTCTTCCGTCCCTTTCTATACGATTGAGAACACAATGTGGGATCGGGGAACACGAGTTGGGTGCAATATGATTGCAGGTGACGAGCTGACCCTGTTGGACTCTACGCTGCTCTCGTCCAATGTGCGGCGTAATTAGCACCTGATCTCGTACCTTGATGTAAATCAATCAACGTGCGAGGGTCGCAAACGCCGCACTCGAACACATACACGAGAAATGGCGGCGAACGCAGCGAACACGATCCGTCCTGCGGGCTGGAGTGGAGAGCTCCAGCAGTTGCAGGTGGGTGCGTGTGCTCGTTGCTATTATTATTTTGAAACGAACACCGCGTATTTCGCCTGCAGGCATGCGTACCCTTGCCGCACGCCAGTCCTTCATGTTTCTACTGCTGTGATGCATGTGCACTCCCAACACCATCTGCATGGTTGGACCCTCGTCTTGTAAAGGATATGCAATTGTCAAAGAATGAGTGAGTGTCAGCGCCATTACTTCTATACTTATCAACCATATGCATCTGGCCTTTTTTGCGCCCCGTCATCGGTCTGATTCCTGCAGTGTTAGTATGAGACTGCGGTGGCATCCATTCAACAAACTTGGGTTTGGTTAGTTGTCGAAAACAATACGGAGTATGTTAACAGCTGGGAGTCTCCGTTCACCATGTGTTGCCATGGACTATACATGACCACTATTTTTGGGTCTCCGTTCGAACGTGTGGGTGCTCTAGGACGAGACTATGCGCCTGCTGCACACTATCCGCGGGGACAGTAGTGGCTCCAGGCGGCAGGAGCAGCAGCCACAGCAACCAAGCCGACAAGGCCAGCGAAATTCTGGAAAGCTTGGTGGCATGGGTGGTGCGTACCGTCGTACACAAGATATGCAGTGGGGGTCCCTCAGTAGAGACGGTTGAATAGTGACACTGCTGTAGGGTACACAGCAGCAGTGCCGGTGAAATCGCGTGACACGAATGGAATGTTCATGTTATCTCATTATCTGAATAGTTCTGGGTGTCCTGTAACAAATGTATGGTGCCCGTGAATCTGGCGGGCACTACAAAAGGAGCCCCACCGTAGACTGTTACACTGCAAGAAACAAGGTACAATGCGATCTTGCCGACTGTAAATCCCGGTGCTATGCATAGACAATGGACTATTGCGACGCAGCCATCGTCACAAAGAGCAAAATACACACGCAACGTCTCCTTCACGAAATGTTGAATACCCGCACAGTTTCGGAACTGCTCGATTTGCAGTGACTTGTGTTTTATTCGAAGGCCGGACTCTGGGTCATGCTTGCTCAGGGGAAACCACAACCGCAGCAGAGGGGAGTGGCGCACGGAGAAGCGACGGCGGCAACACCACCTCTCGCAGAAGACGAAGGAGACGTCCTAGTCGAGACAACCCTGGTGGTTCGCAAGGGCACGACTCGGCCAATGGGTCAAAAAGGTTCTCTTATACCTTGGACACATCCGGATGGCCGAGAGGAAACGAAACGGGATCTTCGCACTTACAAGCATCCGACATGGGTAAGAAGGCAACGTATCACACGTTCAAGCGAGCGTCGCGTGGAAACGTTGGAATCAGCCCAATTTCCGCTTGATGCGCACTCCCTGGAGGATATAGAAAGGGAAATGACGCACGTACTGTACGTAGTATGTCGATATCAAACCCAGATGGTGTCCTCTCGTCTATAAGAGGTTGGCCGAGCTCTCCCCACATTGCGCGTGAATATCGCCTCGGCCAACCGAGCGCCGCGGATGGAATCCTAAGCGAAAACAAGTCGTTCAACGTCTTGTTCTACAGAAAAATCTAGTTTCTGCTTACAATTACGGTTCAAAGGTTCGTCGGGTATACTGAAGACCCTCCGCCCACCATTTGCTGTTCGGAATCTATTTATAGTTGATTGCATCTTGGTTCCCTGGCCCTTGCTGCTTTTGTGCAACAATTGCGTGCGACGTGAATCGTGTTGCCACAAAGTCGCACACGTCGATCCTGTGTCGACGAATGAGTTGAACTCTGCACCATGGTTCTCGGATTGAAATTAACCCGTAGGTATGGGCAAGACCACGGTCGAAGTATTGGACAGGGGAGAGGAAACTCCACGCACCCCGCCCCTTGCAGATCGTCCTGCTGGTGACATACTTCCGTCTCAAGCAACTCCAAAAGTATCCCAGGTGAAAAGACGAGAAGGAAACTATGAGTGATTTATGAGTTCACCCTCTTGAGACCATGGGTTGTTGCTACACCAGTACAACCCGTCCAATATACTTGATAATGTGTGAATGGCTATTAGAATCGAACGTGTACAGTACCAATTTCAGGCCTTCGAACCAACGCCATCAACGTTTGCTTGCTTGCGGCCCCATCGTGCACTCGCTCAGCTAAGCCTGCAGTCCGTTTACAGGACGGGTACCAAAGTCGAACGAGATATGTAGTTCTTGGAACACGTTCACAATATCGTTTCTCAACGAGTTGGGGACATCAATTGTACCCTTGTGCAATGCTGGCCGCCTATTCAACACTTCGTGATCTATCTTCTAATACAAGTTTGGTTGCCCACGCCTCCTCCGACGGGGACCTCTTCTCTGTGAAGCATAATGCGGGGGGATTTTTTAGCTTCCGGGACTTCACACCGTGTGCGTTTTTCATCTTATGGGCGTGTTTGAGATTTTCCCTGCTGTGTCGTGCATCTATTCTAATGTGTCGTGAACGCGTTACTCGTTCTGGTGTACCCTTCCAGTCTCGGCAGCGCATTCACCGATGTTGATATACCATCCTTAAGTACGGGGCAACCGGGTAAGTTATAACAGGACACGATACACTTACTTGAGCGCGAAACAGGCTTCCATGATTGTCTACGTCTGTTTCTTCTCCTTCTGTTTCTGTTTCAACTAAGCACGCTTGGAATTTCCTGCACACTTCTTGCAGGCAACGGCTCTAGCGGCTGCTGGCGAGTACGAGGGCCGATTTCGATCGCTGAGCTTCAAAGACGAAGAAGGCCGGGTGCGTGACGGGTTCGACACCTTTGTCCCGGGCAAAAACGAGGGGCTCAGGGAAGGTTTGCAGAAGCTCAGGGCCGAGCGTGACAGGTACGATCATGTGTGTACCTTGCACTTTTTTCTCGTGCAAGAGAAGACCTGGGCAACTCGGTGGAGGGCGTAATGCTGGGTGGGGAGGCCGGGTTGTGGTGATTGACCATGCCGTGCTTATATTGAGGCTTTGCGAGCCTTGTAGGCTTTCAATATCGGGGTGGAGCACGCCGTTCACTTTCTGAGCACGTGCGGCAGGCGTCGCGCATTGTTTTCCGAATGCGGTAAGACGCGCCAAGAGGGGGATTCTGTTCTTCCTTCCGCGCCGCGTGTGAACCTTGTGCATAGTCAAGGAACGGAAAATTAACTCGGTGAAGCATCTTGACAGGCCAATTGGGCATAGACATAGTGAAGGTTCGATGCCCTCGCCGGCATCTAGCCAGAGCTACACATAGCGATACGAGCGTCCGCCTTGCGCCTGGCGATTGTTGGGGATGGCTCGAGATGGGTGAACTAGCAAGCGGAGTTGGAGAATATTAGTACAGTATTGCCAAATTTTCACTCGATCAACGCTCCAATCACGGCAGAGATATTTCTGACTCCAGCTTTCTCCACCCTAGGCGAAGCAAGCTCCGCCACTCCCTGCCCAACCAACGGCAAGCCCCGTGACTGTCCCTTGCGATCGCAACCCCTTCGTCGATACGGCCAAATTTCTCAAAATACCTCCATCGTACTCCGTGTGATTAATACCACCACTTCCTGTCCAGATTGGCTGGCATCGAAGAGGAGCAAAGGAAGATATGTCGAGAGGCCAATCGGCTGGAATTCGTCCGCTTCGCTCGACGGAAGTGGCTCGCGTCAGACCTAGCCGCAGAGAGTGTTCAGCGGGTTTTTCGCGGCCACATCGGTAGGAGAAGAGCCGCTCTGAATGTGGAGGTGCGGCGGCTCACCGGAGAGGCTCGCATGGAGTGGGTGGAGGCAAGTGCACTGTCGTAGTTGCTGTCGGTATCGTAGCCGTTGCCGCTGTCCCTGGCGGTGGCTGTGTTGACTTCGTCAGCTTATCGCCAAATTTCAGCCCGTTGTCACCCCCCCACCAAAGCGTGGTGTTAAAAGGCAGACCGCAAAACGATTGCCAGGAGGAAGAAAAACGGTTGTAGACGTGTTACTCAATAGTGATCCTACGACGTTTGGAAGCTACATGTATCCGCCGAATAGGTTTTTCCATTTAGAGAGGATTGGTGCGCCGTGCACGTCACCGGATTCCCTACCTCCGACTTAGTCGTGGATGTGGTGTACTACCCACCATGAACTTCGTACACGCTGCATCTCATTGGTACGCTACCTATCCAACACCCTTGTCCGGCCACGGTTGTGCCCTAGGTGCGAGATCACAACCGCGGTGAGGCATGGTACTTCAACCCCCTTACGGGAAAAAGTCAATGGGACAGGCCTGAATCCCTCCTCGGCACGATCACGCCTTCGGACAAGGTAATTCGCCGGGTACCTCCGAGACGATGGTGAAAACAGCAGTAGTGTTTGGTCTCGTCTCCGAGCAAGAGATGAGGCCAGTGCAACCATTCGAACCGACCTAAGCACAGACAGTGTGACAAGGAGGGTGTGGGGTTGTTTCTTGTGCTTCGAGGTAGCCACTGGAAGAAAAGAGGAATTGGACGGGTGTCTGAGGTAGACATTATGATATTGAGAGCAACATTGACGGGTGGATGCACGTTTTGTGAGGAGGATCCAGCGCTCGCGAATCACGTCCGTCGACGGGTGTGTCACGGTACCGCGAACATGATAAACGCACGCTTTCTATGATGACACTCAGTCTTGTTGTTATTTTGGAGAAATCTAAGGATCAGTAGAGGGTGTCGTATGGCGCGCCAAAAGAGGTTCGTTTGACAGGTTTGAGTTTCATGCTAGCGAACCCGCGTCTAAGCATATCCCGTTTTCATGCTTTACCGGTACATAAGAGACGGAGTTTCTACCCCACCCTCCCCCTGGAAATCTTGAAGTACTCGTGGGTGTATCGATCGCTTGTGAAGTGTGTTACAAAAAGAGTAAGTCGCCCAAGAATAGCTTCAGTCAATGATCGAAACAGGCAACCTAACCCTGACCCTAACTCCAATCACGCCTCACAATTCCCGCCTCCCTACGCCGACCACCCTAATCCCGGCCTCCAGGTGAGGACCCTCCCCGCCTTAGGGCCCCCATTACCCTCCAAAAAACGCCCTCTCCCAAAGGGCTTCGACTCGACAACCGAAGGGAGCATGATCGGTGGAGCCCAGTCCTCCGCAGGGACGGGAGGGAAGAGCTATATTTCGTCACCGCAGGAGACCGGGGGTACACCCCCCACCAAGGTGTCCGTAGGACCATCGAGAAGCGGCCCTGGTGGTACCACCAACGGCCACGCTAGCGCAGCAACGCTGCCGCCTCTCATGAAGGGGTCGCGTCTGAGCGTTCTGGATGCTGCGGCTGTTGCCACGCCCGGCAAGAGCGGCGGCTTGGCGCCCTCCTGTGGGTCACGGGGAAGCACGGAGACGACGCCAGGGGGGAGGTGGCGGGAAAAGCAGCAGGCGTGGGTTGAAAGAGAGCAGCAGGGTGGTGGCGGGGAGGGGCGGGAGGATGGAGAGGAAGCGTTTCCTTTCCTTGCTGAGGATGAGATGATGGAGGTGCTTCCCGACGACCGATTCGAGGTACCATAAATTGTCCCCGGTGTCTTCTGCACGTGATACTTGCTCGTTTCGCATATTGCTTAAGCTACTCCGGGTTTGTTTACTTCGTCGTTTGTGCTCATGATGCCCGTTGTACTCCGAGCAGTGCCCCTGCTTCCGCATGGTTTGCGAACAATAAAAGCAAAACGCATCCATTGCACTGAACGGTCGATCGCCTAGTGTGCGAAAGTAAACGCAAGCACAGGAAGGGTTTTTCCTGTCATGCCAGTGGTGGGTGGTAATTTCACAGTGCTTGAGTCAAGAGCACTTCGTTGTACGACAAATCTTGTGGTAACAGATCGGACTAATGGGCACGCGAAGGCCTGTGCAGAAAAAATCCCACAAACGAAAACATATCTTCGTTTTTGGAAGCTACGGTGAAGCTGTTCACATCCAAGCGGTTTGTTGTGCTCAAAGGTAATTTTTACCATGTACAGCTCGGTGGTGATACATTTTGAGACAAAAATCCTTATCACTGCGTCTTTAATTGCTAGGATTGGGTAACCCACCTCTCAGCATGGGACAGTGTGCAGCTTGCTTCGAGCACGACACAGGCATGCAACTGAAATGGACCCACACCGAGGCCGAAGTAGCCGTGCGCTGTGACGCTCTGTACTCGAGACATCACGGCTCGAAAGACTGGCCATAGCCTGGTCCGCAGAGCTGTATTTAGAGAGAGAGCGAGTGGGGTCTCAGGACAAAGGTTACCCAGAGTGCTACAGCAGCCCAGTTTTAGCGTTCGATGTTTCCTTCGTAGACGTATCGTCGATGATTTCTCGTGCTTTGGAAGGAAGAGATATTTTGCCTCGCACGGGTGGCAGAAGAGGAGGTCGGGTCTCAAAACTCAGCATGCATTCTTGGTGGAACCCACAGATGTTTGTTGTGTGTTCCGGCATTGTTCTATCTTGCGATTATGAGTCGATGTTGCCCGAAACTGACGGTCAGAATTCCACCATGGACGACGGTCATCGAGAGAAAGAGGGATAGAGAGACTAATATAGCGGTGCAGCTCGTGGCATGTGAACGGCCTGGGTTATTTTCCTCCTTTTGGGCCACACATCAAAGGTTGATGCTACGGAAAAGAGATTCTTATACAGACTCCACAAACGGTGTTTCAGACTGCTAAACAGAGTGTGTGGTGTTCTCGTCGGGTACCGTGTCATTGATCGTGTAAATAATGCATATACGGCAGGAGACTGGTCTTGGCCTCGCCCGCAGAGCGGAAGATGAGGCAGAATCCGACCAGTCAGAAGACTCCGGCGACGGTGCTAATGGTACCGCCAGGGGATTCTTCCTGGCAGACGGAACGCCAAACATTCGCCTCCGCAGGTGAACCGTCTAGATCTTCTAGCGATTTGGTTCCCGGAGTGGTGTGTCGAGGTCTGCCTAAATTTGTAGTAACCGTGTCTTGTCGCCGTAGCTGATGAAAAGGTTTATATTTATGGAAATGATTGTGCCAGGGTAGGTGTTGAGTCGTGCTCAAGTTTGGACTAATGAAGTCCGGTCACGTTTCGAACTACCGTTATTCTGCCGTTGAGGTAACTGGTTCTCATCATCTCGGCGTTGACGTTGTTTCTTTTCACCCAGGACTATAGCCAAGGCTCTGCGAGTGACCAAGTTCGACTCCGTGTCCACCCTTCTCGCCGACTACACCGGCCGGAAAATCGCCACCGCTTCCACCAACGGAGAGGCAGCAACCGCCGCCGCCTCGTCTCCATCGAAAGCCGGGAGACGAGCGGCTACCGCTGCCCCCGCCAGTGGCAGTACCAGCTCCCGAACAAGCCAAAAACGCCGTCGCAACAACAGCAACAACAACAACAGAAACAATACTCCGGGTGAGTTGGCAGAGAACCCGGAGGAGGGCAATGGCGGCCCCGAGGCAACAGCAAAGGGTTTCCGACTAGATCGGAACGCAACCTATCCGTCGGGAAAACTGGAGGAGGACAGGAACCCTCCCCTCTTCTCCGCTGACGGCGGCGGCGGCCGCAAGATGGTGTCCCTAATGACGGCTGCGCTTGGCCGCAGAAAAGGCGGAGGTGGCAGCAGGAGACGAGCCAAGACGGCGGGTGTAGCGGTGGCGAGGGCTAATCAGGAAGGGGCCAGGGGGAGCGCGCTAGGAGGGCTCGCGATTAGGGATCTCACGCCGCCGGGGTTCCTACCATCTGCCGAAGCGGCTGGTGATGGCGCACGGCCCGCGACGAGCGGGGGCGATGCAACCGCTAGCGCTAGCACCAACCAGAACGCCGGGACTTCCGGGAACACGGCAACAGGGTCGCAGACGAAGCCACTGGCGGCGGCGGGAGAGGGGAAGGCCCCTGGGACAGGGGTGGCTACGAGCGAGGACCAGGAGGGCAAGAGCGAGGATGCCCAGAAGGTGAAAGAGATTTGCTTCAACTGCTGGAGCAAGGGGAGCGGCAAGACTTGTACCCTGCACTCGGGGGGAGCCGCAGGAGGGCAGGGGGGAACGGGCGCCGGGGGGGGGGCAGGGAAGGCTGCTGGGGAGGCACGGGTGGCGGAGAGCGTGCTCATGTGCAAGAACTGGGATGTTGGTGTCATGAGAAGACGATATCGCGCGGAGGAAATACAGGTATGTTGAAGAAAATCCGTATTTTTGGGGAGAAGGGTCTATGGTTCTGCTTGTCTATCTTTCATGGGTTTGCGTCCCTCCCCACCCCCGCGACTGTTCAGCTTTTCTTCAGCCAACATGAACGTTCTAAATTCAAGTGATGTGCGTTCGCAAGACTTTGGATATCAGCGAAACTGGCAGATATGAGTAAACCACGATGAACTTGACCAAGAGCATTATCCTCAAAGAGCCCACGGCTTCATTCAGAACACGCATACTTCTAACCACGGCATTTGAGCAAGTTGTTTGGGGCAGTTTACGGATCGGAGGCTTCGGGCACATTTGAGCGTACTCGCGCATGGTCGGCATAGTATCAAATGACACGAGAGCAACCCATTGCAACAGAGGCTTTGACCCCTAAGCGATTCTATCAACGCGATACACCGGTCAATTCAGAATACCACCAGTGGATATACCCGCCTAGGCATAAGGTGCAGTACACACATATCAGTCTCTGTCGCTGCCAACACGCTGTCGTCTGATGTTTCGGGTGGCATTAGCTCAGATTATTGACATGTGTTTGCGGCGTTGGAAAATTCCTCGGTAACCTGTTTGGTAGGGCGATTAACAGGTCGCGCGATATTGCGGACCAGGTCTGCATATTTACCCGCAGTGTCGGCGCTGACACGAACCCTCTACTACCTGACAAGCAGCTCGAGGATGCGCTCAACGCGAGAGGATTGAGAAAGTGTTGTTGCTCCGGCCCTCGCGCTAAGGTCGCCTATGACGTTGATGGACACAAGCATTTCTTCGTTGCAGTTTCCAACACGGCCTTAATGTCGTCTCCACCGCGTAGTCGTTGTGTTCCGTGCTCACCCACGGGAGGCAAGAGGGGTGGGCAAACGAACCGTTGCCCTTGCGATCATTCCGCTAAGGTGTTTCGTGTACCATAAGCATCATTGCCATTGGAATGCTGATAATGTCACCATCGATTGAGAGGGGTTTCACCCATTAGATAGACTACAATAATGTGCCCACCGCGCCAATTTCTTTTCTGCAGGAGGTTTTCGCCAAAGAGGCGTCGTCGTTGAGGTACGACAAGGGGCGAAAGAAGTTCATCGCCACTGTAGAGCAGAGGCACCCCATCTACCGCCTCCTGGCGAAAATCATCGCCGGGTACAACTTCACCGTTCGGAGAAAGTTGCACCAGAAGAATTGGATGAGGGGCTTCGTCGAGCAGGTGTGATACCGTTGTCTGTCTTCACTGCTTGCATTGTTGCTGGCGTTGTCGTCTGAACTAGAGTTTCACCACAGGAATACTAAACAGCTCCTTTGGCTTCCGCACTGGCGCAAACGATACGAGACGGCCCGCGTGCATCTTCTTATGGGAGATTATGTCATTCTATTCACGTGTGGTTCTTTCAAGCTTGTGTGTTCTCACGTTCTCGCGGACAGCCTTCTACCTTGTTCAGGCGCGCATTTTTCCACGGGACCACTTCGCTCCATGGTTTGTCGGAGGAATCGAACAAGCACTCCGGCCATGCGTTGGCAACATTGACCAACCCTATGAATTCTCCAGTAGGGTCCCTGTGAACTCTCGCTGCCGTGTTCTGTCCTTAGAACGTTGCGTTATATTGTTGCCTCACCGAACGCACGTCTTGACAGACAGTTCAAGTGAAGCAGCCGAAGCTCTGTTCTTGGACTATCGTGTTTCTTCTGGCCAAAGCGATGCAGCAGGCTTTGTCCCGCTCCCCTTTCTGGTCCTGCCATCACCCTCTCACTTAGTTGCCACAAAAACCCGTCAATATCGGCCCCTTATCCGCCTACCTTACAAACTTTGCATCGATCCACGGTGACAGCTGCGCATAGGAAAGGTCGTGGGCATATCGGCGGACGAAGCTCGCCAAACGTCAAAACTGCTACGGCTTCGAAACACCCTCCAGAACGCGGCACAGGTGATGAGTTTCCATCCGGTTTGCTTAGCTTGTTCTCGGTTGTCTTACAGAACGAACCCCCGTATCATATGAAGACCATCATGTCAAGATATCACACCCGGCGGTGTTCTTTTTGAGGCACATACCAACTTCCCTTGCCCACTCCGATGTCGAACGCTGCCAAGTTTTCCGTATCCATGGCATCAACTACCCCGTCTCTCTGCCTGACAGTTTTATTGTAGGGTTTACAAACATCCGCACAATAGTCCAGCATTCCCATCTCCACTCCCACTCCGATCTCATGGAACCCTACTCGCCCTACATTTAGCTTTTCCGTGGATAGGCAACATAACCCCCTCCTCCCCTATTTTCTGTCTGTAACGAACTGAAGGTTAAGTCCTACACGGGCAACGCGAAGGTGAAGGCCGTCCAGCCGCAGCCTCCGATCACGGGGACTACGCTAGCAGAGAAGCGGGGCCTCGTGAAGGTTCTCGTGGACAGGCCTTCCAAGGTGATGGGGCGAGTCACGAGGGTCGTGCTTGATGGTCCGACGCCCGTGCCGCAAGTCCTGTTCGAGGCCAGAAGGTGCGGGTGTTCGTTCTCGTCGACATCGCTGTTGCTGTTGTGGGTGTTATCACGGTTGAAGTGTTGTGACGTTGGCCGTCGAAAAATCTCTGGTTTTCGGAGGCACCTCCACAGAGGGAGTCCGCAAGTGTCGCAAAGATAATGGTGATCGAATTTACGTTGCGTGTATAGAGCTCGTTTTTTTGTTTATTCGAGTGACATAAAATATTTTATCCAACCTTGGTTTGAAGCAAGTGTCTTGGGAACTACTGATTCCGTTGAATCTGTGGAACACCTGTCGCGGTGTGGTCGTCACGTGCCAACACGGACACCCCCGGATTTCATTGTCTGTAAGCTCAGGGAGAGCTTGATTTTGTTTTGTTCATCTACGGGCTGCCGAAGACGGGCATAACCAAACAAAACGCAAGGAATGCATTGTTCGTCCTCTTCGAAGAGAACCAGCAGCCAAAAGGGTGGCTAACATTCAGGCACACCCTTGCAAGCCCGCTGATTTCCTCTGCACTAATTCCGACCTAACGGACATCTCCTCACAATGCAGGTACCCCCTACCAGCTGCCAAAACGATGCCTATGCCGGAACCAAAGTACCTCGATAACGAGGCAGCCGATGATGCGACGGTCCCTGGGGAGAGGGGGCGGGGAGGAGGGGACGCTGGGTTGGCCGCAACCAAAGTCCGCGCGGCGTGGATGGTGCTGTTGTGCGAGGCCACCGTCGAAGGTGTCGTCCGATCCGCGATTACAAACGTGAGAAGAGAAGAAGAGCACGTGTAGCGCTCCTCTTGTTCGTGCTTGTTGCGTGACTCTCCCCGCGTGACTCTCCCCTCCGTCGACGTCGGGGATGTCGAAAAATAGTTGACGTGTTTTCCGCTCTCGGGGCACACGGCCAACAAAGCGGCTCCGAATCCTGATCTATGCCGTACCCAATACAGGGATGTCTACGATTTTTTTTCACTCTGGTTGTGCCAACCTGTTTTTTTTTTCCTCACGGGGCCTAGCAGGAGCAGGAGGGACACCGCTGGGGTAGAACCCCTCCCCTAGGGGCAACGACTCTCTTTGTCTTTTGTCGCGACAATACACCATGGTCGCCCGCGACAAGGCCACCATTGTTATATTTCGTGAATACCACCGTACTTGTCTGCTGACCTGACTTAAAGCTTCGTCACCAGTCTCCGCGCGAGAGCATGATGAACTGTTAACCACGCCTCCATTACCCAGAATCCCCGAGCCCCACGAAAACGACCGTATAACCCTTGAACATTGTTTAGGTGGAAGTGATGTCACCGGTGCCTGGGTCGGACGAGGTGGCCCGGACCAAATACCCTCCGGCGTTGACAATCAAGTTCGCAACGTTCTCCAGAAAACCAACCCCGGCGATGATGGCGGTCGGGGGGCTCCCCGCAGAGATGGTGGTGCACATGCTGGTTAGCACAAGAATGGCCCCGCAATACGGTAGGTGTTGCAGTAGGTTGTGAATAATGTCAGGCATTTCTTTGATACGTTCTCAGTCGCGGTAGCTTCGGAACACTTTTGTGTGACAACTGCACGTTACATGCACGAAGCCGTCAACTGGTCGTGGTACGTTGTAGAGGTAGAGGAGGCGGGAAACTACCACCTCGACTCCATCATTGATTCCGTTCGCGTGCAATGTACCGAAATAGCCTACATCCCACTTGATTCTGGACGGAATTTTTGGAGACAGCAGTTGTGCAAAAATGAACATGTCTCATCAGATTTCGTAGCCTAGTTTTTGAATAACAAGCCTAGGATAGACTCATTGCATGTTCCTCTCTCCGTGGTCGTGTCCCTCTAGCTGACGCAAGCCATCTATTTAGCGAGAAAGTGTCGTAACGTACTCAACACCACTGTAGGCCCTCACCCCACGAGTACACTAGCACCGCTGTTGAATAAGCCGAGAAGAACCCCACTTCAAGGTGTCGATATGTCACAATTATAAATACCAGTGACTAATGGCAATCTTGTGTTCAAACAACTCTGCAGCGGTGGTCTCACACCCATGCCCCCATCTCGATTGCCTTTGTGTCCGTTGTCTGATATGTATCATTTTACATGCCTATCGTTGTTTTATTACCATACATTGCAGGAAACTTCACCGTGATGCAGAAATCATCCGTGGCTCCGACTGTTAGCGAGGAACGAACGGCGGAATATGAGTCCCTGGAGTTACTGGTCGAGAATCAAGCATATTTGCCACGGGCTGTACAGCACCCTCTCAACAGCCGCAGGGCTCCTACGGCGAGTGCATGATCCATCTACTCTGGATCAGTCGTCGGGGCCTCGATGTTGCTTTTGAGTTTTGTTCATGCTCAAGTCGGGGAGAGTACAGATTATGCATCATGCTCGAGTTGTATGCCCCGGGCAATAACCAAAGCATTTCTTCCCGCAGATGGGTACAAAAGCAAGGTCTCTCCGGAGTGGTAGTACCATAGTCTATCCCCAGGAGAAAAAAGACGGCATTTCGAAACGTCTTGACGTATCTAATTTTATCGCACTTGGGAGGGAAACGCCAACACATTGTTGAAACCGATTCATCCGGGAACATTTCCAAACTGTCTACATGCATTTACCCGCCCCCCTTTGTATCGAGCAGGTGATGGTGAAAACTCTCATGACCGACCCAGGGAATAGACATTACTTTGGCTTGAATCGCCCGGAGCAGACTGGAGAGGCAGATTCACATGGCTTCCGCACCTCTGCACACGCCGACGCCGCTCCGGCGCTGCCAACACTCGATCCCACAGGTACATACGTGAAGAAGTTAGTGAATTCACTGTAAAGGTGTGTCACGTGCTGTACGACCAAGCCAAGCAACGGACGAATACCTTCTTTAATTATGTGCGGCGCTTACTATACCCGGGGGTAGACCTCTGTGGCGCAAACCGCAAGAAACACACCGCATACACTCGCAAACGCAGGGCCATCTCAATAATCTTATTTCGGAAGTCAGACTGTTTGGTTTTCCCGCCCCCCCCCTTTTCGCACCAGAGAATAGATTTAGTTCTGTTAAGTAAGCACAAGATGCCGAATACCCTTGGCAGTATGCAGCGCACCCTCCATGTGAATCGCCGAACACCTCACAGCGTTTCGCGCTTGGTGATGTGAGAGCCTAGTCCGTTGAGAACCCGGCATGCCCCGTTCCGGCTTTGTAGGGATGCGAGGTCAATGGTCTGACGACTGCGGCATGCATTACTATGAGTACACCCCCCCCCCTCTTCTCCCCATGTATTGTGTCCAGCGTTCACGCCATCCGAGGACGTGGTAACGCCAAACCTCTGCAGCGCCAACCGCACGGTTACCACGCACGCCGATCGGTCGTACCCCTTCTGCGAGCCAAGCAACCGCAGCAACACCACGCTCGACTTCTACCACCTGCTTCTCACGGCCACCTGCAGCCCCAACAAGGAGCAGGCGAGTGCTGTTGTGCTTGGTGCAAGACCTTGGTCATGTTTCGGAAATTTGCCTTGGGCAGGCGGTCGTACTGGTACATGGATCAAGAGTTTGCATCATATGGAAACTGTTCCTCGGGGGAGCTTTAGAACATTCGCTGTTGAGGGCGATGTTAACGTTTCATGCTCGTCTATGGTGCGCTGTTCGAGCGCCGGCACACCCTGAGTGCTTTCTCTCTCTCTCTCTCTTTCGTTCCTCAGTTGAGCGCATAACATTAGCACCACTGGGGCAAGACGCAGTAAGGGCACTTACACGGTGATTTGTGGGTGATCATTCGATTGTGCTACCTACCTTTCACGTGGATGTGCTGAGTCGGTTCACGGTCCGTACGTCATTTTGCACGTAGATTGTAGTGCTTGTGGAGTGTGTTCTTTAATGCCTGTCACGCACACCCCAAGGCCCGCACCAACCTTCTACATAGACGTGTATTCCAACCGTTTCCGACGTTTCAATATGCGTCGAATGCACCCAGGTGTTCACCAACCTTGGGGCACAAGAGTGCGGAGAGTTCATGCGGGGCAGCGACCCAATGAGACCCATGGGTCACTGCATCGGGATCGTATACCGTAGCTGGGCGTTCCTTCAAAGACAGGTACAGCAACTCTGTGGTGAGAATTTGTAGACGATGATGCAGTAGCACGACATGAGGAGCTGTGGTCAGCGTTGCTTCAACCCCAGAGCAACCATTGTTCGTGCCCAAAGGGTTTCGTAGCGGCGGGCTAGACGCACTTTTGATGTTTCAGCGGTTGAATAGTCTACCAAGGCAGGGGAATTCTTGAGACAACTCTTCGGGAAGGCAAGGTACGGGGGGGGCTTGCATCCCAACACGACCGATAACGTTGAGCGCTAACAGGGACGAGTTGACGGCCGTTGTTGCTAAGGTGGTGGTGGTGATGATGATGGTCTCGCCCTCGTTCGAAGTCGGTATTGCCACTTCGGTATTAAGGCAAAAATCTGGTTTCGAATCCAAGACCGACAAATGGACTGATGATGTTCCACGACAGAGGAGCCCATCCCTATGATGGCCAGCACTTCATTTTGTTGCTCGAGAGAAATACACAAGAAGTTGGCGTCTACCCGTGGACGGATGGTCCGGTATATGCGATGGACTCTGTCGCCACCATTCCTCACACGTCACACAGTGATAGCACCGTTGCGCGTAACACGGTTCAGGAAACTTGGTGCTCGTCTTGTGTATCAACGAGCGTATGGTCGCGGCGATACATGGAAACTGATCGTTTGGTTGTTTGTTTAACGCTCAGTCACCCTGTTTAGTACCGTCGCTAGCACCTCCTACCTACCTCGCTTTTTGTAGAGTCGATCTCACCATGAACAAGTGAACGCGAGGAGCTTAGAACTAAGTTTGATGGGGGGGATCCTTCAACGGATGGATGTAGATTGACATAGATTTTTCCACGGTCCGTCCGGTGGTACCAGGTGCTGGAGGAATTCGAGACTGATGACGGGATATCGTACTGGTTCGATAGGAGGACCGGCGAGACGTTCTGGGAGAGACCCCTCTGCGCCGAAGAAAAGGTAGGCAAGAACCAAGTGGCCCAGGTCGTGATTCGACGCAATCCCCCCCGTTGCCGTGGTTGATAATGCCATTTTCCATGTGAGAAAGAAAGTCGTGAAGAGAGCGAGACACGTTGCCTACTCACACCCATGCACAGCAGTAGCATTGGGAGGGTGTGACAAGAAATGGCAGCGGCGTTCGTAAACAATCCACCAGAGGATGAGACATAAAGGACGAGAAAATTAACCTTGAAGTTACAGGTGTTCTGTTCGGCTTGGGGCTGTCCATTTTTCCTAATTAGGGGGACGTCAATAGGTTCACCCGAACTCTCTCCTCGACGAGGCGCAATCGTGGTTTATTCAATCCATTTTTGCTGAGGGTTGCGAAACCGTGCTGCAGTCTGGGATGCACCAAATAGCGAGTACCTCACCATCGCAATCCCGGGAAGGTGGGGGGCGGCGGGCGGAGAGGTACTTCCAGTACACAGGCATCGCAAAAACATCAAGCGCAACGGAGCATCATGGGACAAATAAATTCGTCATGCCGACATCCCAGCAGTGCAACTTGTAACGTTCTTGGTCGATCTTCCCTCGTATTGTAGGTGTCTGTCAAGGAGGGCGGGACTATTTTGGGCGGGCAAGGAGAGCCACCGGACAGCTCTAGCGGGGCTTTCGAGACCATCAAGCCCAGGTATGTTGGACTCATAGCTATGGTGGGGGTAAATACATACTTCTACTCCGAAGTACTTGCGAACGATAGAGAGTGCGTGGGCGAAACAACAAGGGAATCAATCGCCTGCGATACAATGGCAAGACGGGTTACCTCTTTGAAAGGATTAGTCGAGATACCAGAGAAAGCGATTGTCCAGCCACTCTTGCCGTCAAATATAGTCAATCAAACACAAAGTTTAAGGAGTAGGAAGTCGTCCATACCCTAGCCACTCTCCCGCGGCAAAGCTGTGGCCTGTCGCGTACGCGCCCCTTGGACAGCTTTTAGCGAGAAGATGCCGTCCATCACATCCTACAATATCATCTTTTGAAATCACAGCTCACCTTGTCCTTAGACACTACTTTGATGGGGCTTGCAGAACTTTGCGATAAACTCGGCTAACATGTTAATGACATTCACTGAAAAGCATGATCGCAACGTGTCTCGCAGCAAACCCTAGCAGTTCGTCAGCGCCTAAGGCAAAGAAATCGCCGAATAAGTCGTGACAACATTCGACGCGCCTATTCCCCGCCGCACGCGTCATGTTCCAAATACCCGAAACGTTCCAGGTATGACCAGCAGCAGATGCGGAAGCTGATGATGAAGAGTTACGAGGGGACCGAGGCCTTGGAGCGGAGAAGAAAGCAGGCAAGACGCTAGTTCCAAAGAGAGACACGATCTTACAACTGGTGAAATGAATGTCAAGACAGATCGGCGTCAGAGAGGAACACCGGAGGGATAGAGTTAATTAGACAAAATCAAGCCTGTTGTAGGTTAGCCTCGACACTTTGAAGTAGAGAAGTATCTTTCACAACATATGTAGCATCAACCAGACACATACCGAATGACACACTATTCTACAGACATGTTCGTGCCCCAACACCATTCCTTTAGGAACCAACACAAACACTTGTCGGTGGCCAGCGGTTGGAGCGATGTAGATGCGGCCTGTCGCTCTCCTCTCCCCGTTCCCGAAAAGGGACCAGCTGCGACTGAGAGTCTAACTTCGCACGACAAATCGATAGAGGAGGGAATAGCAGCAACAGGAGCGAAACGAAGGAGTGCTTTTCTTGCACCAATTCGGTTCATGCTGTTCCGATCTAGGGATTTTTAAAGCACTATCGTTGGGACGGAATGTGTTCAAGCCCCACCCCCTACCCCCTCCGGCGACAGGCGTCATCTTACCATGCGAATTTCATGCTACATGCTATTTAACGACTCGCCAAGTACATGTTTTTTTCTCTGGCGGTATTGCACAAGATAGTGCAGCCCAGCCGCAGCCAAAGGGAAAACGACAGCAACGGCGACACCAACAGCAACGACGGCGATGACAACAACACCAACCTCGACGAGGATATCTACAACCACAATGACCGCAACAAGGACAACGACAACGACAAAGACAAGGACAAAAAAGACAACGACAAAGAAGTACCATCAGCAGTAGTAACAGCAACAGCAGCAGCACTAAACGATCGCATCTCGAGGTTTCAACTTGCCACTCGCGCCGTGCCTTGAGCAGGTTGCCACAGGAGTAAAATGGGCCAGGAAGAGCGGTGCTCTCCCGCCGCCAGACCCCAACGATCTCAAGCCACCTACACCTGACCAACACGACGATGACACCCTCGAACAAGAAGGTGGGTTGGGTTCGGACTCAAAAAATCTCTGTTGTTGTGGGTGTTGTTGCTGCTACTGTCGTTGGTGGTGGTGGTGGTGATGGTGATGGAAATCTCGACTCTTGCCGTTCCAAAGACACGCAAAGATTTACTCGAGGCTATCGGGCTGATTCCCAGACTCCGCTTCCTTTCTCGACGTGTAAAACCTTGCTGCGGAAATGGGCGCTTGGACAGTCGGCTAAATACATTGTCGGCTCACGTGTTTCTCGCGTCCAGCTCCATCGCAACGCCATCGTGGAGTTCGTTACGCCACACGCGCATTCCCTCGTAACTCGTAACCCTCCTGCGCCACCGAAACCGCAGGGGACGAATCGGGTGGCCCGGATTCCGACACTCTTCTTTCGTCGTCGCTGCCAAGTGGGGCGTCGAGCACCGGCAAGAAAAACCAACAGGGTGCATCTGCCAACAGTCCTCGGAGGTCGCCGACGGGCGGAGGCATTCGCGGTAGGGGGCAGCACCACCGGGGAGCGGGCGAGAGCGGGCAAGGAGCAAGCCAGGGGACCGGAGACTGCGGGATTCAGGTGATGGGGGTTCTCAACTTTTCAAGCGCCCAAGAAGAGGAGTCGCTTCTTGTGTTTTGACGGGAGAAAGCATGGGACAGTAGGGTTTTGGAAGTCGAATATGACTTGAATATTTTGGTTGCGCAACAGGCTGATCCTTGTATACGATAGGTTTTATTGGTTTGATCTTCAAGCACACGGCGTCCGCCTCATAATCGGTGCGGTGGTGTTCAACTTGAACGGGTTCTTTGAGCAAGTTCACCTTGTCCACGGCCACGGATGACCACGAGCGGTCGTACCCTTGCCCCAAGAACAGCTGAACATTTTTGGCCGTGAACAGGCTCCCAAAGTATTGCAGTTGCTACCGTGCCATGCACAATACGATGAAAAGAGTACCTCGCGCCGACTATCGGACCTACGGAAACGTACCGCCACATGTCGCTTAAACTAATCTGAAATGATCGGACTATGAACGACGTTCAACTTAAGTCTGACCGCCAAACCGCGTATCGACGTGTACGACACATCGCCATGCCATGCTGCACTGGCGATCACGTTAAACCTGCGGGGTCTTCTATTTCACCATACGTCGTTCTTAATCCCGACCCAAACGACCACATATTTGGGTGCCTTTCGCCCTCCGTCGTGTCGGTTTCAAATTTTCCTTTACGTCTCGCCGAAAAAAGGCTGATCGTCTGGCGGCCTCGATCTCTCAAGCCCTCAAAGACGCCGGCCTCAACGAAGGACGCTCCGTGAAACCGTCGGACATGTTGCGGTTCGGGATGGGGCTCGGCATAACCCTAGGCGCAAACGGCTTGCTTGGCGATTTGGATGGGAGTGGGAAAAGTGGGACCGCTGGGGCGGACCCCGGCGGTGGCGGCGGCGCTCGGAGTGGTCCATGGAACGGGGAGGAAATTGAAGGGACAGGAGGTGTGGAGGCCTCGCTGGCGCCTCCTGTTGTCAAGGTCGGTTTGCTGCACAAGGGGTTTGGTATGATACATATTTTACGTCGTTAGTAGCTGTTTCGGTGCTGTGCTATCGATGATGCACGTGGTGGGCATGCGCGCGTGACCTCCGTTGAAGGAGAATTTCTCCGGGAAAAATTCCGTTCGCTTTGCGGGAGGGTTGGCCAAAAGTGCACGGTATCAGTAGAAAAAGAGTAGAGCCAAAGCGTACAATGGAACGTTTTCAACTAGATATGTTGCCCAACGAAGACCGACGAACATCGATCGCGCTAGTATTCATTACCTCGTTTTCGTAGTACCGTCGTCCTTTGCACCATGTCTGCGACCTGGCGGGGCACACATCCGGCAACGGCCACATTTTGACAACCAATAGGATGGGATGGCATGGCATTTGTGTACGCTTGGCGAATAAGTTGTCCGTCTACTCCTCTTGCTTCCAAGCGTATGCTCCATAAAACCAGCTCAACTTGTACGAATTATAGGTATCGCCGAACGGACATCCGATAGGCCACGGGCACACGGAACCGGTCGCCAAGAAGGAAGACAGCACGGTTCTCGACCACAAGAGCGAAGCGGAGCACCTCGCGTCGATTGTCCAGGATAGCGCAGACCTTAAGACATCGGAGGAGTTCAAGGGGCTACTGGTGAGAAGGGACAGTCAGTCTACTGGTGTCCCTTTGTGAAAAGATGTACCTTGCAGAACAACCTCCTCCTGCTGGGAGTCTTGAAAGTACTATAGTTGGACGATTTGCACACTGAGAGAAACCTACTCGTTGTTGGGGAAGGTGGTAAGCGGAATGCGGTATTCCGAGGTGGCTGCCGTACGGGTATCAGCTTAACCTGCAACGTTTGTTGAACTTAGTTGGCACCCAACGCCATTTCGGTTGGTGAAACCATGAATCATTTTCACCACACCTGTGCAGTACGTTCCCGGTCCACCCCCTTGCCCCACCCCGCCTCACCCTCGCCCAACCCCCGCCCCGCCCCCGCCCGACGCTAAGCAGGTGGTTCCTCCTCCTGAACCCACACCTTGTCCCGATGAGGACTACGGGATGGTCAACCCAGAGGTGAATGGTGGTGCTAGTAGTTGTTGAGTCAGCGAAACAGGTTTCTAATGCACGATCACACTATTTATGAAAAGACCAGAGTAGGACAAGTTGTCGTTGCCAAGTGTGCACCTTGCTGCCCGCGATGAAACGACCACCGACTCGACTGCATCAGGGGATTGGAACGATGGGTATAAGGTAAGGAAAGATTGCGACAGCACATCCTTCTGTGGGGTTTGCGGTATTTTAGTGTCCCGTCAAGTCTCGAGTAGGAGGGCGAGGCGAGCATCAACAGTAGTAGTAGGTCTACGACGGCATGCGGACGGGTTGCGGGATACCGCATGGTGACCAAAGTCAAGCCAGAGGGAAGTGAACGTGCGAGACGGACACCTCTCTGGGGCAGGCCCGTTTGGGCACTACGCGTAGTTCATGTTTCCTGGCTTGCACCGTACTATTCTTCCAGTTCAACGTTGCTTTGCGCTCTGCCATCTTCTCTTGTCATGTCATATTTTGATTTTCTGGAATTCGCATGCCGACATTTTCCGTACGAACGATAACTCAGGACATGGAGGCCGACCCCCGTCGAAAGGCGGAGCTGAGCATCCCCATCATCGCTTACCCGGAGACGCTCTGGAAGAAGCAGTACCGAGTAAGCTGTTGCTGTTGCTGTTGCCGCCTTTGTCGTTGTCGCTGTCGTACGATAGTCATCTTAAGCGGTGTGAGGGTGGTGGGTTGGTGACGTACTCCGTGCGAGTGCTTCTTGGATGAAGACGTTCCCTCGCGTGACCAGAGGGTCGATACTACGAATTATGGATACATGTCGGCATTATGAACGCGGTCCTAACAAACCAAAAAATCTCCGATCGGCGAGGGTAAATTTGTTCTGGTGTGGTGCCTATTTACCATACGACGCAGCCATTCGATTGGACGGCGAAATTCTTTACCAACACCAAGCTCCGACGCCTGTCCTGTCGTGCGCGTACGGGGCGTGAAGTAGTGCAACACTCACCCAAAGCATTTACAGTCCCAACGCTACTGACAATGGCTACTCAACGCAATATGTGCCTGGGTGATGTCAACGAAGGGCCACGGGGCAGCCGGAGAGGGCCAGTCCTGGCAGCCGGCGGGGGGAGACCGGGCGGCAAATCAGCGTGCCAAGAGCTCTCTAGGTGCGCCGATGAGAAGGACGAACGAGAAGCTACCGGAAGGCTTCCTCAACGCAATATCACACACGCACGTCGGAAAGCAGGTAAAGCGTACTGGAAAGAACTTGCGACCAACACACGTCACTTCTTGTTGTGTGTATGCGCTACCGCAGCATGTTTCCCTCGAGATGCATCACTGCCGGCACAGCATTGTACACATGGCGTCTGCGATGACCTGGCCCCCAAGTAATACTCCACCTTTCGCCTACAACCCGCTATGTCCATCTTCAATCGAATAAAAAAAACACAGCCAAAAACAGTTTCCGGATGCTTCCCCCTTCTCCCACGTATATCTAGTAGACAATCGATGGGCGAGCGGTAAAATATCGTTTCTGAGGCCCCCTGAGTTCACCTGGAATTCCTATCCTTCATCCCGCTCATATGGTTCCGTCATCTCCTTGGACGCTTCCCAGCATGACAGCTCTACGTGTGGTATGTATCTGTTTGCCCCCGGGTCCTCGGAAGTCCCGCAACTTATATTAATCTTGCTGTCCATCAGAAGCGCTATTAGTTGATCGTAAATCACTGATGAATGGGCTTCTCATTTCAAACCGTCCGAACACGTCAATTCCCCTGACAGCCAGCCTTCCCCTTCACAATCCCTTTTCTTCTTCGTGTCAATCAAGTTCGATGTCAGAATCACAAACTGCTAACTTTTGGCTCTTGTTAAACTGGTCGCTGCCCCCCGCCCGGCTCTTCATCGTTCTCCTCCAGCACTGCGACTACCTACCGCATGTGCCCAACATGCCTCAGGCAAGAGCAGTCGGCCGCGTGAAGCCTAGGTCAGCAGCGGAAGATTGGTTTGCGGTTGGATTCGATCCTTGGTCGGCCGGCCGAGAGCCGCTCAGCGCCGAGTTCATCCCTTCCCTTAGCATCAAGCAGGTGAACACCTACCTCTTCGAATATAACTATAATAACCCAGCCGATTGTTTTCTTGCGTGTGCGTTGGTTGGAAGCTGGTTATTGAGGTCGGGCTTGTTCTCTTGGTGGGTGTTGCCTCGTCATTTTGCTGTGGATTGCGATTTTTGCATCGGACATGTTGCAAGCAAGTAGTCGTTGTTCAACCCTCCAGATGGGACAGTTGAGAGCCCCCAGCCGGACAACTCAACGAGACCGAAACTGAATTTCTCTGAGAGTCATCAGCTGAGCAAACCTTAAACCCTGTGCACTTTGATGACACACTTGCATCGCCAATGGTGTTTTTGATTCCCCAGCCTTTGGTGTTCTTTCTCGCTTTCAGCCAGTCCGTCAGAATGTCACCCTAGACTCAGGAAACGAGAATAAACGGATATATTATTGGAGAATGTTACCGCAGAAACTCTGGAGAACCGGGACGATACTTCGACATTTGCCCGCACCAGTGTGACGAGGAGCTTCGCCGTAACCCTAGCTGTCACTTTTTAACTGCTTTGTTGGCCGAGGCTACAGGGAGACCTCGGTGGGGACGAAGACGGCGGCGGGGTTTCTACCGTACCACAGACCGGATACCTCGAGCTTAAGGACTCCGCGGGGCACGCAGAGATGGCAATCGTCTCAGCAGAAGAGGTGGGGCTTGCTGCAGCGTACTAGACATCGCCGCAGTGCACGAATGAGACAAGAGTGTTAGAAAGGGTTAGGCTGCTCAACCTAAACGGTAGCCTTGCGCCGTACTCCAAATACTAATCGCGACCGTTTGTGGATTAAGAACAAGGGGACAAAGGTTCCGCGTTGGCACGAAGATAAAACGATGGTCGGGGTCAAGAAAACGGTGAAGTAAAACGTTAAAGACGATACGGTGGCAGTAGTAGTGCTGCTTGCCACGATCTCGGAAATGTATGATAGCACCAACTCGGCGAGCATTGGCGTTCCGCAGACCATGGGGACAGTCGGCCGTGGTCGCCTGCATTGACAAGGTACGGTCGTTGTGCGTTCACTACCAACACTTACAGAGGGAGCAGCGGTGTTAAGTGTATAGATTTAGTGGTGTGGCTGCGATCTACAGGTCACACAGACGGGATAGCTTCGTAGCGATGAAACGAATTCGCACGCGAACAAATGTTTGCGAGTTTCGCCTTGAAAAGCATCGAGGACGAGGGACTGGATAAAGGTAGGACGATTTTCGACTTGAAGCCACGAACGACACAATAACAACCATTGTGTATCTCTAAATAGCTTCGACCCGTCGTCTACTATGTCGTTTCGGGCAGGCGAAACTTGCGAGTGACTTCGAGCAGATCACGAGCTGGGCAAGACACGCTCGCTACGCGGATGTGGAGACTGCCATGAACCAGGCAAGAGCGGTACTTACATTCAATCAACTTGACAAGAACACTAAAAAGTGCTGGATCCACGAGGTAGCTCGATTAGTTAAAACGCGTTTTACTTGCAACGTGTACGCTTGCACTTCGGGAAACAAAACTGGTGATCGCCCCCTGGAGCTACCTAGCCAACGGGCACCGTGACAACTATGTCCGACTTGGGGATCAAAAGGCGGTCGACGTACTGCGGTTGTCGCTTCGACGAAGACCTTCTTGAAATCAACCGCAACACGCAGGGATGAAACGGCTTTAAAAACGCAAGTCCCACGCGGGGATGAAACGTCTTTACTCTGGCTCGGAACTGGTGAAAGGAACAATACATCCACCCTTAGAGATCATGGTGCTTGGGTACGGCATCACATACTTACAGTTTGGCGCTCAGAGAGCCGCTGTTACTCGAAGCATACGAGGGGCTGAGGGGCCCACACCACAACGTGATTGGCTCACTGATCCTGCGTCCATCGATGGATTCATGGGACTGACGTAGTCTTTTCGTTCGTTTCGTGCTGTACCTGCTGCAACACGTACGACACACACCAGGCGGACTGGACGATGCCCATAGACTACCAGAACGACCTTGGGGTAACTCTCCTCCACGTGGCCGCCCAAAACGGCAACAAGAGAATAGCCAAACTCTGCCTCCGAAAGGGGGCAGACGTTAACAAACGCAACAACAACGGTCAGGTGGGTCAAGAACGGAAGGCTACACTATGTCGTTGTCTTTGTGACTCCGTGGTGGGTGACTTTTCCCCCCCTGTATGTCGCCATCTCGTATTTGCTAGCGTTGTCGTTTTTTGTTACAACATATTGCGCCCCCAACACAAAAAAAGAAAAACACCCGAAAAAAAAAACCAAACACACGTAGTTGTCAAATGAATCAAATGTAATATTCTCGAAAGTACGAGCTTGCATGACACTTCTTGGTGTCCAGTCTCCTCGTTTCAGTATTGCAGCCACAGGTGCCAAAGGCCACCTTCTGTTTTTCTTTGTGTGTTGCGTTACCATGTAGGGCTTGCGACAACAATATTATTAAATGCTTGCTTCTTTTTTTTTGTGGAACCATGCCCCTTTCCTAGTGGGTATACACCTGGGAAATCACCCTGAAGCACAGCATATAGATAGATAGATAGTCGGTTCGTGCACATTTCCCAAGCATTGACAAGGGCCACAAAGGTACAATCTATCGGAAACTACAAGGACGTTTCGCTATTTCAAGCATGGTGGTGCTGGGAGTAAAGTGTACTTCAACTGTTCATCTTGTCCTACAGCTTTCGTTGCATTCCTTCCAGAGGTGTTGGAGAGCAAAATGCGAGAGTGACCCCTTCCCCCCCCGCCCTTTCCCTCTCACGTCCATGAATTGTCAACAGACACCGCTGCACTACGCCTATAGCTATGGGTTCGAGAGCTTCGGGGAGTATCTCATATCCAAAGGAGCTGACGACAGCATTCTCAATGCCGACGGTTTAACGTGCTACGAGGGTCTCAATCATGACAAGCTCGGGCAGCTGTGATGCCTTGATGTCCAAGCTACAGATTGGTCAGCCTCGGAGACGCGTGCGGAGAGCTCGTTGGTGCGATGCCTGCTCCACAGGGGAAGCTATAGTAGTCTTTTGTCTTTGTGTGTGGAACTTAGAGTTTCTGCGAAGAAGGTGGATAGCTGTCTTTGTCTTAAAAGATTTGCTCATTTTTGTCGGCGACAGAAAATATAGATGGTGCCAAGGATGTTTAGTGTTTGTATTCGGTGGCTTTCGTGCTTAGCGTGTTTCCCTTTCTGACCTCATGGTTGAAACTCCGCGAGGTTTTCTTGTGTAGAACTCGATGTGATGTGAGTGATGCTGTCCAAAACCTCAACGAACGTGGAACACGGTTGAGTGCGATCAAGGTTTGAATAGAAATGAAAACCAACACAGCGCGAAGAGAGGAGGAGCAGAAGTTGGCCCCGCGGTAGAAACATGTCGACACCGAGAGCAAAACATGTCCGGCAACATTTTTTAGGAAGAGCAACGACTCGTTCTATTAACTTTCCTGAGGCACAAAAAGTGACAAAAGCTTGGACTTGAAGACATCGGGGTGGGTGGATGCCCCATGATAGGGTGTATGAAGTTAGGGCTCTTCGTACTCCCCAGGGCGGTGTCGCGAGCCTTCCGGTTTGTTGTCGGATAACTCCCCCCTAGAGCTGGCGAGGTTACTTGCTCGTAAGGGAGTTTAGGACGGCATGGCCAAGCCGTCCAAATGGGAAAGGAAACGCCTGACGAAAAGCACTGCTGTTCAAGCGAAAGATCCGAAAGTGACAGCATTCCACCTTCTTCGTCTTGCCCCACCCCACTCCACTCCCTCATTACCCGCTTGCGGGGATTGGGTGCGTTGGCAGCCGACAATGCTTTACCATCAGCAGTTTTCTCCTCGCTGAAATGTCCCGGGGCTCATGCGAGAAGTTCGTAGACCAAAGAAAGAGAGAGTACGGATGTCCAGCTCTCTTGAGACTTTCAGTCTTCGCGCTTCTAGCATTCTGCGTCACATACACCGAGCAGTAAGAAGAGTTGCGATTTCGGCGCGCAGACGAGCGTGCGTACTTTCTGTGCATTTGGAAGCCACCCGATGTCTGCATTGAGAGCATGGGTGTAGAGAGATTCTGGCACTGGCAAACCCAGCAGCGCAGCGATGTGTTTTGGTTTGCGTTTTGTAGGGTGTACGCGATATGTACGTACGCCAGTCTGCCACTGGCAAATAAATCCAGCAGCGCAGCGATGTGCGTTGGTTTGCGTTTTGTAGGGTGCACGCGATATACACGTACACTACGCCATGTCGCTTTTTCACACACAATCATCTGCTCTGTTCTGACGTTTTCAAATCTTCCGCGGACCTTGTGTAGGTCTAGCAATCGACCACTCAAGTGTTCATCTTGCAGTCGTCCCAGGACCTTCATACTTGGCCGTCACCACTCGGAATGGATGGCCGAAGCTGCGCCCAATGCAGGTCCACGAAAATTGGAGTATCGATTGCATTGGGTGACGAATTTTTCCCAGTAACTGTTTAGCAACCACGTGTTTGCAGGAGAGGCGACGTGCTGTCGAAGTATGCGTGAGACACATCCATGCGCAGCCTGCACTTGCACCGTCAGAAAAAACTTCCAACTTGTATACAATAGAGCAAAAAGAACAACGCCGTGTGCTACAAAGTTGCTCGCTGTTAGCCAGGAATGTCCATCATATGCATCACTGCATAGCACACACACGATTTTCTGAGCGCCGACAACATTTGTCGTGAGGAATAAAGCCAACATACAGTACCTTCCACCCAACCTAAAGTACCTGCTTCCTGAGACTCCGAACGCCTTCTCGTTGAAGCCTTCCCCCATAGACCCGAGCAAGCCAGGAAAAACAACATGGCCTGCATACGGCGTAAATTAGGACCTAGTCGCACGACGTGCGCGTGTACATAAATTACTAATCTACGACTAAAACCTTCACGCACAAGTCGGACCGTTTGGTTGGTCTGACAAAGGTATATTTTTAGGCAAAAGTGGACCAGGGGTGTGTGTACCCCAAGAAGTGGGAAATTAATTCGCCCTACGATGTGAAAGAGCAAAACAAAGACAATGTACTCGCTGTGCGTAAAAGTCTATATGCGAGCGAGCGCGGGGTGACGAATCAGCCAGACATGGAAAAATTCCATATAAACTTCAAAGCTATACACATTTTCATTTGCACAGCTAATCCAGCAAGTCCCACGTGTATCTACTACGGTGCATCCTGGCTAGGTCCCTGGAACAGTGCTACTGCATCGATCGGCCGCGAACTACTGCTGTTAGTCAGGTACGGGCAAATATTGAAGCAGCACCACAACAGAGTCAGCTCATGCGATAGGACTGGACCACACAACTTGACCAGAGACGCACAGTCCGCGCCGAAGCCCAGCAAGACCTCTCGTTTTGCACCCCGCAACAAACACGTCCAAGCTATCACGTTGCTCGAAGGCGGTCCGGTCCCCACACCGTTCAAACGGTTTCTAAAAACCCATCCCTCTCTCCGATCCCAATGCCGTGTACCTATCTTTCCGAAGGATGGGTCATCCACATATCGACAGCAAATGGCAACCTAATTCAGTGGCGGGGCTTGCCTTTCCTACCCAAACTACGCTCTACCACCAAACAATAGTCTCGGACAACGCGTGGTCAGCTGACATAGTACCACCGACACGTTATTTCCAACACCTCCTCTGCCCGTAGGCCACACCGCATGCGCACGGCCATTTCCGTCAAGCCAAACCAACCCACATTCCCTAACTTTATTCTCCCGGCAGAGGGTACAGCAGGTGTCCCGGTTTGCCACGTGAGTCGTATCATATTTGAATAAAAGCTGGGGCATATCATTCGTCGTCGTCCATGTTGAGGGCTGAGAACTTGTTATCGACCTTCGCCGTTGCCTTGTCCGCCTCGCCCGCCTGGTTCACATTTCGTTGAGACACACACAACAGCAACACGGGAAGATTAGGTTATTAATTTCTATTCCCGTGAAAAATTCCGTCTGAATGTCCTCGCTTGCACCATGCAACCTCTACACGGCATTATTTTCTCTCCTGAGGTACTACAATCAGGGGGACACACACAGACAAGATCTTCTACGGGTGAGGCTTCCAACGCTAGGTATCACGACGAGGGTTCAGTGTTTCGTGCGTCCTCGTCAACGATCCAACTCGATTCCGTGTAAACTCGCGAAACAGCGCGTTCTTGGCGATACAGCAGTGTCACGCCGGGAACTGAACTCAATCAAGACACTGACCATCCAACGGTGTTGAGGATAACTTGACATTATCGAAGCGACCCATCAAATCAAACAACTTGGAGAAGGGGTGAGAAAAACAAGTCAAAGTATCTCTGGCCATTGTTGTAAAACAAGTAAATAGCAGGACCAGATGGAGAAGGGGTGAGAAAAACAAGTCAAAGTATCTCTGGCCATTGTTGTAAAACAAGTAAATCGCAGGACCAGATGGAGAAGGGGTGAGAAAAACAAGTCAAAGTATCTATCGCCATTGTTGTAAAACATGTAAATAGCAGGACCAGATGCATCGAGCGGGGCGAACGTAGATGATCCAACACTACACTACACACACAGTGCCCCATACGATCATGCCGTGAATCGACCAAAACGCCCCAAAAAGAAAGACATCAATCGAGAAGGTAAGATCTCGCGAATTCCTACAATACAAGCAACCCAACCCTTGTGCAATCAACGCCGGAGACGGGCCTATGCATGAATGCATCAACCAACCCAAACGCACCGACGCATCGACGGCGGCAGCCGTAGCAGTGGCAGCACCCTTCGTGGCCGAACCCTTGCCTCCTGCGGCCTTGGCCGACTTCCAGCCATCCTCTCCTCCCTTGGAGGCAGGAGTTGCAGTCGATGCAGGCGATGGCGTCACGGGGACCGGGGGAGGAGCATCGGCACCGGCGCCGCCAGCAGCCTTCGTCGCCGGGGGAGGGGTCGCCGGAGGGGCGCCACCGCTGTCCTTCTTATCACCGCCCCTGCCGCCGCCGCCGCCCCTGCAGCAAAGCCACCGGCAGAAATCGACAACGGGCAGGGAAGTCAGCCTTGTGGAACTGGAGCAACAACCAGGAGCTCATGCATTTCCGCTCAAACGTATTGTCATTGCTGGATCGCATGAAAGCGCGAAGGTCATCGTCAACAATGGCCATGCCCACAACAAGGGGCTCGAACCGACAAGTGCATCCAACTCCAAGGGATACCTGTCTACCTTTGGAGTCAACCCGATATATCCCAGCAAGCGCCGCCTCCGCTGAGAGCAAACAGGGCTACAAGTGACCTCGGCTTGGGATGCAACCACGGACACGACTGGGCAAATTACCTTCCGCGACCACCTGGAGACCCGCGGCCTGCCCCCGCGCCGCGTCCGCCGGAGCCGCGGCCGGCACCGGGGCTACCCCGCCCACCGCGACCCCCCCCCCCTCCCCCTCCTCCGGCAGGAGCGTCACCACTACCGGTAGCACCTCCTCCGCCACCACGGCCGGCAGACGCGGCCGGACGAGACGCCGCCTTCGCTTTCTGTGGAAAGGGAACCGCGAGTGGAGTTTGGGTGGGGAAAAGGGTGCCTTGAGTTATCATAGTTTTTCCGTTTTCGTGGCTAAGGTTAAGGTTAAGGTTTGCTGTTTCGAAAAGTGTAGATGTCATGTTTGATGCAGCCTTGACAGACAGCACTCTGCATGTGGAAGCATGGTAACACCTCTTGTAAGACTTTAAACCTTCGGGTAGGCAACAGCCGTTGGGGAAAGAGGTCAGAAAAGCAGGTTCAAGTGGAGGAGGCAAAATCAACAACCTCGTCACTTTAACGCGCCGAGAGACGTCCGGGCCACATCGAGAGTGGGTACGGTACCGGCACCAGATCCACCCTCCTGCCATACACCAGGCCACAATTTCACGCCAAATACCAAAAGTGTCCTACGGTAAATCCCCAAAGACAAAAACTGACGTATAAATTCTCAACTTCTCACACACAAAAAACAAAAACAAGCCTCTGGTCTCACTCACCTCGTAAGCGAATTCGTCGTGTGCCTTGCCGCCCCCGAAGATGCTGGCCTTCTTCGACGAGGCCGGGGCGGGAGCCGCCGCACCGGCGGCGGCCTGGCCGGCGGCCGGTTTGGAGCGCGGCGCCAGCTTCAGCCTGGGTCTCTCGCCGCTGGGTGGCGCTTCGGCGCCGGCAGGCACGTCAGGGCCGCCGGCCCCGATGGGTCCGTCTTGTCCACCGCCGCCGGAGCTTCCCCTGTCCTCCCTGAAAGGAAGAGGGCCATCCATGGGCATGGACATGAACCACGGACGAGAATTTAGTAAAATTGTTAACAAGTGCTTTAAAGAGGTAGCATCTTTAAAACGCTCTCGATGGCCGGGATGATCTTTTGACCTTTCGCCAAAAAACAAATAACCACAGGAGCCCAAGGAAATACACACTTCGTGATGAGAAGTAACAAACAGGATTTTGGGGGTGTTTGAGGTGGTCGTCCCACTTGCCGCAAGCAGCCACTGCACTTTGATCTTCTTAATGTTTTTCTGTATATTCTGGTGACACTGCTGCTTAGGCGAAGTCGTTCGGACTTTTGGCAAACCTATTCGTGCTTTGGACACGACCCACAGCACATCACCAGAACACCACTTCACACAAGAAAGGCACTTTTATAAGTGACACACTTTCTCTTCGACAAAGTTTCACAGGCGGGTGAACAGCGGTAATGTGTGAAACAACCATCGCACATGCATGTCTATCACGTCCAGCGATCTAGCAATGACGAACGTTTCACCCACCTTTGGCGAGAGCCGAAGGATTCGTAGCCCTGCTGGCCTTCGCCGCTGTTCCTGAAACCACACACAAGGCACAGGCCCAAGATACAAATACCGCCGTAACGATAGGGGACACGATAAGCCAAAACAAACAGTTGCAGCAGTTCAAGACGGGGTCCAAAGAGTACCTCTCTTGTAAAACGGCGTTGTGTCGCTGGTTATCAATCGTATAGCAACGCATTCCTTGACCACAGACAGTGGTGGCGGTCTCTCGTTGTCGTGTGCGTGAATCTGGAACGGGTACACCGCTCCGTGGCTTGTCTCAACCACCCTATACGGAACAGCATGGGGGGACCGTGCTTTGGTCGAAGGTAATCTAACCCTTCCTGCTGCTCCGCTGTTTCGCGCCGACATACCACAACAACCCCTTCCCCCACCACACCACACCACACCACACCACACCACACCACACCCGACTCGAGGAGGCCAGTCCTGCAACACTTACCTTCGGCCGTCCCTGCTGCCACCCCCACCCCGACTTTGGCCGTAACCCCCCCCACCTCGGTCGTAGCCTCCGTCCCTGTCACCGTAACCCCTGAGATCGGTCGAGTGCACCGCACCACGATGGTCGCACGAGTTTCATAAGAGTACTCCGTGCATCAAGGCAAAATAATAATAACTCTATAATGGTGGGAAAAAAAACAAACAACGATCAGTTCGGCTGTAGCCATTCCAAAAATCGCTCCGGTGAACGCACGAACACGCAGGAGACATCACTGCGGCCAGGTCAGCAACACGCATCAGTACTAAACAATCGAAAACGATCTCGCGCTGCCTCTGCAGCCCACCGCACGCAGCTCCAAGAAGAGCCTCAAGGGCGCTGCAAGCAAACAGCCTCAAAGTGGTTCGATGACATCATTTCATGTCTACCAACCTATAAGGTCTTGGACCGACGTCCTCACGTCTAAAACTTCTGGCCTTCAGTCTGGATGTTGTCCACACGTTTTTTCTGCGGTTGTGACCTCGGCAAAACTCGTTACCTACTTTCGCCTCCCTACTTCTCGATAAAACAAGCGGAGGCAAGTTTTGCCATACCACCCCCTTTCCAACCGCGTTATGTCACGTAATGTCATGTCATGTCAACAGCTACCCCATGCTCAATAATAGCCTTTCTCACCTTCCACCGCCGTAGTCGTCCCGCCCACCCCCTCCCTGCCGGTAGCCACCGCCACCCTGCTGTCTGCGCGATCGCATATACAATACACGGTCAAAGGCAACGGAAGAAGGGGGTTCATATGATACGTGAGAGAGCAGCCCGTTCCATAATATGCATAAAAACGGAGGGAAACGTACTCGAAAATATCGGGGTAGGTGCGGGTGGATGTATGCATGCACGTGACACACCCGCGATACGACCACGTCACTATCAGTATCAATTGAGGTCGCAGTCATTATGTCGCGATGCCGTATGCACACCGTAACGTCTGCCAAGATGGACGTATCGTATCGTATGATCAGTTTGACCAGTAGCAAAGTAGGAACAAGGCTGGGAACAGCAGCCAAGGGACTCGAACGAAAGCTGTTGAGGGCGCCAAGAGACATGCTTCACTCGTACCTTCGAAGAGGAGGAAGAGGAGGGGTGTCGGGTCGAGTCAAGTGCATGAGTGCTAATGACAACAACGCAAGAATAAAGTCAGACCAACAACGCCACGCGTACTCAAGTACAACGAGGTTTCTCACCTTCCACTCCCGCTGAAGCCGCCCCCACCAAATCCTCCGCCATCACCGTACCCTGAGTCGGATAGATAGACATTGTTTCAGTTCCAAACAATTGGCAAGTGAGTGCAGCGACTATTAATATTATACTTATAGTACGGGAGGGGGAATTAAGAAAACAAAGAAGAGGCGCGGCGCGTCGAGTGGTACTGTAACGTGCCGGCCGAGAAAAGCACGCGCTCGGTCGGACCAAGCAAGGGCAAAGCAAGGGCACCGCCGGCATCAAAAGACCTTCACAAGTGTAGCTCGTATCGTATATTTGTAGCACCGAAGAATCGCGGACAAAGCACATCGTCTACCACATTATGGTTGGGACTTTTGGCATACGACCAACCTAGGCGAAAAAAACAAGCGCTCGCCACCGTTCGCGATCGCTTGGTTCTCTCTCCGGTCATGTAAAATTGAAGCGATATTGTATTATATTATCATGCCAAGTGCACATACAAACACACACCATACATCGGTATCACATCGGTACCCGATCGATGCATTAAGTGTGCTGATTAGTCTGAACACTGATATTTCAGAATGGGATTTGTATTTTACATGCACATCATGCGTATCAGTCGCATTGCCTTGGGGTTGATGAAATTTTGTCCACTCACATGTGACAATTGTTGATACATCGCGCACTTAAATATAAGGAAAAAACTGGATGAGGTTGCTCAAGACACTTGCAACATGCGGCACAAAGGCCAGGTTCAAAACAGGATGCGTTAGGCGTGGTTCCAAGTGAACGACGTCAACGGTAAGGGTAACGACGAGGTAAACGAAAGTCGTCACTCACCACGACGGTTCCCGCCCCCTCTCTGAGGCTTCGCCACCTCGACGCGCACATCGCGGCCTCCCAGATTCCTTTGGGTCATTTTTAATGCATCTAGCAGGCCTTGTTTGTCCCCGAAGGTCACATACCCGAAGCCCTATGCCAGAGAAACAGAAACAGAGGATCCACACGACAACCGGAAATTAAAAAAAACGCATCAAGAGAGGAGGTAAGACACCAAAACACACTAGTCGGGGAGTCCTGACTCGGTGACGACACCAACAACGAGAAATCAGCAGAAACTCAGCCATGAAATATCGCTGCTAACGCGAAACGCTGGTGGGTGGGGCAACACAAAACAAAGGGTCTCCCGACACCTCACGCCCCTTAACATGCCGTCAGGTTTACAAAATACTTTCCAACTACACAAGCAATCACAGCGAGACTCCAGTTCAAAACCGCTGTGCACACAAGCAGCGAGCGCGTGCTGAGAATCGGAAGACAAGGGATGCCATACCCTGCTGTGCTTTGCTACTACAACCGTTCGTGTCGCCTTCGAAACCATGCCTTGGTGTTGCGAGACGACAGCGGGAAGGAAAGGCTTGAGGTGTTTGAAAGGCTTGCATCAGTGTTAAAAAGCTCGCAAATTGATCCTCACTGGTGATAGGGATACATTGCATGTCACATCATCTGCAAAGCTTCCTAAGTTCAACAAAAGAGGGAAACAACAACGCAAACACCCGTCGTCGGAATGCAAAAAAAAAGAGGCAACTACTCCGTTGGTATTTTCATCTAGAAGAAGACAAACCTGGACGGACAGTCAAGTCAATCTGGCTGCTCCTTTCTCTGTATCCCCCCCCGAACGTACACAACGTCAGGTTGGCTGAGTGCTGTGCTACTTTTTCTCGTACCAAAGCATTCAGTGACACTTGCACAATGCTTTGACCACTATCACGTGTGTCGGCCCTGGAGCATGAGCATAAAGTGAGGCCAAAAACAATTCCAGACCCCAGGTGGGGCAGGCAGACATACAGGGTGTTCGGCAAAGTTAGCACAACAGACGCGCCAAGAAAAAAAACAAAAGGTGCGCCTCTCCTCTCTCTCCTCCCCTCTACCTCTACCTCAAGCAGTAGGGTGCCCACGACTCGATGCATCAGTGTGCTATGCTGTCCTTCACTTGACAAATTCAGAGTGAGATTTGTATATAAAATACACATCACGCACATCGATCGGTCTCTACTCGCAAGAAACAACAACCAGCAAGAAAAGTACTTAGCCAAGTAACACCTACAGTACCAGGTACAAAGCACAAAAGCAACACTCACAGTAACACGAACACGAGAGATCCACCAGGCAAGAAGTCGTACGGTATCAAGCCTACATCCCAGTCGGGGCTGTTCAGAGATGCAAATACTTACAAGGAGTCGACCCCAACACGATGCATCAGTGTGCTATTCTGTCTTTTCACTTGACAAATTCAGAGTGAGATTTGTATATAAAATACACATCACGCACATCGATCGTCTCTACTCGCAAGAAACAACAACAACCAGCAAGCTACTTAGCCATATTAACACATACCAGGTACATAGCACGAAAGCAACGCTCACACCAACACCAACACGAGAGACCCACCAAGGCAAGTCATGCAGTGTCATGTTCTGCCTTCCCCTGTCGAGGCTACAATTCAGAGCTGACAAAACTTGAAAGGAATCGACCCCAACACGACGCATCAGTGTGCTAGTTTGTCTGGTCACTGAAAATTCATGAGATTTGTATGTGAAATACGCATCACACGCATCGGTCGAAAGTCCCCTCATCACAAGCTCCAACAGGAAAACAACGAAGGAAAAAGGGCAGGTGTTATTTTTCGGAAAATTTCCCACAAACTCAGGCCAAACCAAAAGATTAACAAAGTCGGTCACGCTCACGACGCATCAGTGTGCATTTTTTTCTTTTCACGTTATCTTTCGTTCAGATTGTGAGATTTGTTTTCGACATCACACACATCGTGAGCAGGATGACAACAATGACAAAATAGGGTCTACGCGACATGGGGCCGAAGCCTGAATGGACACCTAAGGCTAGGTTTCGGGTAACGCCAGGCAGTTCGATCTAGCACGCCAGTTGAGTACACCTCCGTGCGCATCTTCTACTACTAATACAGAAAGTCTGCTGCTGTGCTATTCCACATGCGTTGCGATACGCTATCCATTTCTTGTCATGTTTTGTACTACCGTGACACATCATCTATGAGCAGCCCTGGCATGGCGAGTGGGCGCCAACTACGATTCATCCCGAATCAAAACAAACCCTATGCCTAACAAAGGGAAAGGCCGTGGCTAACGTATCTGCTGTAGCCTTCTGAAGTCTGAAAACATGGAAAACCTTCATCTTCATGACCGCGTGTAGTGAAGTGAACGACGCGCCTGCAGACGATTTTTTTTTTTTGGCAACATGGAAAGCTTCCTCACCTTGGCCTGACCCGTTGTGCGATCCTGGACGAGGTAGACGTCGTTCACTCCGCACTGGTGGAAAAACTCGGCGATATCGTTCTCGTGTGCGCTGTACGGCAAGTTGCCCACTAGCGCCTGTTGTTTTGTGTTGGTTGGGGCCGGCACCACAGCAAAAAAAGGAAAAATCAAATCACAGCATGATACACCTACCGCCTTTCCGCAAGCGTGACACCTCCTCATGAACGACCAGCGAGAAGATTGTTGCGAGACTCTTCACAACTCAAAATCCCGGTCGTTCGAGCCTCATGCGCTTCGAAAACCGCACCCCTCGTCCACTGAAAGTGGATTATGCCAAAACAGATCCAAAAACAGTACGACTGTGGTTTAATGATGACATCGAACAGCTATCTATCTCTCACCTTGTACGGCGGAGCATCAGGCACCGGGACTTCCTCGTACTCGCGCCCGCCTCCGCCTCCCCCACCTCCGTACCCCCCTCCCCCGCCCCGTCTATCGCCGTAGCCCCCGCCGCCGCCGCCACCCTGGTACCCGCCGTCTCGACCGCCGCCCTGGTACCCGCCACCGCCGCCGCCCTGGTACCCACCGTCCCGACCGCCGCCACCGTAGCCACCGCCGTGACTGTTGTTACCGTACCCGTCCCTGCTGTTGCCGTACCCGCCGCCGCCGCCACCACCACCGTCCCTGTTGTTGCCGTAGCCGCCGCCGCCGCCGCCGCCGCCGCCGCCGCCGCCCTGGGCCTGGCTGTCGCTGGACGGTGCGGGCGCGGTGGCCTCCGCCACGTCGGGAAAGGTCTCCTCATCTGCTTCAGCCCAGTCCTTCGACATGATTGTTTAATGGGGGTTGTTGAAATCTGCTTGGCTCCTGTTTGCGTTTTTCCATCAAGCAACGGAAGGGCGGCAGCGGGGACAGAACCAGCCGTGCATCAAAACGGCGGTGGGCAGGTAAAGCTGAGGCAGTATCACATATGAGTGACCTGCGATGTACTCAACACAGTTTCTTCGCCTCCCGAAGATTGTGGACGCATAATAGCACTGCTGGATGTCATGAGCAGGACATATGTATGCATATGCATGTGCATAGGATTGATAATGTATCCGCGACGGATGACACACACCTGACACGTGTGCTTGGAATCCTACATAACGACTGATGTGGTGCTACACATACCTTTGACCGTTTAGAAAACCCACAACAAACCTGTTACCATGAGTAATGACATGTGCCTGTGGGGTACCAATGGCATCATGCTACTCGACCCCACCGCCTCAGACATGTGAATACATGCTGTGCTGGGAGGTGCCGACAAAAGACCGCGCGCGGTTTGCGATCTGTCGGGGTGCCCAGTTTTTGATTTTTTTCTTAATTTAATATATGACACAATAAATGTGCCGAGTTTTGAAAAAAAACTTGTGTGAGTGTAGAGTGTAGAGCCAGAAAATATGCAATTTGAAGTGAGAACGTGCAACTTGCGTGTTCACCTGGCAGGTACAACAACTCTCTATGGAAGCTGCTCGACCTGGATCGAAGCAAGGCATGTGACACATCAACGCCCAAGTGCCAACGAGCTGGATTGCTTCCGTTGCAACGGAACAAGTTCCATCTTATTATTTCGGACCGCCAAAAGGGATGGTGTTGACGGCATTGACAGCAGAGGAGAGCGAGGCAGGAGGAGAGACAGCGCGTGTGTGGTGCACCACACATTGCCTACTCGTACTAAGATTGAGATTCGTCCGGACGCTAAAAAGCAGCACAATGAAGGAGAGGGTAGTCCGTGCGCCTGCTATGTCATCCATGGTTGGTAATGCTCGCCCCGTCGGCGCGAACGCACACCCGAGCGGGTGGGGATGGTCTCTTTCCAAATCAGCACAGCAGGACCAGGGGCAGCGGGAGAAGGAGCCTCACAATACCGCTTCACCTAGCGCGCCTCATATATTTCAACGGAGAGCTGAAAAGAGCGAGAGAAAACACACGTGTGGTTCCATCCGCCACACCTGCTCACCTTTACTCAGCTGCTGGTGACCAGAAACACTGCTGCTGCTGCTCAGGGATACGAACAAGCCGCGCGGCCGCGGCAGCGGAGCAGGAGGCAGGGCCACACCCTGCTGTGCTTGTCGTGCACACTGCGGGGCCCCTGAACTGGAAATGTGCTGCTGAATCACAATGCTGCACAGGGAGGGCATCGCACAACCAGCAACGTGCTGACCGGCCCAACATGGCCGACGCTGATGCGGTTCGCCAACAGAGGCAAAAGCAGCTTGAGGACAAGCGACGAAGACTGGATGCATTACGAAAACGAAAAAAGGTGAGTGGCATACAGCTATGCTTCTTTTACGATAGCCGAACCGGATTTGAATTTCCAGGTGTGAAAGCTTGCAGCAACAGCTTTGACGGCATGCATTACGTTACACCCGACAAGCAACAACGGGATTCTCTCGAATATATCTTGTCATACAGTAGTTCTAAAGGGGTCGCTAGGATCGGACATCTACCCTGCAGGACATGCATGATCCATCCACCACAGGGATCAAAAGTACAGAGTGTGATGAGACAGTCTTCGCGAGCTGCCCTTCCGACGGAGAACTTAATGTTCCGGCTGGTCGGTCACCCTCGCAGCAACTACATGTGACATCCCAGCACTCTTGCACAGCGAGAATGTCACGCGGTATCTCGCACGGCATGTCTGTTCGATAACAGCGCTCGCTACATGAGTTATCCGTCAATCCGTGCGGTGTTCTGACGACAATGCTAATACGTAAATGTATGGAAAAACACGTTGCACCTTCACCCCTTGTAAAGCGCAAAGGCAGGCAAGGACAGAAAACGACCCACACGGTGGGTGGAGCTGCTCCAAATTTATCGGCAAAGTAAAACACAAACAAGCGTAAGGGTGCAGCCTGGTCTGATATGTTGTTTGCGAGGGTAGCAGAGCTCATTTCTGAACGTTGGCCTCAGGCATCGGCTTGCAGTCTAACCACGCCCTTGGCGTACATTGATCTATCCGGTCAACTGATCATGTACCGCTTACTCCATCGATTCAGGCACCTCAATTCGAGTCGACACTAGTTTGTCACATGTTGAATGTCGCACCCCAGGCTGATTCCTTCTCGCGATAAACGTGAAGACTTGAAAGCAAAGACCGCAGAGAGAGTTGGAGAAAGAAACGAAGGGAGGAACTATTGTAGTGCTGTGGCACCTCCTACACTGCTGTGGCACCTCCTGTTGTGTAGCCAAGCATTCCCTCCTTCTTGGTGCTCCCTCCCGCCTGATGCGTCCACACCACAACACATGCCGGAAGACAACGGAAGACAAAGGAAGGCAAGAAAAGCTGTCAACGGGTTTACCAAATAGATGGGATGACAACCAAAGACTTGCTTAAGAAACACCGGGACACTGCCTGTTTTTTGCACACACTTTAATGACAGCTTCAAACACACCCATGTCCCCATGTACGCAGTCTGCTGCCAGCAGAATGGCTGTTGCCGCCATGTGGGCCCTACTCATGTTCTCCGCGTCAAAACCGCACTGCCTTTTGACCATCATGTTCTTACGCAATCAGGAAAAAGAAACTGCAACCAAGATCGCGAGCGATGCTGCAGCAACAGCACAGAAGCAGGCTGACGGGGAGGCAGAGAATGCCGCACCCGGCTCCCCTGTGGCAACCGGAGGGGCAGACTTGGATGCTTACATCAAGAGCCTCCTCAGCACACCAGCTCCGGGCGGAGGGGCCGAAGAAGATGGACGGTCACCCCCGCCTGCCCCAGGCGAGTCTCGCTTCTGTGGCGTTATGTTGTTGATGTTCTAATTCGTCTTCGATCATCTTGCGTCTGTGCACGTATTATGGCCTCCACGGCTACCGTTCCCTCTTTGCCGAACTGTCGTGTCGGGGTCGCGTCGGACACACGAGGGGTTCCCCGGCCTGGGCCCCTCCCGTAACCGTCTTGTTGTGTCTAAACGATAAAGCGTGGTCAATCGCACAATCTACTTGGTGTTTGTTTTTTGTTGCTTGGATCCGTGGTCGATTGTTAGTCTGAAGGATGGTGTAAGTGGTGAAACGTGATGGCGTCATGTACAGTACGACGTCCTGACGACGCCGTAATACATGCAGCGCAAGCCAGCTCGAAAATGACACCCTGCTGCTGCTGCTGCTGCTGCTGCTGCTGTGCGTGAATTTTGGCAGCCAGTCGACCCTGTCGAGCCCCCTCCCTCACATTTCATCCCTCCTTTTTCCCTTCTTTGATGACCCCAGCAGGCGTAAGCACCTCCACTGGGGGGTCGTCTTGGGCAGGGTCAGATCGCCGCGCCGCTGACCGCCTGAGCTCTCTCACCATCGTATGCGGCCTGGGCTCTGTGGATGTGGCACCAAAGGTGACATGATGAAGCTAGTGACGATTTTTGTTGGGATCTGCTGTTGGTGTCGACCGGAAGCAGAACACAGCCAACCGAGGCATTGGCCGGTGGGTACGTGTAGGCAATGCCCATTAGTAGTGGCCGTTCCGTGGCGAGGGGGTTCTCACAGGAGGTGGTATATCGCATGTATGCCAGCACTGCTCGTATCCCGGCAGACAGGCTAGGGTTCTGCTAGCGCCTTGCGGTTTCCCGTGTGCTGCCATGCTGCCATGACACGTCTACTACCCTTGTGCTGTGTTCCGTGCTCTTCCTGGCTGCATACGCCTACGTGTACCCTGTGCCGTGCAGTCGACGGAGTTCTATGACAAGGGGTGTCAGGCGGATCTTGGAGGGGCTGCGGGCACGGGTGCGCAGGGGACTGCTGGGGCAGACGAGGGCGTCGATGCGGTAGGCGCACAATCGTCATCCTCGGCTAAGAGAACACCGGATAAGAGGCGCAACCACCGCAGGTGACGGTGGTGTAATGCTTTTGCACCCCCGTTGGATTCGCCATGACGGCGGGAGTTCGATTACGTCGAGCTATGCGTTGCTCGAAGACTGGGAAACCTGGCGGCATTCCGGGTCAAAACATCAAAACAGCCAGTGTCTTGTCTTTTCGGCACTCCTTGACTTACCTTGTGTTAATCCAGAACATCATGCTCGCCTGTGCAACTCGTGCGATACACCATGAAAGCCCACAGAAAAAGTGACCAATACCAAAGCTTGCACGGGTATGTACTCTTGGATCTGTTTAGAGACGCTATCCGGTGTTTGCGTTGCCCAACTTGTGCATCGGGACGCGGCTCATGTTCCCCCCCGCCTATTGGCGTGCTGTTTTCATTTTGGGGACGATTATCGTTTTTGAGCTTGCACTCCAAAAACAGACACGCACTGAGCAAGCCTGAGGAAAGTTGAGTGTTGCACCGATATGGTTCTGTTGAGCAATGACCCAGCAACACAGTCAGCCTTTGTCTCAACCCCAACCCTAATCCTGACCCCAAACACGGAACATTTCTCATTTTCAGGGTGTTTGGGCGTGGGGGCAAAGGGGTGCCGGTGCCGGACGGATCGGAGGGGGAGGACCTTGGTTATCCCCCAAGTGGTGCACCCAGCCTCGTGGCAGCATCCAGCCCATCAAGGTGCGTATGCACCTGTAGCATGCGTATTTATCGCAGTCATGTAGAGTTTGTTTCAACCGTCAAGAAATGACACTGTCGAATCTGCCTGTAGGTTAAAACGAGGGGAGGGAACGTTACGCTTGTGAGGAGTCGTCTGTCCACTGCAACGGTGCTCCAACGGTACTCCAACGGTGTTTCCGGTTGGACCTCAAGACCCGGGGTGCGTGCATCAACAATTGTAGTGTAGAAATGGCCTAACAATGAAGCTCGCGGTGCACTGAAACTCATTTTCATTTTCACTGCTTGTCGAAAAAAAACGTGTTACGTGGAGGAAGAAACTGCCTCCGATGCTTGGAGCAGGAAACTACCTCCGGACAAACACCTTGAGCACACGCTATTGATTCCTGCAGGCAGCCAGCACAACAACGAGTCGATCCACTCTCGCAGGTTGCGAAGAAGGCCATTTGGAGCATATGAAGCAGTCGAAGGCATGGCTATAACCTGCCTATGAAGTCCGTCCCCGTGTGTGTTGCTGTACATGTCAGGCCTGGAGTCAGGCAACCGGTGGCGTCGACTCCTGGTTCAAGGTCGGGAAGGTGGACAGGAGACGGGACTGGAGGAATGACGGCCTTGCCGATGACTCCCCCCGCTACGGCAGCGAAGCCTCTGTCGGTAGACGAGAAGAAGGAAATCGTGCAGACGGACCACTTCCAGGCAAGCGAGGAGTGTTTTGTGTTGTCCTCTTTGATAGCATACGATGTTTCGATCAGGCGATGTAGTTGCGTCGTGTTTTTTGTCCCCGCTGTTGTCTAGAAGCGCTGAAGCACGCTCAAGCGGAGAAACGTCCATGCGAGAGCAACACGGCAGCGCCGACAGCAGCAGCGACAGCAACAATAGGGCAACAGTGTATTGGCGTTGTGCAGATTGCCGCGCTTGTGGTCTTGCACGCGAATATTCGTAGAGTCATGTCAATTCTACAAGAGAGTTCTCTGAGAGAGTTGCCCTCAATATTCTCACGCTGTCAGGGTTTTGGTAACGACGTACGTAGGATCCAACGGCGTTGCGGTGAAGGCACAGATCAACCGCTACCTACGCGGGTCTGTCTAGCTTTACCTCTTCTTACAGGACGGCAAGAGCAACCACGTGCATGTTTTATCCACACCACGCTAACCGTGATGTGTCATGGACGAATGAAACCGTAACCTCTCCTGCCTGCCTGGTATCCGTGAATACACCAACCGCAGGATTTCTTGCGGCGATCCTCTCGAGTGTTGGAGCGTGCTCTGGGCGAGAAGGAGGCTTTGGACGTGCTGCTGGACTATGCGGGGGACGAGGGAGACAGCGGCAGGGGGGACCAAGGCCAACGTTTGAACGAGGCCATGACTCTTCACGAGGTAGGCAGTACGTCTGGATGGATGCATGGGGAAGGTCCTCCCGTACACCATTCCCTCCTTTCCCCTCGCGTTGGCGTTGTTTCTCTCTCTCTCTGCAATACCTGGTGGATGTCCTTCCGCCTGCGACAAGTGTCGTCACGCTCTCTTTGGACCTGATAAGTTGTTACACCGCACGCAGTTTGGCGCATCATGTCATGCAATATAAAGGGTGCGCGCCCCAGCTGTTGCCATGCCAACACAGCCACCTGTCGGACTGCTTTCTTGCCACGATATTGAATGATTTTACCGAAACAGGATGCACCTATGTATGTCATGGGCATTGATGGCATGTTGGAGTATTTGAGAAGTGCAGACGCGTGCACCTCGGTACCTACAGCCATCGGTTCCTTGCTGGATTTCCCACCCGCGTTACTTGCCTCTTGCACAACAACACGCACTTCGGATTCATTTTGTTTCAATGACGATCATCTAAATGCTATGTTGTGTCGAGAGTATTTTGCTCGGTTCTTCGTATCTTATCCACAGTTATCGTGGGAAGGCTCTGCTGTGTGTGTTTGTTTAATCAATGTTTGTTGTGATTCCTACGTCGTGACCGTGACTCAGGACCGATGGTGTCAGGAACGGTCCCTCACGGACTTACAGTGGTCACCCCACCATCCGGAGTTGGTACTGGCGAGCTACACCGCTCGAGGGCACGGTCTCGATGCTACCTCTTCCTCAGCCTTGCACACCGATGCGGACGGCCTTGTCCTTGTGTGGTAAGGGGGAGGGAGGGGGGCTGGAGTGTTTACTGCAACGTTTCATTGACCCCATGCCAATATTTTGCCGTTGCTGTAGGGGATTTTTTTGGGGGGGAGGGCATGTTTCGTTGTGTCCGTGAGTGAGTCTGAATGCGTGCTCTGTGCGGGTTGCTCAGCCGTGGATCCCAAGAAGAAGTCGACCACTGAGAGCCCGCTGTGGGGTGGTTTGCTGTGTTGTGTTTCGGTGCAGGTCTATGGCGATGCAGCACAGGCCAGAGTACCAGCTGTCGTCTCAGAGCCCCGTGCTCACGGCGAGGTTCCACCCCTTCGACACGCACGTCATCATCGGAGGGACCTACTCTGGACAGGTATCGAAACAGCGCCAAACAAACACCCAGACCGACTTCATTTTTCTAAATCTCGCGTTCTGAACGTCCTCTCGAACTGGCGATTTCGTCGGTTTGGTGGACGTCTTCATACGAAATTGCTGTTTCAGAGCTTTGCTTTTGTTTTTCGATATGACTTGTCTGTACTTCAAGATCGAGCAGGTTTCCGTCCAGCGATGGGCACGGCCGTTCCACCCGGATAGACCTAGCCGACGGCATCGCCCTATTGGCGTCCTTCGGTATCCCTTGCCGTGCATACGGTACGGTCGCTGTGTTGTTTGACGTCTTCTTCTTTTCTGGCCGCCTCCGCCTCCGTTGAACGTCAGGTGGTTGTCTGGGACACCCGAGCCAAGTCTTTGCCGGTGCAGCGGACACCTCTCTCCGCCACGGGACACACGTACCCTGTCTACAACTTGCACATCGGAGGTGCGGTGGCGGGTGGCATGAAGGCCGCATCAAGTTGAATTGATTTACGTCACAGAATCTCCTTGAAGATATATCATGGTGGATTTAGCTTCGGAGGCACCACGACTAAAGCGTTCTGTGTGATGTTTTTAACGCCTAATGTCCCCGTCTCCCCAGGCACCGACAACGCGCCGTCTCTGCTAACAGCTTCCACGGAAGGGCGAGTGTCCACCTGGAACCCAAGCCAGCTCAGCCAGCCGCTGCAGGACATAAACCTCACGTGAGGCTGTGTTTGCCTGCCTTCTCTGTCCGGTGTAGTATGTTGGCGTGTGGAACGAACAGTCCTGACGCGGAGATGTTCATGGGCGCGTCAGCCCATTTCTCTTTGTTGCGGCCTACCCGTTTCGTGCATACCTGCCATCGTTGTCGTCACGAACCGATTGGCTGGAGGTCGTGCGCCTGGACAAGTTGTTGTAGTCGCCGTGGCGTTTTCCCTCGCACTCGTCCGTCTGCCTCTTTGCTGTACCTGTTGGCGAGTGTGTTGCCAGGACTGCACACCAGCTACCAAACCGGCGCGCTCGTTCAATAAACTTAAAACTTGTTTTGGCCGCTCGTAGACCATCTTCCTCTCGTCTGCGACGCCTTTGTTGCTCATGGCTTATGACTCATGGCTACATATTGCTTGGCAATTAGAAGTAAAAATTACTAATGTTACCTTTGGCTTCGTGTTATTTTCAACGCCCAGCCACGCGGGCAAGCCAGTGACGATCAGCAGCATGGCCGTCGCCCAAGGAGACGAACAGAAGAATATCGTAAGTGTGTTTTTTTTTTGTTTGGACGCACAGCACCTTCTCACAACCTTGCATCATGAGTGGGGTGTCATTGACGTGCTGTGTCTGTGCTGCCGTCCGGTGTGTTCTGAATGTCAGTTTGACACGTTTCGGCGTCTTTGGACTCGCCCGACGGCGCCACACTGGAGTTGTTTGTCTTCCACCTTTCTTCGGCGGTGCTTGCCTTCATTTTTGTTGGGAGGAGGGTTTCAACCGCCACTCTCCCTTGTCCATGGTCACGTCGCTTTTGTTGCGTACTGACGATTTTTATCGTATGGCTTTCTAAGACACAGGGCATCGAATCTCCACGAGTGTATTTCGTAGTGTGAATCTATCATGGAACCGGGCCAAACCGGCTTTGTGTGTACGAAACTGTCCTGCGAGTCGCATGGCATCATATTACGCCAGGCTCAGTTTCAGGGTTTCCCGACCGCCAGTTGTCTGCTTACTGCTTACAATAATTTTTTGTTTTCGTTGTCAAACACCAGAGAAACTGTGTGGTCCATTCGCGTTGTACATTCCGGAATGGTGTGCGGTGCTGCGAATTGCCCGTGCGCAATGTGCGCGTTCAATATTTGTCTGTACAACTGCTGGCGTTGGACGGCTTGTGTGTTGGATTGCAGTGTCGAATCGTCCATTCAGTGTCTGGTTTGAATGGTTTGCTGACTCTATCTTTCGGCTTCCTTCCTTCAGGTGGTGGGGTCGGAGTCCGGCGGTATCTACACCACCCCTCTGCACTTCCGCAACTCGGGCGTTGTCGAGGTGATCGAGTTGCTGACAAAGAGACAGCCACCCATGCCTCGTCGTCTCCATGTCCCGGTCACGTCCGTAGCTCAACAAAGCGTTGGAGATGTTAGAACGGATGTGCTTGGTACCCGAAGTGCCTCCGATTCGAAACAGCGCGTCTCTTTTCTCACGAATGGTTCAACCTTTACACGTACATATCGTTTCACGAGTAGTAGTTACGGGGTACACACACCTCTTCTACCTGTATGTGTCGTGTGATTTGGTTGGCCCTCATGAGGTTTCCAAAGAAACTCAATATGTGCTCGTTCTCTTGGTAGTCTGTTATGTTCTCGACTCTTCTCAGCTCGAGCTCTGGGCGCACGACGAGGGTAGGTCGGCGCAGAAGACTATATATACCTCCTATTGAACAGAAATATCGATATCCCTTCCCCTTTCCTCTGGGATTGCCGCATCCCTCCGTCCCTCCCTCCCTCTTGTCGCTGGCAGGAGTACTCGGGACACTACGGACTCGTTACCTCAGTCGATGCTAACCCAAGGTAAGCAAGGCAAGCAGGTTAAGATCTTTGTGCTCGCGTTTGCAAATCGCGTTCCCTTGTCTTGCACTTCTCGTGTGGCGGTACCAGTACGATCAAGCACGGAGGCTCATACGTATACATGCTCCTCGCTACTTCTTGTTCGCAGATGAAACTCTTTTCAGCGGATGCTTGATTTTTCTGGTTGGTGGCATGTGTTCTCCGTTTGCTGAAACCCCGCTCTCGCCCGCTTCGTATTGGCTCGCCGCCCTCAGTGCGTCCAAGCCATTGCGAGGACTTGTATTGTCATCCTCGGTGGACTGGACAACACGCTTGTGGCGACTAGGACAGGGAAGCAACGCTTGCGTGCAGACCCTCACCCACGGCACCTACGACTACGTGTGTGACGCCAAGTGGTAAGCATCAGGACTAAACAGTCCTTGCGACGTAGAAGTGAACCAATATTCCTGGAACAGACGGTGAAGTGCCAAAAACGAAAGGTTTAAAAAATACCTCCACTATCCTCCGGGCATTAACTTTAACATCGTGCATGGGAGGTAGTCACAGTTTCACAATCATGGATAGAAACAAGAGGTGCTCTAGAGACCTTGTGCTTGTTTAGTGGTAATACTGCTCTGCACCCTGCCATGCATGTACCCCCGCCGTGAAATTAGTGATCGGCACCAAGCAAGCCTTAAATGGCTTCTGTTGTCGATTTTGCCATCCACTGCAGTGCGCCGTCATTCTCACAGTAATGCCAAGATAGGACGACGTTCGAGATGATGCTTGCACATGACAGAAAGAGAAAGTGTTGCCCGTACCGTGTGCGTCGCGCACTCATGATCAAGACGAACGCGGAGATTTACGAGGATTGTCGTGCCCATGCTCGATTGCTCTCACAGAGTACTACCCTCACAGCATGTCTGTCTGATGTCATCGTTGTGGTCAAATCTTATGTGTGCTGCAGGTCCCCCAAGCACCCTGCGTTGTTCGTGACGGCTAACATCAGCGGGGAACTTGGGCTGTGGAATCTAAACCATAGCATGGAGGAGCCGTTCACCCCTCCGGTCAAGGTATTGCAAACACCAGTCACAGTAGCAGGGAGGGTAGCTCTTCCATGAACTTGGTTGATGCGCGGTTAACTCGACGCCGCTTTTCTGTGTATATCTGTGTGTATCCCAGGCAGTTGCTTCGTCACGCGTGTTTTATTTCAAGAAGCAATGTGAACCTCCTGCTACAGTACGATTCCATCATGTCGCTTCCGCCGCTTCTTGACATCACATCAGGTGGTGGATCGATGTGCGTTGACTCGCATGGCGTGGTCACCGGACGGGCGAAGGTTGTGTGTTGGAGACGCCAAGGTGTGTGCAGGAATTAGCCACGGTGTTTAGCCTCCCCGGGACAATCGTGAACAGCTCGAGAAATTTGATGAACGACGCCGTTGATGATTTCCTCCTCGCTGTCACCTTTGCCCCTTGCTGTTTTTTTGTTGAAACTCATACCATGCATAAGAGTGCATTGTACATGCACGTTGAGAGCGCTGAAAAAGCCCCTCGCTTCGATGAATATTGCAGGGCTACGCTCGCGTGTTCAACATGGACCAAGAGACGGCGCTACCACGAACCGACGAAGACTTGAGGCTTGAGGCAGCGTTAGCGGTCAAGGCTAACGGCACCATACCGTAGGGGAGGCGTGCAGCCACGCAATATCTCGCTGCAAGAGGCGGTATTGGCCCGTGGGCGACGCACACTGATACATGAGCTCGAACTGCTGTGTGGGACACTGGGGCACAGCGCGAAGCGGTGTTTTCCTTTTTACTCTCGTCGGTGTCAACGGCCGGATAAGGTGGGGGGTTGAGTTAGGTCTTAGTCCCAGTGATTTGTGTGCACCGTGGATCCACTGGGAACGGTGATTTGGTGAGTACGGCGAATTACGGTATGTTTTCTGAAACAGTGGCGCACAGAATGTCCGTTGCTCGAAACGTGTCCCCGCCAAAGTGGGCATGGTGGCAAAACAAATGAAGTCCGATTGGACCGCGGCCTCCATAGGCGGTCCAATAGCCCATGCCTTTTACCATGGCCTTTCTTCACTATTAGTCTCTCTCCCGACCACCATGCGAGAGCCCGGGGTGGGTCATGCAAGGGGGTTTCTCTCAGACACCTTCCTGTCGTGCATGGCATGCCTTCACCGTTCTCGCGAGACAAGTGCAGCACTTTGCTTTACCTCGTCCACCATGGATGTGGATTCCAAAGTTTTGTCACGGTGTGTCCAGACTCAAAATGTCCTCATCTTCCTCACAGCCTTGTTCGCAGCTTACGGCTTACGGCGGAGTTTCGACTCCAAAGCTTGCTCACAAAGCTTGCACCACAAGCACACACTCGCGCCAGTAGACAAAACATACCAAAACCGCGCGTGCTCGTGGGCTTATCCCAAGTTCGAGGTTGCTGCAGAATCACAACTTGCATTGAGCTCCCACCTTCTCAGGTGAATCTCATGAAAATCAACATTTAACTGCAAGTGCCTCGCTCATCGCTACTTACTACTCCAAATCCCTCAACACTGGTGGCGTTAAACACAAACTTAACTTGACACCTAATCCGCTATACGCTGACGCCAGAGTGCGCCCCTCTTAAAAACTCGCCATCACGGTCCGTCACGTGAATCCTACCTCTTGTGGACGAAACGAACGAGTGACATGCGAAAACACCGGTACATTGGCGATGGGCGGTGCTGCAGAAACAAAACTCGTGTTCTACGGCACCATCCCACGTTTATCTATCGTCCATGAACGCTCCTATCCTACCTCGGGAAAAATCCGTTGCCCGTGGCTGAATCATTATCATCACTATAAAATCTCTTGGAACTCACCAAGACAAGACACATACAAGACACATCGCCCCAAGCCCTGTTTCTCTAAATCGCTGCTTCGATCATCCACTCCCACACGTTCACGGTGGTAACACTTACGCAGCTACAGAAAGTAGTCTGGGGTGCGGCGGGTGACGTGGGGTTCTCCTCTCCGTGGGGCAGGGTCGAACTGCAGGCTGGGCGAGGGAGCAAGTAGGGCAGACGAGGAGACGGAGCGTTCAAGATCCGATGCATGCGGCGCGCAGTTGTACTGGGGAGCCACGGTACATGTGCAAAGGATGCTTGAGGTGTTATTTCTGGACGTTGGTCCGATGGGGCATAGCAGCCGTGAGTTCACGGTGCACCACGGGTTAACGATATGTTCCAGCTGCGACCCAGAACAATTTGTGTGGGGTATCAGTGTCTTGCCCACGAAATGCCTACACGGCCCAGATCCTAGCGCGGTCGTGTAAGAAACAGAGCAAAGGCTTGAGTACTGCTGTATCGCGCTATCGGCAAGAACGGCTAGTTGGTGTTCCGAGTGTATGCACAGTGCTCACAAGGTTTTGTTGAAGTGTTCGTCGATCTCCATGATGGCTGCCTGGTTCCCGCACCGATAGCAGTAATTTGGAGCGCTGAATATCGTCACCACGCTCATCCCGTGTGACCAGTTATAACCCTGGAGAGCGACAACAGATGTGCGTACAGTGTGGGGCACATGACTCCATGAGTGACCGTTGTTGCCCAGATTTGCATCAGGCGCATGTGGCGGGACTCAACACGCAAAATAATGTTTTTGACACCCCCGGTGTGCAGGGGGGCTCGCGTGCTTCAGTACATCATTCCCAACGAACTGGCATTAAACACAAATTAAAATTACAAAGACTCTTGACATCAAGCGGTCGGGTGCAAGAGAAGTTGCCCTGCGCCCTCCGCAAGAGCGAGTGATATTACCCGGGCCAGTTCATGGATGATACAGAAGTGCGTCCATCGACTCTACAATGTGACGCAGGCAAACACGTCGCGACATCACCAGGTCAGGCATCCACGACAACAAAGCTTACCAAGCGCGTTACAGAGCAGTGGAGAGCAAAATCTCAGCAGCAAGAACACCATGATCACATTCTGAGAGACCCGTCTGACTGCAAAGCGATGGCAACCGGGTGCAACGAGGTGTCACACTCACATCCATGACCAACTGGTGCGCCCTAGACACGAGCGATAACCCGTTCGTGTGGTTGTACTGCTCCGAAATGTCTTGCCCAAACGTGTATCCTGCCCCTCTCGGCGAGATTCCCCAACCATACCGGTCGTCGGGGTCTGACCACAGCAGGTCGCACATGGGGCCCTCGTGCGGAACCTTTCGTCGATAAAAACACCACAAAGAAGCAATGAGAGCGGGTGAGACTACGCAGCAAAAGGTGCCCCACCTTTTCCCCCTTTTCACGGCAAGTTCTGCGCATTTCATTTAACGAGTCTTTGCGGGAAATTCCTACACCATCTACTTCTGGCAAACACACGTTGACGCATAGCAAGCCGTGGGCATTCTGCCCAAACAGACTGGTCAAAATGTCACAAGCGAGAGTGTTTGTCACCTATAACGACGAAATACGTCATTCATGAGCAGTGAGAAGCGGAAGCTTCCGCGAGAGGGCGAGATGGAGTATGCCAGAGTACGGGACATCGTGAAACGACATCGTGAAAACGGCGGCGCAAGACCAGTCGTAACCGGCGAGCGCACGGAAAGCCGGTGATATTCCACCAAGCGGGGAAAACTGCGAACAACCTTTGCTCGTTGAGAGTCCAACCTTGACCTACCTCCTGCACCCTGTCCAGCGCACGGATGTGGTCCAGCGTTTCGATTGAAGGCGACAATCCGCCGTGCAGACAAAAAATCTGTTTCAACGAGCCGGTCGATTATCACAGCCAAGTTAGCACGACACTTCAACGTAAAAGTGGCACAACAGCGGGCGGATATACACCAAGTACTTCATATGCGGCACAATCCAATCCACGACGCAATCCGGAAGGAAGCCTATAGGATAAGCAACATGCATCCAACGTGTTGTAGATCAGCTGCCTCGATGACCAAAAACGTAACTCAATATTTCTCCCTCACTATTCCAAAAGTAGCGCCAAAAGTAGCGCTTGACGCATTCGTCAACTCGACGGACACCGACTATATTTACGAAACAAAAGCAAATTTCCGACAAGAGTTATGGAGGTGTACATGTGCCACATCAAAGGTGAGGAAGGAGACACACACGCGCACATAGCGCACCTGGTCGTCCACCAGAGCCGTGAGCGGCAAGTAGTCGAACACATCCGTGAACATCTTCCACACGGTGGCGTTGCCGTACTTCCGGACACATTCGTCGTAAAACCCGTACCTGCAGTCACATGCCGACAGAACGCACGGGTAATTCAAGGATGGCGTTTGCATACGCTGGAGGTAAGATGTTGTACTGTACTACTGTATCTCACGAGAAAAAAAGGAAGATTCAAGATTCACGCGCATCCGAACGCGCCGAAGTCGCAACGCGAACTGCTTTAACTACCTGGCGTCGACAACAACACGGGGTGCCGCGTGAAGCAGCATTGGTTGATCGTCCCGTCCTACGAAAGGCGCCAGCGTGAGGATAAAATGTTGCATGAAGGCAGACCCATCAATCTTACTCTTTCACAGCGGTCACCCCCCGAAAAAATTGCTCAGGTTGTGGTCAACAAGCGTCAGCCACGGAGATGGGCAGCCAGTACGGTTACGTAGTACCACCGCTGTTGCCGCTATCGCAACGACATCAGCACGCTACTCACACTTGTGTGATTTGCCTGCTCTCGTGGTTCCCCCTCAGAATGTACAGACGGTCGGGGTATCGCACTTTGAGCGCTACCAGTAACGTCACCGTCTCCACCTGGAAGGCACGCAACAAAAACAGCACGAACAAATTCAAACGATTCGTCAAGAAGGAAGAGGAGAACAAAACATCCAGTTCGCAGTAGCGCATGCGAAATTGAGTGGTACCAGTTGCAGCGCAAAACGTAGCCGTGACGCAGGGCGTGTAAGGTTACCGTAAGCAAAGGATACCGTTAGATTTCTGAACGCACTGCTTGCGAGCGAGCCATGACCGCGCTGGATTTGAGAGCAACAACACCAACGACAGTGAGAGCCTCCCGTCGCCGCCTTGAAGCATAAAAAAAAGACATATGTAGCATTAGATAACGCCACAGCGCCAGCAGTGGTACTCACGTGGCCAAATCAAGAACACTTTGCGAACGTCGGATACCGATGGGCTGCAACCTTTCACACGCATCAATTGCACTTGCCGAGTAGTAACCCCTGTCGACGTAGTCACCCATAAACAAATAGTTGGTGTCCGGAGCCTTGCCGCCTATCCGGAATAGCTCCATCAGGTCATGAAACTGCCCGTGCACGTCTCCGCACACCGTCACCGGACACCGCACCGGCTGCACGTTAGACTCCTCCAACAGCACATCCCGGGCCTTCACCGGAAGCGTGAAAGGGGTAGGTGGGACGGTCAAGGAATGATTGGTCCAGCCAGGCGGCACGTATATACACACGGGCACTGACGCCAACTTGGGGACGATAATTCTGTCGCCGGTATCTATGCTCGGCGAGGAATAAGCTCCAGTTTCGATTGTCATCTGTCACATCCAGCACAAGTCGAGAAAACACCTCATTAGGCTATACGATCTACTGCTGTGCCCGAGAACTTCCGGTTCGGACAACATGACCAAATGCAACATCATGTTCCACAGCAGGCATCGTTTGCTGCATAAAGACAGCTTGAGTTCGTACTCAATCGCTGCATTTAGTACTTAGAAGGTAACGCTGATGTCTCAGTTTCTTGGAAGACCGGCACAAGTGTGCATGCGCTGCGAACGTGGGCACTATCACGTACAATGAACCATGTGTGTTACAAATCAAGGTGGAACATTCATCAGAAAATACTGCTGTACGTACTCATACGCCCACAACAAACCGCTTGGGTACGTGATGGAAGCGCACCCTCATGTGATTTCATATTTCACATGCTATGCATGCGCAACATACCTTATTGCAGAGTTGCACTACCTCACTCTCAGCCAAGGTCTTCCCATCCAGAAGCTTGGCCACCCAAGCGTCGACGCAGTTCACTGTCGATTCCTCCGGGTCCCCCGCCATCTAATGCAATGCACTGAAAGAAGACGCAATACGGGCGGCAGCGAAGGGGATCAGAGTGGCCGCCAGACGATATGCAAAACGGTCCCGCGTTCCTGCTTTGGACGAAGTCCTCTGCATCCCTGCACACCAGCCATCAAAGGCGCTTAACCGCTCATCATGAGAGCAGGGTGAACAAAACAGTAAAAAACTCGTTTAAAACGTTGAGCGAGGTCTCGCGTACCACACGGACGGGTGAGAGCACCAACCAAGTACTGCTGTTTTTAATACGTGCTGCCGGGCGGGGGATGGAAACGTACAGAAGCACAAATTTACCGAGATCACTACTGTCGTTGCAAAACAGGTCTGCTAACTTGTATTCTCTGCGAACAGACCACGTGAAATACATCTTCGTGTGGAGCAATTATGATGAAAACATCTGATGCCCACGTTCGTCCTCGTCGTGCTCTCTGAGGTGACTGCTTCCCTGCCAGCAGGCCAGTTTCATGAATGGCTTGATGAGAACAAAGCAAAGCACTACATGGCGCCCGGCCCTGGCTGGATGTCTGTTCTACCACACTGCTGTTCTACCGTTGCTCAGGGGCACAATTAAAAAACCAAGATCAGCTTGATGTTCCCTACTGTACGCTCTCAGCACAGGTGTACAGATTATTGTGCTTTTAAGATCTCACCGGGATGGGGCAGGGCGCGAATCCGCTGCTGGACGAACGCTTGCTGCTTCGTGCCGAGTACGCCAGTCGTGGATCCTGATGACGGGCTTCACTTACAGGCTCCCTGCTGCTGCGACGCGTACCTACCGCTGCTACGTTACACGTCCCGCACAAACCACACACACGCAGAACGTCAAGCGCTTGGTTCGATGCCTGGATAGGACGCCAGGAGGCACACGGGCACACAACAAGAAGTGCACCACCACCCGGTCAAGGGCAGGAGGGGGGCACGCAAAGTGTATGGGGCGGAGTTCCATTATCATAAAACTTGTTTCGTTCGGGAGGGACGCGCATGATTTTTTGCTCGCGTCAAGAAAAAAAAAAGAAGCAAGTCCAACATATGACACATCCGGCGGCCGTCTCTGAATGAATATGGAATCCCCTGTAACGACTTCAACACATCTCCTTCAGGATTTCCTCAGGTATTATATGATGTCGTGTATGCGCAAGCCGGCCGCAGTATGTCTTCATGCTCTACACATACGTGGGAGGGAACGGGCGGCGGAATTAAATAGTTGCGGAATTCACACGCAATGGATCACGCTCGCTCTCAACTCTACACTCTGCCGCTGAGGTGGCCAAAGCTAAAGTGCGGCTACGGTTCATGCGCTGAGATGGCCAGGCGAAGTACCGGAAGTGGTGGCTTGAAGTGCCGGAACTTTCGAGTGTTCGTGATGTGAAACGAAGATGCGTCAACGAACCTTCTGCCGGATCCTCAGAGAAATTTCGAATTATTTTCGAAACGCTTGTTGTTCGGGAGGAGTGGATACACTTTCTCGTTCTCCTTTTGGTGAAGGAAAGTACTCATCCCTGTGAATAAAGACGTCGAAGGTGTGCCTGTTATTCTGCGTGATTCTGTACCGGGGGTTTCCGGTCTCCAGCGAAGGGAGGCAACCCGGAATACATACCCGTAGACCCGTACGCATGTGGTGTACAAGTATGGATAATTTGTTTGTGGCGCTGGCGAAGGCTGCGAGCGATGCAACTACTGCTGTGAGGAAACCAAATCACAATCAAATCTCCTACCTCGGGTGCAAGTCAATAGATATTAGAGCGCCGCCGCGTGGAGATACTCTATCTCCACTGTAGGACAGAGGATACCAAAACTCTTGATGTATACATACAGCTACTCCAGTATATACACAGACAGGTAGGTGGAGGTCGACCCCCCTTCCCCAAAATGTCGGGTGCCCTCGCCCCCTTGTGGAGACCTTGACAAGGTCGAGCATCTTGCTTGGCGAAGACAACCAAGGCCTAAAAAATACCTCGATTTCTCCCCTTTCGAGGCCTTGGTTGTCTTATCCAAGGTGTTCGACCTTGTCAAGGTCTCCACAAGGGGTCGAGGGCATCCGACATTTTGGGGAAGGGGGGTGGACGTCCACCTGTGTACTATAGCACCACAGCTGCTCTCGGGGGGCATGCACACGGAGGAGGTTGTTAGAACTGGCCGCTTGAAATAGAAAGCCCGGCGACGAACGCTCCCGGCCTGGTAAGAGCATTCATTGTAATCCTTATTTGTACGGAAGGGGTTGTTATTGTTGTTGAAACATATGTACATATCAGATTTGGTCACTTTTCATGCTTGGCGTTTCTTTCTCTCGCGGCAGCAAGTCTTTTATCGCAATTCCTTCTCAGGGGCACGCGGGAAGCTCGTTGGTACATTAACGCCCGCGCCCGGAGCTCGGTAGGCCTCCGTGGCGCGCGTGGTTGACGGCCAAAGTTGGGAAAACTGGCTCAAAACCCCGGGGACGCGTTCCACGCTGACAAAGCCTGGCGAACCAATTCTGAAACCTATCAAACCCATCAAATACGACGGTTTGAAATATTTGCCTCTTGCTTCTCCACTTTGCATTCATTCGTTCATTAATTCATTCATTCGATGATTCATGGCTGTGACTCTTCGTGTCATGGCATTGTCCAACAGCAGTACCTACGTTTACTACACTTCGCAGCCGGCCAAGTGTAGACAAATCTGAGAGCATGCATCCAGCCGCAGTGTTGAACATGTCCCATTTGTGGTGTTGTTTCGACTTCAAATTCGGTTCTCATCGGAAATCTGCCATCATCAATCAAAGACATCATGGAGGTCTGAGTTTTCGCTGCCAAAATATTGTCCGCTCGAGCTGGCTCCAATGTAGAATATAACAACGTGCGCGATGTTTTGTGCGGAAATACAAGCGTTGTAAGACACACAGTCCCTCTTCGGGCAATCAATGCGCATGCATGTGGTCTTGCGTCACCTGAGGGAGGGTAGACACCCACGTCCCGAACGGAGACCTTGTACAGATATATATCCTTGTTGTTGCTGCTGTTTGGCGTGAACAAAGACGTTCTGATTCGATATCGGAAATCACTGAAAACCAATTTCTGCGGTCACAAGCAAGCATACATATACTTCGAACTGTGTAGTTCATATCTACCAGGTCGCCCCGGTGGTCTAGAGGTTAACCTCGTGAACCTACTTGTAGCAGAGGTTGGAGTTACATTCTCTCCCTGGAAGAATGACAAACAACCTATTTAGCAATTTGTGGTGGAAAACGACTTGTCTGAGTGTTTTTGAGTGTATGTAGTGTGTGTATACTGTACAACTTCACGATCGACGAGGGCAAGGGACGGCTGAACCCTTCTCGCGATAAGAACCAAGGTAAAAACCGCAAGAGGAAATGTGGCGGATAAAAGCAACACAAACAGAAGAACAACTCGTGACCCCGGCTGGGCATGCGTCGTACGTATTCCAACCATGAGAGGTGGGTAGGTGTGATAATGCTGGCGCCAGAATAGCTGGGACGAACACACACAAGATGGGACGAAATATATTTGGAAAATCAATTCCAAACACTCGTGAAACTAAAAGTTAGCACGTCGTCAGTACACCAAAGACAAATCCAGGGTGGGGCGGCAAGTTGTCACAAAGGAAAAGAGCAAAGTCCGTCGCTCCTCGGAAACTGAGCTGAGTCCTCGCACCCCTTGCACCAACCAGGCTTGGGTGACACAGCGGTCGATGTCATCAGATAGCACGTCTGCGAGCACTTTCCAGCGGCCTCGCCAAACACACCACGGTGGCGTTCTTTTCAGTATTACTGCTGTGTTGTCGAACAAGGAGCCGAGGGATTTGATGAGCGTATGCAGCCCATGCACCCGTGTATGCATGACAAAGTCGTAGTGCTGCAGAGGCACAAGAACGGTATATCCCCGTTAGACAACTCAAACCAACGAAGGCCTTCCCTGAAAATCAGTGTGTAACATAAGGGCCATGAACCCAACCTGTTACTATCTTATACTACACATTTCGAAGCCACGCACAAACGGCCATTCAGAAGCGCACATCGCATTCGCTCAGTTTTTTCTTCAAGGTCCTCTTATCCCTGAAGGAGCTACCGCGTTGCAGCAAGCCAGCAGCTATCTTGTTGCCCGAGAGATCCAACAGCTTCAAGCTTTGAAGGTTGTGATATTCTCGTGGTATGTTGCCTGTCATGAACGGTACCAACCGATCGTTAGCCCACACACGCCATAACAGTATCATTTGGCCGATTGAAAATACGTCGACAACGGTTCTCTCCAAGCAATATGAGCTTTGTGTTTGGTTTCCTTGCCGCCGATGGCGGAGACAGGAAACATTAGAAAATGGGGGAGGATGTGATATCGGCCGAAAGTGATAACCAACCAACAGACATGTAAAATCAGGCAACCTCACCTGCAAGCTGATTCTTACTGCAGTCCAATGACACTAGTGCCTTGAGGCTGCCAAAAGAGGCGGGAAGGGTCCCCTCCAACTATCATAGCGAAACGGCCACGAACGGACGGCGGGGGGGAGATGATAGTTAGCACCATTATGCCAAAATAATGTGAAAATGGACATTTTAGGGTTCATCTGTTAGACTACTTCAAGCAAGTAGGGCGTATGGTAAATTCTTCTGGGAATAATAGCAGTGTATGTACGCACCAAACCGTACCTTATTATTTCCCAGGAGAAGGTGCTCGAGATTCTCCAGGTTTGCCCAGGGAATGTGCACAAGGGGACCCATCAGTTGATTGTTGGAGATGTTCAAGTCCTCAAGAGCCTTGCATTCTGCCAATGACGTCGGCAGAGCCCCTCCGATCGAGTTTTTCTCTAGGTTCAGCTTCTTCAGCTAACGGGTATACACACGGAGCCATGGAGATGAGAGACTAGGTTAGTCTGGTTTATTAAAGTTTTCATAGCGGCCACCTCCCCTGAGCAATGCCCCTCTGTGCGTGCTATCATCATATTGTACTTCATCGGTCTACGGCGATTTTTATGCCTGCCTCGCGACCATTAAACCACACTTTTTGCGAAGAACCATTGGACAAACAATGGAGACGCAACTTTGGCAGTGGATCACGACAAACAAAGCACAGCACCAACGTCCAGAGCTGGTGGCTCAGTCTACAGTCTACAGTGCTAACAATCCTGAACCAATGGTTATCACGGACACGTTATGTGTGACTCCTCTTGCCTGCGAAAACACCTGGAGAAAAAGGAGAGAGCACCAAGAAAAAAATATTCACAAATCAATGATGCTATTTGAAGCATCGAGTGTCGGTTGTATCACCGGTTCCAACGTCTCTACCGCACCTTGCAAGCACCTCCAATGTTCGAAGGAAGTTCGCCCGACAGAGAATTCCTACTCATGTCCAAGTAGGTGAGATTTGTCGAGCAAGCGCCAACGCTGTTCGGGATCTGTGGGATGGGTACGAGTTGTACGCGTACATGAAACACAGGCAATACACACGAAGTTGAGGGGTTTTTATAATTCCAAACGGTAAAACACCACAACTGTACTCTATTTATTAGTCTGTGACTTTCCCATTCCACTGGTGCGTGGATGCTGAACCTCAACGGAGAGTAATGTTAACCAGACAGGTGCGGGCCGATTGTCTGATAGACTGGTAGAGAGCAAGGATATCAGAACTCTAGTGCACGTTAGACGGCCTTGGTGGTCCTACTACACTGTCATGATGTGCCGGTCCATCCTGTACAACTACTATCCCGCTCTTCAAGGTCTCGACATGCACCTTCCCCTCAAGGGCGTTGAAGGACACGTCTACGAAGACAAGGGAATCACTGGAGAGTGTGTCGTCTGGAATGCTCCCGTTCAATAGGTTGTGCTGCAGTGACAGCACCTCGAGGCGCGTCAGTCGTCCTAATCCTTGCGGAAGTGGGCCTGAACGAATAGGTGTGAGTGACAGCAGCAGCAGTTGTGGGAATTTTTTTCGGCTGGGGGTCGAAAACCATACGCACTGAATCTGCATGAGAACGCCGTGTTACCTACATACTTCCTCTGTCCCATAAGTCTAGCCCGTTATGGATGACAAGTCGTTCGTGTACTTAGAGGTTGATCCTAGCCTTGTAGTTAGGTTCGTCGGAAAGCTGGTGCGTAGACGATGCTGATGAAAAAAAAAAAGTTAGTGCTTGGCTACAAACATAAGGTCCGAAACACCCCATTTTGGGAAAAATTCTTATGTTTGCAGATTGGGTCTGAATAGTGTGGAACGTCAAGTGTCTTGGTTTTTGTGTAGAACCCCCAAGTTTCTTGGTTTTAGTGTGGGTTCAGTATTATAATTGTTTTAGTATAGGGGTACGTGACATGGATCGTTTGAGGAGCGAGGGGATAGGTTTAGGGTTCGGGGTAATTCTTGGCTTTTTTTTGCCTTGTTCTGGATTAATGCCCCCACCCTCCCCCTATGGAAAAGGGTCGAATAAGGCCATTTTTGGCCTGACTACTTTTTTGTCAGCCGTTAGCCCATGCAGGGTAGTGTGCGAGAAGAAAAAAAATGGATTTCAACCCAAAAATCGCTGAAGATTTCGAAAAAACTATCGCCGAAGACATCTCTCCCAACATAACGAACCAGACTACTTTGGGACAGATTTGGGACAGATGAAGTATATACTTTGTCCAGGTGGTGAGCTAGACTCGAATACTACAACTGCACCAGCAGAAGAAATACAAAAAAAGCGGAATTGGTGTAAGCCTGAAACAAGGGTACATTCAACTGGTCACATTGTCACCTGCGAGTTTATTGTTTGAAGCATTGAGGACTTTCAGGTTCGTCAAACCTCCAAACGACTCTGGCACTGGTCCAATTAGCACGTTGTTGCACAATGATAACACCTCCAGGGCCCGCGCATTGGAGAGCTGGGTCGGGTAAAAAGACAGCGGGGTTGAGGGAAGAGAGCACGTGAGTGGTCGCACCAATAGTTACCACGTGGGTGGTCGCACCAATAGTTACATCTCTTTGCTCTATGTGCGCTTAAGGCCATGGCCAACACAATGTACAGCGCATGGGTTGTACGAGGTCTCACGGCGAAAACCGAATCAAGCGTGCTCGTACCCCGGCTGTGGCTACTGTAGTCCTTACCTCGGATGGGATGTTGCCGGAAAGTTGGTTAAAACTCAGGTCAAGCTGCGTCAGGTTAACAAGGCGCCCCAGCGTGCTCGGAATATGACCTTGACCCAAGAGTGACACGGACAGGGAAAACATCAGAGAGCAGAATGTAACCGTCTAGGATGTGTTGGGTATATACATACTCGAGTTGCCACGATGTGATTTCAAGCAGTTATTGCACCACACCAAACCTGGTGGTTTGGTATGAAACGAGGGAACGCGACCGTGAAACATGATACACACACCTGACAGCTTGTTGTACTGCAGTAAAAGAACGGACATACTGCCTATCCAGCGGGCATCGCCCCCTGGGACCGACCCTTCCAGGAGGTTGTGTGCGAGGTCGACCTTCGTCAGCTTTTGAAGGTATCGTAAACTCTCCGGAATATTCCCTGAGACAAATCACGCATCACGGGGGTTAGAAACCACACGCTCTACGCGTTTGGAACTTGTACTCGGTGATTATCTAAACCGAGAGGGGATCATCTCGTGGGTTATCAAACAGCGGGTGCAGCAAGGTATGCCCATCACTATGTACCCATCTATGTACCTGTACCTGTACTTCAAAAGCAACAGAGGAAACGACTGTAAGTTGGTACCTTCAAGCCTGTTTTCACGGAGCTCGAGGATTCTGAGCTCATCCAAAGAACCTGTGCTTGCCGGAAGCACGCCCACCATCCCGTTTCCCGGAAGGCGGATTTCTACAACCTAACGTTTTTGGTGCCGACAGCAACGGTTGCATCGAAGGCAGGCACCCCGAATCATTGGGACAAGCGCAGCAGGATCATGTACTCTGTACCGGCCAGCCGTTTCATTGCGGTCGAGCTGTTGCCTTGGGGGCGTGGTCAAAGTGCAAACTCGCGAATAGGTCAGTACACATGGCTCTGAGGGATGAGTACATGTTGTTGTTGTTGTTGTTGTCGTCGCCTTCACGTTACAAACATTTGAAGCGATGCTTTTGTCTGGCATTGGGCCTTTAATGCGAAACATCCCCAAAACAGCCTCAATGATGTACCTACTACCCACAATAGTTGTGCTTGCGACCGACCGCAGTCATCGTTTCGTGATGCGTACGATCAAGCCAGAGCGACATACCTTGTTTTTTCTCCCGATGCGCACACCAGACCAGCGTTCCAACCCAATGTCACTTCCTGAACGGTTTTCTTTGGTTGTACCCTGCCAAACAATGGTTTGCGATCGGAGGTGTCAACCGTGCTTCGTTCTACTACAACGAGACATCCCTAAGCGGCGGCACAGCTATCTATTGACCTTCCCTCTTTGTCCATCCCCAACGACTCGCAGGCCTCACCTCCGCCTGTGCACAATCTTCTGTCTCTGGCGGAGGAAGTTCGTCCCACCCCTGGCTTCGCACCCAGGTTGTTGATGACAAGGAGGCCTGCGCGTATATCTCCAGAAGAACCCCTCTAAGCAACCGGTGGACATGGACAAGACAAGTACATATAATTCGTATGGATGTGCGACGAATGGTCTGCTTGTACGCGAAGTGCGACTGAGCTGCCTAGGCACGCTCGAATTCAACGCACTCTTCACGTCCCACAATGACTTTACTTCGAAGTAACGTGATAGGGCACCCATCACGAGGTTCATGGTCACGCCAACGAAGATTGGAGCTCCAGCGTGCCAAACGTGTGACCACGGGTCTAAGAGATCCGCAAAGAAATGGCATCAACAACCAAAACCAATGCGGAGGTGCGACTAACTCACAACGTGCATGCTTTTTTCGAAAAAACAACCCACTATGAGATATTGTTTGGCTATCAGTATGGGTGACGCCACGCGAAGCCTCCAGAAAAGGATCCCCAACGTGCGCGTTTCAACGTCATTGTTCGTCACGGTAGAGCAAGCGGAAGCAGAGACGTGTAGGGTATTACAATGGTCTGCATTAAGGTAAGGGCGGTGCCTATGGGGGTGGTAGTCTGTATTCACGTGTGTAGTCGGAGATGCTCACCAGCACCGACATTGCAAGTAATTCGGTGAAAGTGGTGATGTCGCTTTCAAAAGCATCTCTCGCCCAACGGGTGATTAAAATCGCACAAGGACGTTGAGAGCACCACTCACGAGTCACACCAACACACTACATACTACATATATATGAAAAACTCACTTGTCTCCCGCCGGATGGTGGACCCCAGCAGTTACAGCGTTAGAAGCCCAGGTCGATGCGTGTGATTTCTTCCCAGGTCCTCCGGGACTTATTGTTGAACCTTGGCCCCGAGTGAAGCAGATTCGAACAGGGCGCGGCGTGGTAGGCAAAGTACCCATGACTTGCGTATAACCCAACGGAATCCTTCCATTTATGCCGGAAACGTTGTCTCCGGGGCGCACACCAGCGGCAGCAGCAGCCCCCCCTTGAGAATTGTAGAGAGAAAACATGGGCAAGTGAGTCGCGGTGTCAATGATGTAACGCAACACTTCACCTCATACCGTTGCATTGTAGTTTGTTTCCTCGACTTTTACGACAAGGAGAGATGCCAATGTTTACACGGTTGATATACGTGCAGCCGACAGTTTTCCTTCACTCTCACCTTGTTCTGTCTTCGATACCTCAGCACGGGCATCGACGTTTTTCAGGGACATCCCCATCGGCCCCTCCCCGAACGAGACCTGCGATACCAAGAAAAATAAATCCTTCGTTAGAACTCGACGAGAACATCAGTTGCGTAGAGGGGCATTCGGGTAGAAAATGATGTGATTTGGAGAAACATACCTCATATTCGCCGCGCTTGGCCCCGCCATCTCCGGCGCTTGCCCCGCTCGCTAAACCTGCATCCGCTAGCCAGCCACCTGCCATCACACCTGCGGCTAGCCCTACCCCATAGCTCTGACTATAGGGCTTAATGTGGAGGGAAGGCCCTAGAGCCCTTCCATTGACAGCTTTGCTTGCGACAGATTGGACCGCTGTAGCGTTCACGCCGGGCTTCGGTGGCCGCCCAGGTGTGAGCCTTGCTTGAGGGTGGATGGCACCGGTGGCATCCTGCGGCACTGTGTTGACGAGGCACATGTAGTGCAAGTGGAAATGTGGTGTGAGATTAGGGTAAGTGACAGAAGGATTGTGAAGCGTTAAAAGTGTTTTTACTACGAACTTCGATGGTGGCATGTGATCTGACATCGTTTTTCCAAGAGGGGGGTGTCGATGAGAGCAATCTAATCTTTCCACTCTATCGAGATCGATCTTGGTTGCAGCTTGCACGCTGTCGTTGTTGTGCCGCTCCGCTCACCTTCGTTCTTCTCTTCTTGTCCATGCTCCCCTTTGGCACCATGCGGGTGTGGGGGGGGTGTCCCAGGCCCCGTGGAAGTTTCACTGTCGCCTTCCAAGAGATTGTTTTCTCTGGCATTCTCAAGAACACTAGCACCTCGAAGGGATGCAATAACGGCGATTATGGAGTGAGGCGGAAACAAGTCAATTTGAACATGAAGAGAGGCCATACGGTCCACGCCTTCTGGGACGAGGTTATCGACAAACGCACTACGACTGTATCCGCGGTTGGCTATCGAGGGCGTGCGGTTCAAGTTTTCGTTCTTAGTGTCCCCTACACATTGCCTGGTGGTGATGGAGTGTTTGCTGAATGTGTGGTATAACGGGTAGTACACGTGGGAACTTGGGGGATGTAAAATACGAACTCACGATTTCAGCTGATCTTGGTCTAACGTTTTTTTGTAGATCCTAACATGCTTAAGGGCAGCCAGGACATCGTCGTGCTGCTTCTTGCTCTCGTCGGTCATTCTTGTGACCGATTGTTCCAGTTTCTGCTCGATCGAAAACCAGGACAGAAACCATGTCGGAGGGTGCGAGTTCCGTTAACTATATTCTTGAAACAGATGATACTTTTTCGAATATCTTGGGCTATTTGGCCTAATGAATTCCTGAAATATCAGTTGCTCAAGCGAAGAAAAAGTGTACCACTTTTGTCACCACCGTAATCACACGATACAGTTAAGCAAATATCCGCCGCCATTCTGTCCACCCGCCTTGTTCCCCTGCCCACCACGTTCCAGGCTAGGCGGAACACATCAGAGTTGGCATATCGAGCGTGCGACACGATACTATTGTACGAGAAATGACAAATATGCTTGATGTGCGATCCCTCGAGCCAAGGTCGTTTCAGTATCACTATCATCATGGTGACAATCACCGCATGGCAATATGTACGTATGTGGATTCACTAAGTGTAAGTGGTGCAACCCCCTCACCTCCATGTTGGCCGCTACAGAAGCCAGTTGATCCTCCACATGCGCGACGTCCCTCATTTCAGCTTGAGCGCTTTGTTTCTTGAGGGAGTGGTAGTCGATCTCTAGATGGAGATTCTGTGTTTTGGAGCGGAAACCACGAGATAACCGCCAAGGTGGGTAGACTTAATGGATTGTCAGTATTCACCGGTTGCATTGTTTTCGTGGAACCTAGAGAAAGCCTGGAATCTTTGTTACTTGATAGGATGCTGCATTGTCACCGGTAGAGGGTTGACAATACCTCTGACTCCTTGGGTGGTGATGCGAGGGTGTTGGATGTGTTTCGTCTTGAGTATTTGATGTTGTTTAGCTTTTGGTTTTGGGGGACGCAATACATTTCGTTGACAATGTGGCGGAACCATGCAATGCTTTACATGGGTTAAATATTAACCGCAATCAGAATCTTTCAGGGGGCACTTGGTGATGTGACCGAGACGCGGATTCGCTCGACACGGCTTCACACCCAATAACTTCTTGCAGCCTAGCCTAATATGCATAGATAGGTGCGCCTTCGTTTAGCAACGAATCGCCGATTCTTCTTCCGACATTGCACTTAACAGGTGTAACCGTTCAACACCCTTCATGCGATGTGTCGTGTATTTTCTGTAGCGAAGCGTCTCTTGGATGAGACGTCTCATCTTGTGGGTATGAAAACACAAGAACAAATATATGTCTGTCGGCGGTTTGAGAGAGAAACACATTCAATCCTGAGAAGGACGGCAGGGTACCTGGAAGATGTAGGTTAAGCTTTCGTGCAGAACTTGAAATGTTTCTGCGTGCTTGTCTTTCTTCAAGGCCTTGACCATCCACTTGCCGTCTTCGAAGCTCCGCATGAACTCTTGGCATTCCACCAAAACTGCATGGGCCCGAACGAGGCAATCCTGCTCTCGTTGTACCAATACACAAGAGCACCGTGGTTGGCCTATTGTAGTTGTTTAATCAACTGGTTTTGTCTCGTTATTTGTTTCTGACTTTCCACGACCGCCAGCACAGTAAATATAATGTGTATCGCTGCACAAAAGCGTCGACTGCTTCTCAGAACTTTCCTACGTTTGTTTGTAGGGGGTGGCGAGTGTCTCGAAGAACAACAACTCGGTACACAGAAGCTTCAGGAAACTCTGTAGAATATTGCCAGTGGCCTTGATTGGCATCACATCGCTCGCTGCGAAGGGCGAGACAACGAGCTGGACAAACTTAGTACTCCGAAGTAGTCTACATTCCAACCCTCTCCGTGTCTACACTACATATATATATCTAAGACAGAGGCTTTTTCTGTCCCTTCGTCTGTTCAATAACCTCATTCCCCAGTGCACAACCCTGTGAGTCCAGCTGGGTTGCCCAAGCTTCGAAACACTTTGTCCCACTTGTACCATGCCATGGGGGCGGATACCTACGTAGATAAGTAGACTACTGTTGACTAAAAACATACGTCATTACTGCACTGACTGCTGTTGCTGTAGGGAACGATCAATTTTGGGGGGCGGGGGAATGGAGGTGGATTTTACCATGCAAGGTCCAGTTCGATCGTTATAGATTGGCTCACCTGATGGCTTTGTTCAAGCTGTTCCTCGTCGTTCATGCCGTGCATCCTCTCCAAATGCCCGGCGAGAGATGAAATTCGGTCAACTAGAAGTTGACATTGGTCCCGATTTATCCGCACGGATTCTGGCACTTTCGCAAGCAACAATGCCAGTTTAATAATTGAAGTTGTGACATCAACCATTGTCGAACCCCCCCCCTCAATAAGTCTATGCTTCACACGTACTTTCCAAGCCCAAAGAACACACAACCTCGCCAAATGTGGAAAAGTTCGAAAACTACTGCCCGAAACCTACGGCCGCGGTCCTGCTGCTGCTGCTGTCGACTACAGAAAGCAACGTGACGTGCGCCCTCTCTCTCGGATATAGTTCTAGAAAGACATACACAGCATCACAGAAAGACTACCCTTTCGAGATAACTCTCAATGTGTTGCAGTTTTTTGCAGCAGCAGTGATGGTTGAGGGAAACTACAGCCGAAGCTGGGCGTATCATATGCATACTGCTGTATGCATACATGCGTCGTACTGTGTGTGTAATTATTTTTCCTAATTAAGGAATAATAAAAACACACACAGAAAGACTACCCATTCGAGATATTCTGTGGTGAATGAAGTGCCGGTTCACATCCAACCGGGATCTATCTGCCCGCATCTATTTCATTTCGGACATGACTGACGACTGACATGACATATGACATGACACAGATGACAGCAAGACAGAGCAGTACACAGCCGTGTGTGCGTGCTTTCTTCTCATAATTTCTGCTGATGGCTAGTTTACACCGCCTCCTTTGGCATACCTACGTTTCACGCACCAGCCAAGATCACACATAACACACAACGTGTGTGTGTGTTTTCGTCCTGAAAAATGGACCCCTCTCTCTCTATCACAAATAGCGCCAGCCCCATTTTTCGTTGTGAGACGTACTACACTTTTCAATGTATTTTTTCTTACAACTACAACCAACCATCCAGGGTCACACAGGACGGGGTAAACACTTACCGGGCCTTTTTCTTCTTCTTGATTTTTTTCTTGCCCCACCTACCTCCTGCGGTGCGTGCTGAACTATTTTTTTTTTATCGCGAGAAGGGTCCAGCCATCCCTTTCGCTCGTCGACGGTGCTGATGTTGAAGCTTGGTACTCACGTTTGTTCGTTTTTTCTTCCCACCTATCTACTGCTTGCTGTATGCATACTACGGCGATGATGTTGTCTACGCACTTTCTAATCAACGTTTATACATGACGAACATGCGCATCGACGCGACCGACTCTGCGGGATATTTAATCCTCATCCTCCAGGGTTAGCACGAAGTTTCGCGCGATATCCAGCGAGCATTCTCCCCAAAGGCCAGGTGTTCCGTTCAACGCCGATTTCATACATAAAACGTGTTATTGTTTCTTATGTTGTATGCTGTTGAAAGTAGACGTTGCTATGCATACATCGCTCTCATTTATTTGTTGCTTGACCAACGATGTACATCTTTGCTTCAGGGTTTTGAGAACAGAAGCGGGGAGTGGCTCCCCCGGCATGCAAGGTGTGAGGCAAGTCGGATCAGGAGCTTGTAGAGTAAGTTCACAACGAACATTCAAAAAGGTTGAAATCGCCCGACAACGTCCATCAGTTTGTACTTACCAAATCACGACAAATTCAAGAAGTTTTGTAGCGCACTTCAACGCTGACATGCTCATCAAATGAATGAAGGCATGTGGACGTGGCAGCCTCTGGTCCGCTTCGGGCATGGCGTTTTCGGGGATCAGGTCGACAGTTCCTGATGAAAGCATCCCCAAATCTTCGCAACTTCCTCGGATTTGGACATGTAGCACATCAGTTCAGTTCTGATCGGGCTCCAGTATTTCTTTGAAGTGGCGGGGTGTTCACGTGCGTCGTGTGCGCCGCGGCCGGGGGGGGGCTCAGAACCGCAAAAACAGGCAGGAGAAGAGGTGCAAAAATTGGGCATCCATCCTCGGGACAGAAAAAATCACGTATGGGTGAGAGACCCAAAAGCTCTACCAAGCTTGAGAATAGGTCGTCCGCACGTCCGTCCTTCTTACACCTGACCTCCCTGGGTCCGCTTTCCCCAACTCCTTCGTCGAGTATGGTAGGTGCACTACGAAGAGGCGGGTAATCCAGGTGATTTTTCTCTGAAAATCGAATGGTGCCGAGATCGTCGTCTCCAGACCAGTACGTTCCACACAGCCGTGACACGGGGCGGCCGAAAGCAAACTACGTTGTTTTTCTCGGCTGAATATGCAAGAAATCACAGACGCCGAGCGGGTTGGGTCAAATGTGACGACTTCGGCTGGTATGTAGAAGACAAGATCACACGGGCAACCACGGCTCGCTCCATGTGCCTGCAATCCGTGTGCACGTTCTGAGTTCAAGCATGGGTTCCCGGGCAGCATGAGTGCAACGACAGCTCTGGAGTTGATGGTAGACTGCACGTCGTGTCTTGTGTGGAAATAAGGCAAAACGGCGCTGAGAGCAGCCTAGACGCCCGCGTTCAGGCTACTCACACCCGCTGCTGTTGACGCTGGTGAGCGTGTCAACTGATGCGAGTTACCCTTTCCAATGTATAATCACGCCAAGCATGCGTTTGATTTTATAGCCAGCCGAGAGGCAAGACAGGAGTCTCAAGAACAACGTTCGAAAACCCCCATCAAATCCTTCCCCCCCCCTCCCTCCAGTCCAGGCGCCTCGTGAGCCTCAACACCATGCAGCACGCCATGCAACGGATGCGGAGAACCGCAGTGACGCCTTCCACTTGCCAAAGGTAGGAAAATTAGATCTGCGACGACGAAGAGAACAAAGTACAGCAGAACATCCAGGTGTGGGTAGATGATCGGGGGTTCATAGCAAAACCTCTCCACGCGACGTGTTCCGAAGAATCGCGTATTCAGTGCCAAATAACAACTAGAATTCGCGCCATAGAACAAAACAGGAAAACATGGTGGAGAAAGTCTCCAGACACGCGAGTTGGTCGCGGGGATATTGAAAAAAGAGAAAAAGCCAGTGATCCACTCTTTCTCGAAATACTCCCCAGGTCTACTCTTGTATATCTGCCACGTATACGCTGCCGTCGGTGTTTGTTGCAAGGCAACGTGAGTTGAGTACCTCGGCCCGTTGGTCGCGGTTGCCACCAGCGAAAATACGCTATTTTCCCCGTTGATAAAGCTATAATCGTTCATGTTACTGGGGCGGGACAACGCGGATATATTTGCGTGTGAGGGAGAACGGCGTGTTGTGGAGAAACTTCCAACATTGCTAACCCCGCGAGCACTCTTCAAATCGATATTACTTTGCAGCGGTCGACTAGAGATAACCGTAAGACGAGCGTGCATAATACTAGCGTACGTCACCCCCGCGGCGGCCAACCCAAGCGAGACGTTATTACACCAAACAAACCGCAAACGAGGGTGGTGTGCACGTGCACAACGCCAAGCTGACACATAAACCCGACTGATTGAGCAGGGTGGCTACGGCGATCAGTCGCACGGATTGCGGGTTCGATCCTCTGATGTGGAAAACGAAACCCCACGTAATAAGGAAGCAACGATACTTCCGACTTAGAGCTGTCCTAGGATGCCGTCAGTGACCATCACACATCTCCAAATGATTCCATCATACCTTGAATCCGTTGGACCTGCGGCGACCACGGGCCTTCTCGAACTTGCGGCCCTTGGACCGGATGTACGGCTTGACGGAGTCGTGGGTGTGCAAGTTGTTGACGCTAACACAAGCAAAATACGGTGCGAGACGCAAAGATGATCGAGAGAAGGGGTCATGAACAATCGAACCAGCGTGATGGGCGTAATTGATCCGTGAGGATACCACAAAAACAATGTTTGCGCGAATCAGCCATCAGGGCGTTGTTGCTGGAGTCCCTAGTTGGTCGCAATGCTGAATGTAACCTGTACAACAGTTCCTCGTGGATCGACAACGCGGTTTAGACAATGATACAAGTACGGGAAGCAACACCTGCTGCCACTCGCTCATGTCATCTGTTGCCTCAAGCCCGCTGAAACAACCGCAAGAGAGACCCCAACGAGTGATTCGCGACAGATTTCGGGACCCCCTGTGTTGTTTCATCATGATCATGAAAGGCCGAACTTACGTGGTCCTGTGGCCGAAGTGCCTCACAGCCTCGCGGGCGTTCTTCGGGCCGCGCAGGAGCACGGTGTTGGTGCCCTTGGGGGCGCGGAGCGCCAGTTGATCGAAGGTGATGCACTCTCCGCCAGCAGCGAGGATACGGGCGCGGGCGGTCTCGGTGAACCTGAGAGCGCACACTACGCGACGCGTGACATCACAGGACGGTGTATGGGGGCAGGTAGAGGTTCCCTCACGCTCAGAAGAACCGGATATGCATCACATGCCGAGAGCAAATGATCTACACAGAGCGAAAGCAGTGTTACCTGTCGTGTCGAAATTTGAGTACTTCCAAGTATATGAAGAGAACACCGCAATCCAATTACGCAAAAATGCAGAAAGAGAGCGCCGTGAAGGAACGATTGACAAAAACAGGGATAGCCCCAACGCCACGCGTTGTTGTCATTCAAGTATTTCAATTTGTTCTGATACGTGGGGGGGGGGGGGGGTGTATGCATGGTTCACGTAGCAATTAGAGAGCATTGGATCATCTCTTCCGCAGGCATTTCAGGCCCCAGAGTTGCAAGTGGGACAACGCTTCCCAAACGGATTCAAGGCTCGTCGCACAGGCGGAAAAGGGACTTGAAGCCAACGGAAAATTAGTTGAGCACTTGCTTCGAATGAATGATGCCTCAACCCCGCTGTAGTCAGTCAAGTAGTTGGGGATGGCATTGGTCCTCCTATACGATGCGGAAAATACCTCTCGACAAATCGGCAAGTCTTGCCGTCCCCATTTGGGACTTGGGAACAAGTTGTTGTCAGACTCCTAATACGACATACGATTGACGTGGAGAGTATATGGCTTTGATAATACGCACACACAGGGTTTATAGAGCGGTTACTATGTTATTCTGGGCGACGCCCTTAGAATCTGGCTCGCTTCCGGGGCCATGATTCTTACCCGTTGACAGTCGAAGTCGTTTCGCGGTTGGTCGATGATAATTTAAGAAACACACACGGGTGTCGAGTTGGGCAATGCAACTCACATAATAAAAGAAACGCTTACCCAATTGATCCCTATGATACAGCAGATCATACCAGTACACACCGTAGCCCCGAGATGCTAGTTTTGAGCCATCGCCTGACATGGTCCGCCTTTCAAGGTTGTATACACTCCAATCTGCCTTGTTCATTACAATGGTAGTCCCCTGCTGTACGGGGTAGACATCTAGATACAGTGCTCAACATAAATATACAGACTCAATCGCCCCAGGGAGAGGTAACGATAACAACCACAATTGTGGGTTCACGCACCAAGCTTACAAACATAGCACAACCCTCGTGTTGCACGCTGTAATCTCTGTTCGGGCTGAACAATGATAACCCTTTTGATCAGTACAAAAGCATACAGCAGTAGTACCTGTTGATATTCGAGAGAACCTCACAACCAGGTCGCGGTGTACAGCAAACAGAGATTGATCTTCGTTGTATATAGCCATCTGACAAGCGAGTATTACAATTAACACTTCTTGATGTTTGACGTGCTACGCTTCAACTCATTATATTGCCCGAGGCCAGGTGCATTAGCTGTGAGGCAAGCGCCCGAGCGCCACCCACTCGCACGGCAACAGGGTATTAGAGACGTGTGGGAAGCAAGAACAGACCACCACACGCAGATTGCTCACCGGACAGCTTGGGCACCTCGAGGAGACGGACATCGTCCGTAACGGTTCCCACAAGTACCGCCGTGCTGGTCTCCTTGTTCCTCATGTACCGCGCCAGGCGAGAGAGGGACAGGGGTGCACGGTTGGTCTTGGACATGTACAGACGCTTGAGAACGACGTTAGCGAAGGCGCTGTCCGTCCTCCGGGCAAGGAACCTGAACAGCTTCACCAGCAGTCCGAGGTACACATTGTCCGACTTGGGCGACGTGCGGACCTTGTGCCCGACACGGCGGCCACCGGCCACGAGATCAATACCCATGCTGCTGAGAGAGAGGCGCACTCACGGCTGTGGGGGAGCACAGGTCGGCGGGGCCACGAAAATCGAAAAGCAGGAGCTGCACAAGAGAAAGCCAAACATTTTGGAGGCGGGGAGAGGGGCTGCAACACTGTGATATGGGGGGTGCAAAGAACAATCGGCGGAGCACCCGCGCGCTCGAATGTTTTTATTTTTGTATTTTTCTTAATATGACACAACAAAACCATCTCTATCATAGAAAAGAGTCTGAGACAGATTAGCAATGGATTCATAGCGTCAGAAAGTACCTGTATGTCTACGATTTCCCAGACAGCATATAGGGACATCTCCCCTGCGGGTAACAGGCTCAACAAGACAATGCTTTGCAGTTTCCGTTACGTTTCGTCAGCGTTACGTGTGTGCGTGGCAGGTTGGCAAGCGCATTGCCGTCTCCATCCTTTGCTCTTTGTCTCTCTGCTCCGTCGAAACTCGTTCTCTCTGAGCTAGAGCTCGGAAGAAGAGATGGCATCGTAATATGATATCTTGGTTGACATATTCAGACCGCATGCACAGCAGCTCTCAGTTATTTGCAGGGCTGTTGTGTACTTGTAGAAGTTTGCTGGCATCCCTCTGCTGATATGTTACAGCACTGCTGTATATCATGTAGATTTAGATCAGCCCGGCATCTAGCAGGGTTATTCCCCTCTCACTCACTGGAAAGATTTTCAACACATCCCCTTCGACTGCTGTAGTATTCTCTACGGGTTGGCTTTTCAGGGTATCTAATCATATTTTTTTGACTGTCTCAAGCTGCATCTACTTCGGAGTTACAGTCTAATATGTACACTCCGTATGTCGTGTATAGTCTAGGCGGTAAAGGTGTTGCAACCGCGTGTACTGCTGTATCAATATACATTTCTTGATCTTGTTCATCCCTGGGGGCAAGTTGTGTCCCTACCTGATGGTGCAAATTGGATTGTTTGGCATGAAAGCTGAAAGCTTGATCCCCCCACGAATGAACGCGGAGCGCGCAAAACACGATCGGGGCTTTCTTTTTTTGGATATTGCATTAATGTTTTTGATGTCGGTCGTTTATACCTTTCTTTGCAATTTCTGGACGCACCAGCAGGGGGCACACAGCAGGTTTTTCTTCGCCTTCGTTCTGCGGTGATTTAGCGCGAGAAGGATTCCCTCGTCGAACGTGAAGTTGATTATGATATTACACCATCCACTTAGTTAGGTAGCTGGCACCGTTAGGTTCGACGAGCCTTTTGTGCGAAAAAATATCACTTCATTGGAAATACCTCGTCCAGTGAGTGTTTCCAACGAAATAAACAAAGACCATGCAGAGAGAGGCTGCAGATATGGACTACAACAGCTAAACCACCCGCTCGTGTCAATCGGTTCAGCCATCAAGGCGAAGTATTGGCCACAACCATCAATAAAACCCACTCAATGGGAAACGTGTTCAGGAACGACCGCTATGTCGACCGTTTGGCAGCTTCATGCCCGAAATTGAGGAAAGGCAACCGAACAAATTTAATTATAGTTGAAAACGGCAACGCACACCGCCGTCATCTTCATGTTGCCGGTGAAATCCTTCACATGCACCGGATGAGAGTCAGCACCGCAACAATTCTTAACAACGAAAACACCAGTACCAGTACACTAAGCATGTGGCATCTAGTCCTCACGCAAGGTGAAATCAGGTATGTCTGTCCTCCCTATACGACCTATGTCGCCACTGTAGTACTTGTCATCTATTCTGTTGATTTCCATTTTCGAGTGTAAATCACGTCCCTACAATCGCAAAGATCAGCTGCCCTCGATATATGCAAGCTGTTACTGGAATCCTCTTTGCTCGATCCCCAGGCCGTTCCTGCTTCTCTGTTCACAATTGGTCCGGGATGTACCTGGGACATTTCAAGACAAGAAACGATACAGTGCGGACGGGAAAATAAAGTGGCAGGGTAAATGACGGGGGAAAAATACCTCTACTCGAAACGCTTGCACGAATATTTGAGGAAAGGTCAAGGCAGATGTTGAACCGTGAACAAGGGAACGGATGATAGATTCTAGAAACGGAAAGGCTACGTACCAATGCTGTGCTCTGACAGAAGCAGTCTCGCCATCCAATCGCACTCACTTGAGAAGGACACCGTCAGAACCGATAGCAAATCCCTTGTCTCCTCCGAAAAATTTCACGTCGTAAAGGTTCGCCCCGATGTTGGTAGCGCCGGAACTAAACTTGAACGTTTCGCCACCATCTGTGGAATACCACAGACTCCCACCTCCACCAACAGCCCACGCCTCGTTGTCGTTCTGGGGGGATGGGGACGAAAGAAAACGAGTGAGCCCCGTAATAATTGCACAGGATGTGAGACGGATACGTAGATGGAACGCACGAGCTTCTTTGATCAAAGACAACGAAACAAAATCACATGAGAGTGATCGCAGACAGTTCAATTATCTGCACCAACCGGAACTTCAAGTAGTCTCTGCCTACCTTCCACGCGACATCGATGATTCCGTAGCCACCAGACTTGATCGCTGTTTCCGAAAATAGGGGGTCACTCGTTCCTTCGGGTAGGGTCGTTGACATCTGCATTGCTCCGCCGTTGAGCGTCATCCACAGCCCCTCTGCCGCACGGTCCCTCACGAAGCCCATGTTCTGGATACGCCGAGAGGTTCCTCTGCAGGTGGAGGAAACAAAACGGGTCGGAGCCGTTCCAGCAGACACCAGGTTACAGCAAATCGATTGATCGTATGGGAGCGAACAGAGAGACAAAAACGATAGATATATCGCGACGACGTTGCACACCAGTTGAGCTTGCTAGACCAGTGTTGATTCATGGGAAACCAGCCTATCAACACTCGTTGTACGATGCTTTGCTGGCTTACCGGTTGTGTGGGATCCAGAAGTCCTGTCCAGGGGACCATGTGAGGTAGAAGTTACCGCGAGATGACACGGCCAAGTAGGATCCGTCCTCCGCCCTACATGCGCGCGACAAGCGTGGGTACTATGGTCACAATGTACGTATAACACGGCAAGTGTTGATGTATTAAAAGTGGATAACGCCGCAGCACAGTTATCTGGGCAGCGTGTAAAGGGTTTTGGGAGGGTCACGAGCATGCCACCTTTCTTCTTTACGCAGCAATAATATTTGCACAATGCAAGGTTCAGGGCTAGCCTGGAAGCAACTCTGTGCTGCACTGCCCCGTAACCGTACACCACGGCAGCCTTCGGAATGGTATCAAGAGCATTGCAAGTACCGCACACATCATGGGGCCAAATCGCGTTCGACACTATGGTCGATATTCAACGAGTCGTGCCTTACAGCGGACCGAGGGACACTTCACACCTGGTGGTCCCGATAATAGACCCAGTGAAGTAGCTTGCACCGCTCACTCCGCTCGAAGAAATTCGGTTCAACGTGGCATCCACCGTTTCCTTCACCTGGTATAGGCAAGTTCAATCGCAACGACCAACGGGGAAGGTGAGGGATAAACCACTGGAGAGGAGGTCAGCACAAGAGAAAATCGCGTCTTACATGTACAAGTACAGTGGTGCAGCTCCGTGCTCCAGATGCCATGTGTGGGTCGCAAAACAGAGCAAACTTGGGGCCTGTAACAGTTGCCTGGAAAAAACAAGCCACTTCTCGCACCTGCGCAGACCAGTTCATCCCGGCATTCTTGGTGTAGTAAATCGCTCCAGAAGAGGTGGTCATTTCGGCCTTCGCACCGCCCAGTGCCACGATGTTGGACGGTTCTCCAGGAAGCTGTATCGGTCCAATAGAAACGCCAAAGAGCGGGCGAAACGCATCGCGTAAGGAAGAGTCACAGTTGATCCTAAAACAACTTCGCTACACTTGGGAAGGCCCGGCTAATTAGGAAAATCATCATGGTAAGGCGTCCCTCAAGCAACTACTTATGATAACCTTCCGTTATCAACTTCACAACATGTGTCTACCGCACAACACACATCGCTGCATGAAGCCCCCGCGATCGCTCCCCGAATGGGAAGCGACCAAACATCGGCTCGCATCTTAGTCGGGGACATCGGCTTCCTCACAACATACGAATCATGTGCGAAAACAAACCTTAGGTGAGAGAGGTACGCGTTCCCAGGTCTTTCCGGCGTCCTTGCTGTGGAGGAGGATTGGCGGTTTCCCAATGATGAAAATCTCGTCGTTGTACATGGAAACCTGCGTATGGGACGGAGTGCAACCTTGAAAACCCTGCCAATGATCGAAAGAGACCATCGGCATGCTTCCAGTAGCTTCACAGCTGCTCCATGCGCTGATCTGTAAGCCATGCTAGCAATGCTGCGTGTCATACTGCTCTTGCGGTAGCTATCACGTAAGTCAGCACCCACTCAAACTCGGCGATCCCGACGAAACACGACGTGCTGGGCTACACTGTAATCTGCAACAGTGCACGCGCCGGTTGAACAATTGCATCGTGCAATCGTGGATGATGTAACACTTTATCACACGCCCCATCGCAGTGCTTTCATTGTCGACCTATGGACTCAAAGTTTCCGCAACGCACAGATGACTTCCCACCTTTTGGAAGCGGTAGTTGATCTCCTCCTCCTCATCCAAGTTGCCAAAAGTCCGAACACTCCATTTGTACCCCCCGTCGAACGTCTGGGCGACATGCAGCAGTCAGGAGTAACAGCAGTTGTCACGAAAAGGTACAGTTAATGTGTACGTCCAAGATGCCCTTGCTGGAGAGAAACCAAAACCTACAGTAGTACGTACCATACGGCGACCAAGCCTGTACTGCATGAAGAGAAAGTGCTTCCCCACATCAGCAGAGGTACGGCGGTGGGTTCTACTTGCTGTCTTGCAGCAACCTGGAGAATGCAAAGAGCAAGCCTTTGAGAATGCAAAAAGCAAGCATGGACTACTACTGGTCTTTAACATCACTGCTGTGTGTCGCTTCCCTCGCATCAAAAACTAGTCGTTGCCGACAACACTGCTGTTCCAGTATGCCCCCCGACACACGTGATCCTCCCAGGCGCTGTACGAACCCCCGGTCTGCCGACAACACTCACAGCACCCATAGGCAGCAGTGACATTGAGTATTCCCAGAGAGGGCCTATCTAGCCCACCAGCAGCGAGGTTTCGGATTTATGTCGTGGTGGGAGCGAAATGGGGTGTATCTCTGAAAATGATGCTTCCTGCAGCGTAAGTTTAATATTTTTTACCTTCAGACAGCGTTTTGAAATGCTTTCTGGGGAGGGTAATGTTGTCTGGACTGTGTCTGTCCTAATTTCTTCATATGGCGAAGAACAGCAGTGCGCTCTCTTCGTAACCATCGTCGTGGGTGACATTTTGATCTGCCCCCTACTGTTAATTTACTTCCAACATGCAAGCCACCGCTGCCCTGTCATTTTTTGGAAGTAACGGCAGCGACAACAGATCTGAACACATTGCAGACATGCCGGTCCCTCACACATCTACAGCCTGTAATACAACGACTACCGACATGTTCTCTAATCGGCGATTGTAAATGGCCAAAAATGTTCCTTTCAAATGTGCACATTTCATGTCGCGAGCTTCCTACAGCAGTAACAGGACGTTGACAGCAGTTGGCTCACGTTGATCTCATCATGAACACACCTTCATGACACACGTAATTTTGCATGCTACCGCGTCAGAATGACTAACAAACGAATAGGAGACGGGACCGACCAGGAATTGCTGCACAAGCGAGATGCAATAAACTCACGGTACACCCACCTCGAGAAAGGTTCCTTGAGCACCAACAACGAGCCCATGGTCCGGGTGCTCCGGATCAAACGCGATGTCATAGAGCACCGACGCAACAGGAAGCTGGATCTGCTCCCACGCGCTTACGGTAGCTGCTTCAGCCGCCGGGGGTGCTCCCGTCGATGCGCCCACCGCAACCGCGCTTGCGGCCAGCCCCAAGGCGGAGTCTTTCAAGAACCCTTCCCTAGATTCGGATACGTCGTCCAGAGACATCCGCATCGGTCGGCTAGAAACAGCCGAGGTGTGCTCGTGCCCGAACCCTCGTGCCTTCACCTGCTGTTGAGCAGGCTTGGTGAGTCCATGCGGTACGAACGCCGAGACTCCGGCAAGAGCTGCTAGCAGAGCACATCCTGACTTGGACGCTGTCATCACGCCGCCTATGATCTATGTGATGATCGTTGCTTCGCACCGCTCTCTATCTGTCTGCTGTTCTATCTGCTTTGGGGTTGATACATGTGTGTGTAGGAGGTGGACGAGAGACAAAAGACCAAAGACGAGAGACCAAAATACAACAGCAGTAGTTGCACCGCATTTTTCATGTGTCTGCCCGCTTCGGAGCTTCGGATGTCCGCATGTCCGCATGCTATCATGCTTCCTCTCATCCGACGTGAAATGAGAACATGAGAATGACAATGCTCACGAGGGGTATAGCTGTTTTCCTGTACATTCTGCAGGCGGGAACAGTGCTCAGCTTTTCTACTCCTTCGGTTGTTTCAAAGAGGTACGGACTTCTCGCGATGTGCATGTAAGATCGATCCCAGTATAGCATCCCATAGTTACACGTCAAACAACAACAACGTCAGCAGCATCTATATGTATAATATACAGCGGACAGCAGGACGCATAGCGGCCGACTTTGTTGAACAGCAGTGTCACACGGGTACCAGGTATCAAACAACAGGGTGGAAGTCTCTCGCCTTAAAAACAGTGTCTCTATGCCGCGGGTCTGTGCCAGCTACAAGAACAGAGAATGAATGCACAGCAGTTCGACGCTGCTCAGGTGTAGGCTGCGGGTGTAATGTTGGTTGTGCTGTGTAGCTCCTGTTGGGGTGTATTTGGACGATACGGGTGCATGCCGCGCAAACCCATCTTTATACGACGCATGTAGGGATGGTGGAGGATTTACGTTGGAAGAACCCGTTCATGTATTGTCGTTTCGGATCACAAGTATAATTATTCCCCATGTACTACACCGCGGTCCTGATTAAAATTACGTACCATCCCGTTGCCACTTGTTTACATCAAGCCGTGGTGTGGCTTCTCTTCGTGCCGGTCTTCTAGACGATATCGGGAAAATGGCGTCAAAGCTGGGAGCAAGTGGAGGTGCTGGCCCAACTGGTCCTGCGCTTTTCGGTGACTCTCCGGACCCTTCCTGGTCCAGCCTTCGCGGCGAAGCCATTGCCACGCCGACGGGTGCCGGAATAGAGGAAAACAAAAGGTGCGCAGATTGCCGCAGGGTTGGGATCTTATGTTTACTGTTTCTGTACTCGTTTCGTCGCGTCGCGTACCTGACGGATATGGATGCGGGTCACAACATCAGTGTTCGTTTTTAGCAAGAGTGTGACATGATCCTTTTGCGCTTGGAGGCAGGTTGTGGGATGCAGGTGCTGGTCCCCCACACACAGACGCAAAGCTCAGGCTCTTCGGGACCACAGGGGAGCCGAGGGTCGTGTTGTACCGAGATACCGCGGCATGGTGCCCCTACTGCCAAAAGGTGTGATAGCCTGAGATGTGCCCTTCGCATAGAACCAACGTTTTTTCGTTCGATATGACCATTTTGTCGTGACACCCGTCGCACCACATTTTGTGTGTCAGCGGAGTGGTATGTGACCCATCTTCGTGCTGAGGTCGCACCTGAAGTTGTTAATTATCTCAACGATATGCTTCTCTCCTCTTGCTCTGTCTGCGGTGCATACGTCTTCTCGAACGAGGTTTGGCTCATGCTCGAAGAGAAGCGGATACCCTATCGCGTAGAAAAAATAAACATGAGGAGCTACGGTGACAAACCTTCTAGCTACCTAGCCAAGGTGCCATCCGGACTCCTACCCGCGATTAGCCTCGACGGCGAACTGATGACCGAGAGTCTCTCGATTATGCAAACCCTGGAGGCCACATTTCCAAAACCACGACGCATGCTGCCAGACCGCGAGTCCCCAGAATTCCAAGAGGCGGTAAGGCTCCTCAATCTGGAGCGTGAACTCTTCAGGTGGTGGTGCCAGTTCGTGTTTCGTTCAGGAGACTCAAGCCGGGGAGCTCTGGAAAAGACTTTGGATGAGGTGAACTCGGCACTGGCTTCGTCTCCTGGACCGTGGTTTCTCCCGTCATCCGCTTCTGAGGACGAAGCTGTCAACGGTAGCCCAGATGACGGCTTCAGTCTGGTTGATCTGACGTACGTACCGCATTTGGAGCGTATGGCCGCCTCCACGGCCTACTGGAAGGGTTTACAGCTTCGTGGAAACGAGAGGTGGCCTTCGATCAATCGCTGGTTCGAGGCCCTTGAAATGCGGCCAGCGTACATGGCGGGAAAATCAGACTTCTACACCCACGTTAAAGGTACACATGACGTGTTGACGCACATGAAATTCGCGTAGTTCAGTATCACACCCTTGATGTTGCCATGCATCCATTGGCAAATGGATGAGTTCGACTATTGCCACATCTACTTGACGACGAAAAGCTAGATGGACACATCTCTTATCTCATCTGTGTGTCCCCTCACGCGTCGTGCTTTAAGACATCCCACCGCAGTATGGTGACGGCGTCTCCATTCGAGGAGCGGAGGCGATGAAAGCTACGATTGATGGAACCGATGCTTCGTGGTCCTTACCTCTTGCGCCTCTCGACGCTACTCAAGGATTGGAACCTGTCTCGAGCGAAAACAACCCCGGAGAAGACGGGGCCAGGTGAAGCGGCGGAAGCTCCGAGCAGTTTTGATCGTGCCAACCGTTTCTGCACAGCACCCTTACCCCGCCGCCACGAATTGCTTGTTGGTTTCGCTGTTGCACAAACTAGGCACGAAGCGGCGTACAAGTTAATAGGCAACGCCGAGGCCGTAGCGAAATTTGCTTGCCGCGGCGCTGGAAGAGGATCTGGATGGAACCTGCTACCTGGTCGAGCACCACTTTCGGACCCAAACGCCACCCCTAACCTTGAAATTTTGCCGGACGTGGACTACTGTTTACGTCGGGTAAGAGTGGTGTTGGATATCTGTTTTGTCAAATGTCAGCGATCAAGTCAGCACTGTTTTTTTGTTTTCCCGCCTGTTTGAAAGTCTTCCGTGGGTTTGGCCTCGTGCTGGCGTTCGCGGATCGCGCTCTGAATCAAGAAAATTCCTAGTATTATGTGTTAAGATTGTGTATTCCTTGTCCAATTTGATGTCGCAGGTAGCCTCTGCTCTACTGAAGGGGTCTCTTGACGAAGACGAAGCTGCCCTCAAGCGCGGAGCAACTAGCAGCGGAGGCCACCCCGGGACAGCAGCCGCAGTTGAAGCCTCTTTGGTTTACCTAAGAGATCGGGTGAGTGTTGAATCTCTGCGCCATGTTGCAGTGATGGAATAGTTGAAGATAATCAGTGTCGGTTCGTTGCATGCCGGTTGTACCATTCGAGTGTCCAGGTCGAGGAAATCAGCAAGTCGCTGGTGCGACGAGCGGCAATCGATCAAGTTATTGTAATTGTAGAACTTTGCCTTTCTATATTGTGAATGCGGCTGCGATTGTGTCCATTACACTGCAGTGCTCAAGTACTAATGTCATCATTCGTCTCTCCCCCGACCTACCTTGTCGCGATACTTATTTCATAGGTCGGTGTACCAAGAGACATGACTTATCCGGCCGCCCGCCAACTGCGTGCCCACTTGAATTGGGCAATCAAGACCCTGAAATAAGTCTGCAACTTTGCACGCCCAAGCAACCGGTGGCATGTGCATGCGGTTGACTACAGTTGTTTTGTCGAGACCCGCAGAGCCGGCAATGACAGGTTCTTTATTGCTCGCTCGACCCATAGGGAGCATGAAGAACTGGGCTCGCCCCTAGTGCAAATGCGTTGGTCCCATTGGCGGTGTTAAACCTGTGGCCGTGGTGTGTGCGTGTGTGTGACCCCTTTGTCCTAGCGCCAGTCTACACCACGCGGTGTATGTGTTTAACGCGTCAGCCGGGGTCAAACAGGAGTTTCTGATTTGTAATTGCTTCACCTGATGGTGATGGACAACTTACGGTTCGTGGTTTTGTTGGCTGAGCAAATCTGTTTCGGGAGTTTAGTCTTCATTTGACGTTTTTTTTGGGGGTTTGGTGTCTCCGAAATATTTGCCAATGATGAAAACGGTGCTTGTTCTTGGACAAGTCGAGACAGACCAAGCTAAGAACTCTACCAAATAAGTATGCTACGTTCTAGCGAAAACCTGATGGTCTCCACGTTGGAAGTGAGCAATGTACCCGTTCGTCGCGTCTTCGCAGCTGCCAGAATGTGGAAATTCAAAACACTCCTTGACAGCCATGCTCGCCCTTCACACGATCAGCCTACTCGGCTGCTTCGCAACATCACGGCACCGCAAGAAAACAACAGCAGGCGCGTGGCACCAAGGGGGAGAGTCATCACTAGTGGGTAAAAAAAAAACATACTCGACCGCTCAAGTCTTTCGTCAAGACTCAAGTCGTTCATTCGCCCCGCCCAAAATCTCACACTACGGGGCCCTCAACATCCCAACCTCCGGTGTATGTGCTCAATAACTATCCATACATATCCTCGTCTTCATCACCACCTCCTTGTGGGTTGTTACCACCCGCGGAAGGGTTCGTAGGGGAAGATTCCCCGGTGGCAGGAGAAGGATCGGCAGGATTTTCAGTAGCCGATGGGGCCGTCGAGTCGCTACTTGGTGTCGGGGCGGGCACGGGGGTCGCTGGGGTGGCGGCCGTAGGTGGGGCTGGGACAGGAGCTGGTGCTTGGAAGGCCGGCGGCATGCCTGCACCCATATCGTTGAGAAGGAAATTTGCCGCGAGTGCCTCGTTCTTGTCGCATGCCAAATATGCCTGCGGTAAGGGAGAAAGAAAAAACACCAAAACATAAAAAGCGGTGACAATGCGTTGGGCGAACTGTGTGGCAGACCGCGAAAACTGGGTGTCTTCATTCTGCTTTCATCAGAACACGAAAAATAACGTGCGCCTGCTGTTGTGTTGTGTACGCAAGGTATCAGGCCAATGAAAAAAACAGACTGATGTGACTGCCGTGTTTCGATGTCGACGTTTGTGCATCGCACAAGTGGACATATTTTGCCGAAACACGATTGGTTTTCGAGTACACCAAGCGCAGCCACGAGGGTTGAAGCATGGGCCCCTGATTTAGTCCAACATTCAGCGAAACCCATTTTTTCTGTGACTCGAGAGATGAAACTGCAATGGGCGCCGCGCATAGAGTAATAGACACATCGCATGCAACCTGTGCACAGGTTCAAAACCAGAAAATCCAATGGCAGCCAGAAGGTTGACGATTTTTATAGATGAAGCTGAAATATGCCATGCATGTTTCTTTAAAGCTGGATGTTGATGTGTCAGTTCTAACAGCTTAGCGTTCGTATCGCCCACTACCACACCAGTTTCACCCTTGAGACAACAACTACCAACAAGATGGTGGACTCGGATTCTAGGCCTGCGCACCTGTGCTGCATCTGTTCTCTCGAACCCAAGCTCTGTGAGGCGGGCGACAGCTGCACCTTCTTCCTCCGAAAGACGAATTACGTTCCCGCCAGCGCCACCAGCTCCTGGAGGGATACCTCCCATCCCAGCACCCGGCATGCCCCCCGCATTCATCGACCCCATCAGCTGCTGGAACTGCTCTTGCGGCATTTGGCCGATCACCTGGCTCACCTGGGACCACACATGCGTCAGGTACAAAAAGCATGGCATTGCGGGAACGACATGTGATTTTTATTTTTTCATACCTTGTTGGCGCATGCACATTTCTATCTTCTGACGAAAAATAATGAGATGGATAAAATAAAACATGGTCGAATCCGAACACGACTGCGCGCAACGATAAAAGCCATCTCACCTGCGCAAGCTGCTGAGGAGACATTCCCATTGCAGCTGCCATTTGTGCTCGCTGTGCAGGGCTCATGCCTTGCAGCAATTGAGCCACCTGGGCAGGGTTATTGGCTTGGCCTCCGGAGCTGACGACACAACGAAAAAGCAAACGAAAAACCTTTCAAGAATCGGCAGCATACACATCCCCGCAATCGAGCTATACATCGTGTCTGACTATTGAATACGAATCATCCGAGAATCATTACTACGGCAAAGCACTTCGTTCGGACATGAAACGCGGGGTCGCAGGCATTCGGGATATCTAACAGGGGATTTGAGAGCACTACCTCTCACTCACAAGGAGAGGGTGCGCAACTTCGACGAGAAGGAGCCCGAAACGGCAGAGGAAAACTAGGCGGCGTCATAGCCCAACAAAGATACTGGGTTGCCATTGGAATAACGTTAAATATACGTGCCCTGATACAAATTTTCAGCTCAAGACCAACTACCGAAACCGCTCTGCCACCACACACCTTAATGGCGAACTTCGTGAAAAAAACATTGGTAGCTATGCCAACAAGATTGTTCCCACATCCAACCGGGGCACATGTCATAATACAACACCGCCTCACGTTCTGGTATAGCGGGCTTCTGCACCACACCATTTCGTTGCTCAAGTAGTGTGGCTGAACCGAAATACCTAAATGCTGCTGTTCAACACGGCATTCTCGTAGTGATCGTACTTACCCCATCATTGGGCCAAAGCCACCCATGCCGCCTGCATTTCCCGCAGCCGCTGCAGGGGGGGCAGACTCATTGATGGGTTCATTCATTAGTGCAATGAAATCTCCCTGGTTCTCGTGGATGCGAGCGAGAAGGTTCGGGCTCTGTCGCCCGATCATCTGCAGGATGCTCGACAGCTGTGTCGGGTCACGCTGCACCAAGCGCTTCAATTCGTTGAATTGGGGGTGACCACGAAAGTCTTCTAAAGTTTCCATGGCCCCGGTAGGTGCAGCCGCCGCCTGAGCAGGAGCGGCTGCGGCCTGGGCAGTTTGTTGGTGGTCGACAATCAGGGGGGGAGGAAACGTTTAGTCAACATGATTCAAGTCGCACAACAGGAAATGGTCAGAACGTAATAGCATAATCGGTGGGCGCGACTCATGTTTAAGACTAGAACTGTGACCTCCAAATCACACCAGGAGCCACCGGCCGCGCGGAAAGACCACCCTTACTTGCATCGTAGTATACTACAGCAGTTGCTATACCGATTTCCAATACGAGGGCGCTTCCGATGCACGTGCTCAGCATTCTTCTACTGGAACATACGATCAAGTATTGAAGTACAAGTGAGGCCGGCGGTTGAAGAAAACACGTGAATAATTAGCGATCGATGCGCTGAAGAAAACGAGCGCCGAAAAGTGCTCCTATGCATACGGCACACGACAGATGCGTGCTTTGTCTCCACCAGGTAGGCATATTGTCCTTACACAAGCGTCTGGTCTACGACCGCATTGTGCATCGTCGACCGCCAAAAAGCCGAGAAGCGTCCTGTAGAGGCAACAAAACGCTCGGTACTCCGTGTTGCCCGTAGAGAAATCTTGGTGGTTCTTGCTACGGCAATTCGAAGTGATTCTGCCAGCGGAGATTCTCGGTGGGAGCACCACATGGTGCAGATCGCCATGCATAAAACACCAACCTGAATGTTATCAGGAATGCCTGTCATGAGAAATTCCACAGCGACATCCGGGTTTCCCATAGCAGCACGGAGAGCGGCCGTGACCTGGTCTTCAGGGAATCCCATTTCGGTGAGCTGACGAACGTGGTCCGCGTTGGGAGCGGCAGGCACAGCTGGTGCAGCAGGCGCGGCTGCAGGCGCTGCCGCCGCTGTAGCAGGGGCGGGAGATGGCGCGGGAGCCGGAGCGGCCGGTGCGGCCGCGGCTGGCTTGGGCTTCAAGTATCCAAGGCATCAAATGAAAGTAAGGAGCGGCGGAGGGAATACAACGAGTCAACGGGATGACGATGCCAGCTCAAGCTCCATCCCGAGGTACCGAGAGTATTCCGCCGTCGTCATGAGGCTTACTACCCTGCAGCGCGACAAGTCTAGCATGCTAGTGGGAACACACGATGCACAACACGCTTTTTCAAACAAGCAGCTTGTAGTGATCTGGAGGGAGTTCATCTTCTCGAGGGTGCCCTATGCATGTACATACACTCGGGTAGAGTACTTGCGTAGGTGGTATTGACATGTGTTCCCATTACGATCCATTGCTGTCAGCACAGTTGCGAAGGCTGGGAAACAAAGATTTTTTGCACTCTAACATCGTCCCATCGTCTGAAATGCACAAGCCTCCCTACAGAGCTACAGGTTGGGCCGCGTTCTCCTCTGCACATGACAGAGGGACGCCAACATGTAGGGCGGCGGCGGTTACTGAGACAATGAATGCGGCACACAGAGCGCTCCGCAGACCCGAGGGCCGCGGTGGAGCACACATGAGTTCGGCATCCGCTGTGCATTTGCTCTACACTGGTGCTGTCTGCAGTAGTCTACGGCAGCAGTGGAGTTTTGACAGAGAAGGAGCGCTTTTTCTTTTCTCTGGATTAAAAAAAAAAAAAAACCGAGTCACCTGCTGTGTGCCGACCTCCATCAAATCATCACGCTACACGGCCGGTACCCGCATACACGCTCTTTTCAAAAAGCAGAGTAAAAAATAAGCCTCTACTATGCAAACATGGATTACACTACCGTAGAAAACATAACACGCCTTGCTCACTGCTGTGCCCGCTCACACTGGTCATGTGGTACTGCTGTTTACCTATCATACATATGATAGAAAAGTAGGCATGTCACGTTTACCCCGCGACCCCTACTGTAGCAGATCACCGATGAAGATGCGTACAGCAGTTTTGTGTCGACCGTAGAGCCAAAGTTCACCGTCTATCAATAACACCTGACACTCCTGCTAGAGGTTCGATTCCTCACCTTCGTCACCATGCACACCAGGAACTCTTCCTCCTTGATTTTATATTCCGCCAAGGTGCACTCATCCTTCAAGATCTGGCCAGAGTGGATCAGCTTGAGCTGCGCGGCCGGGAACTCGGCATTTTGCTCTTCGATGACCCCCTTCACCTCTCTCACCTGAACATTGACAGCACATGATGTCGAGAATATCAGAGTAGCACAGCGCTAACGTTGTCAGATTCATACGCAATAGGGCACTGGGCACAGAGCACAGAGCACTAACAAAGAACTCAACCTGCTTGCTGTCTGTCCCAGCGCATCATTCGTAAATGGAACTCTCCTGCGGTTCTGGGGGGGCACGGCTCACCGTTTGCGTCTGCTCCACCTCGATCTGAAATTTCTTCCCCTTGATAGTCTTTACCGTGAGCTTAACCATCTTCACCTCCTTGCAAGAAGTAGCAGCGTGGGTGCAAGTGTGCAAGTGTACCAGGACTTGCGACTTCGACAGATCCAGCCAGCCCCCGACCAAGAGAGGGGGGTACACGTTGAGGAGAATTGGGGATAGGTCCCTCTAGGGGGTTCGTGTTATTGTGAACCGCTCTATTTTTTTTTATTGATCTGATCAGGATTGTGTTGGACCGGGAAGCGGGGCAGCAGCTTCTGACCTGCCTGCCTGTCTGTCTCTACCTCGGCCACGGCCTACTTCCCCGACACCCTTCACCCCTGTCATCTCCCTCTCGTGCTACTTGACCCCCTCCCCGCCTGTCTAAGGCCTTACGGGTGCTTGAAATTACGCAGGAGTGGAGTGGGTAGTAGTTGGACGCGTTGTGCATCATGCACATGCAGTTGAAGAGACCATGTGTTGTCGCAGCAGCCGTCGCTTCTCTGCAGTGCCTTTGCTCGAAGGCCTTCGTGCAGCCATTCTCTCAACATCGAGCGAAGCAGGGAATTTGGCCCCACCAATACTCGTGTAAGAGTACCTCCTTGCCTGTGCAGCAACGAGCGAGATCGTATCATGTTAGCATGATGACGGAAACGACTAGCGACACCCCTCCCGGCCGGAAGGACGAGGTCCTTGCCGTGCTGTCGGCTGTGATGGATCCCGGTGAGATGGCGGTAATTTGAATAGCTACATTGTACGCGCCCGTTTGCTATGGATTGATGAACTAGACGAATCGAACGCAGACATGCACCCAGCGCGAGGCTACGAATTCCTGAACATCCTGCTGTAGGCCCAATTAAGAACAAAAGTGTATCATTTTTTCAACCGCAGTGTTTATCATGTCGTACTTACCAGGTACAGCAGTAGTATATAGGGTAGTCTTTCTGTGTTTGTATTTTTTTTGTGTCCTATTTAGTATAGTCTATGTAGTCGACTGTCGACATGCAGTCTAGACCTGCAAGAGTATCCATTTCACTCACGCGTAAAGTCGCGGCAACAGGAACATCATCGGGTGTATCCCCGACGGTCGCCAAGAGGACGCTACTCTGCTGCACAGCCACACACTAGAATACTGCTGTACGTGCGTGCGTGGTTGCCGTAAGCTGCTGCTGTAGTACGTACCCGATTGAAGCGTACTTCGAAGAGACAACAATTTCCTCCTCCGCACCCAAAAGCTACAGGCGGACAAACGCGTGATGTAACAGCTGCAACTTGCATGACACAGCGCTGCTATGTCAGCAGGTTGGGTGGGTCCTCGAAACCCCGTTTTTCTCGCGGTTGGTCTCAGCTTAAAACTCTAGCCGCGAAGGGCACACGCTGAGTTAGTACGCGTCCCCCACGGACAACATTGTTCATGTTCCATTACTATTCACAGCCGGTCATATCTTTGCTCATTATCTTCTGATATCCGCTGGGCAACTGACGCGGACGCCTTGCGTAGTCGTCATCCCAGACGGGCACAATTTCATTAGTAGATTTTCAGCTAGAAATTAAGACACGGATCGACACAATTAGGATAGTATGACAAGCCAAATACTGCCCCAAGATAGGTTCGGACGTCGACATATCGGACGGACAATTTCCGGAAAGGCCAAAATATGGATAGAGTCCGTCGCTCCCGATCACATGCGAGGCCAAGCAAAGTAAAGCAAACAAAAACAAGCCCAAGATCTGTTAGCGCTGCCTCGTCCCTCGTATTCCCGCCTGAATTGCAGTCACGTGTCTCAGTTTGGGTACGGATGATTGCTGGCAGATTCACTGCTGCTGTATCTTCCCATGGATCCAACTCATCATCGGCGTTGCTCCCCTCAACACGTTGTCCCGTTTCTTCCGTCGTTGTTAACTCAATAAAGATCTGTCAATGGACATAGTATCGCTCGGCTTTATCAAAGAGCTTGAGATTTCTGGTGAGGACGAAGGCCGACAGGTCGTGACCTTCGATGTCGAGCTAACCACACCTGCTTGCCCGGTGAAGGCCCAGTTTCAACAAGATTGCCGAGATCTCGTTGAGGCACTACCCTGGGTTGATCGGGCTGAAGTGACGATGACAGCACAGCCAGTGCGGGATGTGTCAGACACCGTCCCTACTGGCCTGTCAAAAGTTGCTACCATAATTGCAGTCTCCAGCTGCAAAGGCGGCGTAGGGAAATCAACAACAGCTGTCAACCTCGCCTTCGCACTCGACAAGCAAGGTGCCAAAGTCGGGATCCTCGACGCCGACATCTATGGTCCGAGTCTACCCACCATGGTTAAGCCCGACAGGGAGGAAGTGGAGTTCGTGGGAAATCAGATTCGACCAATGACAGCTCACGGGGTGAAGCTCATGAGCTACGGCTTCGTAAACCAGGGAGCAGCCATTATGCGAGGTCCTATGGTCTCCCAACTCCTGTCGCAGTTCGTCACACTAACGAGTTGGGGGGAATTAGATTACTTGGTGATCGACATGCCTCCGGGCACTGGAGATATTCAGCTGACCTTGTGCCAGGTACGCTGGTGTGTTTCTTGTGGTGATTTCTCTCAGGCTCTCAATCTGTGGCCGTTGTGTGACCTTTTCTGCCCCCAGGATGGTGTAGCATCCGTTACAATGAACCACCACCCGCTCAAGTTTGGTCGAAGTGCTCCGTCCATGTGCATCCATGTGCAACTGAGTGCAACCCCGGCCCGGTTAAAAACATCCGAACGATCAACCCAGCCAAACAAGTGTTCGCCAAGCTCTCTCTCTGTTTCCATGTACAATTATCTCAACAACTTGAGCTGTGCTGTATCAAGACTTCCGTATTCCAGTTGTGATGGCATGGAAGGACTCCCGTGGTGGCAATGCCATTCGCAGGAATGCTGGAGCCACTGCCAACAGCATCACGCTCTTGCTTTTTGCTTGATGTGCATGAGTGATACAAATTAAATCGCTCGCGTCTTGTCCTGTGCTTGATGCCCATCACATAACAACTGTGGCCGCTCGTCGTCGACCTGTGCGTGCTGTGTATGTGCTTATACAACAACAGGTCTTGAACATTACAGCAGCAGTCATCGTCACAACTCCACAAAAGCTCAGCTTCACCGACGTGGTGAAGGGAATTGATCTTTTCGACACTGTAAATGTTCCAAGCGTGGCTGTGGTGGAGAACATGGCCTACTATGACGCGGTCGATCAAACGGTGTTCAAAACTGGCTTAGAGAGTAACATTGAGGACCTGCTCACACTGGATGGCGATGAGTTGTCTGCCGCTGCAGCTCGCGAAGGTCTTGCTTCACCGCCTCAAGACGAGACGGCTTTGCGAGCTGCGGTGATCGCCGAAGTGATGAAAAAGCGAGCCAGCACAAAGCAGCGGGAGTACATTTTCGGGAAGGGACACCAAATGCGCTTGGCGGACATGTGGGGCATAACGAACACAATTCGCATGCCCTTGGTGGCGGATGTGGCGTCCAGTGGGGACTCAGGTATTCCGTTCGTTGTGTCCAAGCCCGACAGCGACCACTCGGAATCCTACTCACAGTTGGCGGAAGCTGTTGTACGAGAGGTGGCAAAGCTGAAGTTCAGCGACAACGACCGGCCGATGCTGTCGTTCCAACCGGCCGAAGGCACTGTCACGATAGAGACGAGTGGCGGCAAGCAGGTGATGGCCGCGGCCGACCTCCGGCGACAATGCCGGTGCGCTCTCTGCGTCGAGGAGTTCTCGGGAAAGCCCCTGCTGGACCCTGCGAGCGTGCCTGAGAACATTGTACCGACTGAGTTCGCCCCGATAGGAAACTACGCGGTCAGCGTCAAGTGGGATGACGGGCACAGCTCTCTGTATCCATACAAGAACTTTGCAATGGGCTATAAACCGCGTACGAAGCGACCCGAACTATCACCCGTCTAGAGCGTTGCAAAGTAAGTGTAGAGCTTTTGGATGGCAAGGACGGACGCCGATCTCTACTTGATGGAATACGTTGCCTGGTTGCTGTTGTTTGCGATTGTTGACATTGCGGTGGTGTTGTGGCAGATTGGATGTCAGTCTTGGACTGATTTTTTGTAAGGATGATCTGCCGACCGCCTTCAGCATCAGTTAAGTAAGCTTTCCTTTCCCTCTATTTGTTGGAAGTTGAAGTGTGCACGAAAGCGTGTTCCTGTGTATATTGCACAACCTGGTCGGTCTCCGACGCCACAGGCTGTATCCTGAAATCCATTTGTTGCTCACGAGCACGGAATATCATCCCCAAGTCTCACGTGACCCCCTAGGTCACCAGCATTGCTTGCCTACTGCAGGACAAGACAAAGAGGGTGCGATAGTCCCGTGTTTGAACGTTGTTCTGGGACACGAAAGTCGGCCGTCTTCTTTGGTCTTGCTCGTCCTGCCTTGTATCTCAGTTGACGTGCTTACAGCGAAACCGACTGTCTACACTCACTAGACCTAATCCTAGCAAGCAAAGGTGTGCCCGTGGCTTGATACTGCAGGTGGGCTCCAAAATATCCCGGCATAAATCAAAACACTCAAAACACTTTCTCTGTATTTCGCTTGGCGTTCTTGACGCCTTTGTCCTTTCGTCCACTTGGTCCCCCTTTCCCGCCGAAGGATTTCTTGGATCTTCCCATCTCTTCCAAATCCACTCGTTTGGCCTTCTGGATGCCGGACAACCCCGCGACATATCTCGATTCCACCTTCTCCAAGATGTTGTCATTGCGCTCCAGGAAATACCGGTAGTCCCCGTCATATCGAACAAGGTTTTCTTCCTCCAAGTTGCAAATCGTTGTCGCCACCTGTGTACCCGCGGAAGGACACGCGTTAATGGACTAAGACACGTCTTAGGGTCGCCAACACAAAAGCGAGAATCGGCTGCTTTAGTAGTCCGGTTGAAAGCCAGTACTACGGAAACGCCTTGACCCCGTGCCGACGCAACAGTCGTTAAAAAAAAAAAATGCAAAACGCTGTTGTTCGTCACTGCTGTAAATGAAAACTCTCGCTCATGTAATCCGCCGCAATCTTGTGTTCCTATTTAGCTCACCTGGCTCACGAAGTACCGATCGTGGGATACCACCAGTACTGATCCTTCGTAGTGTTGGAGTGCTTCTTCCAGCATCTCCTTGGCAGGGATGTCGAGATGGTTGGTCGGCTCGTCCAAAACCAGGAGATTGGCTGGCGTGAGCATCATTTTGCATAGAGACACCCGCGCCTTCTCGCCCCCGCTGAGTTGTTCGACAGATTTGTCCACGGCATCGCCTTTAAATAGGAACTGCCCCAGCAACTTCCGCAGATCTTCATATTTTTCTCCTGTGGAGGCTTTCATCAAGGTCTCGATGACCGTCAAGGAAAGGTCGAGTACATCTGCTTGATTTTGCTCGAAGTACTGCTTCACCACACCGGAACCAAGGTGACAGGAACCCTCTTCCGGTTCTTCTTGCCCGACAACGAGCCTCAGTAAGGTTGACTTACCCGCCCCATTAGGCCCGAGAAATGCGATCCGCTGGCCTTTTTCCACCACTAAGTTGACGTCGCTGAAAAGCCGTCTACCGTTGTAGCCGTGGCTGACTCCGTTTGCAGAGACAACTTCCTCGCTTGCACTCATGCGTGGTGCAGGTGGGAAGCGGAAGCGGAAAGGCTTACCCATATTGGGAGGTTGTTTCACGAAGTCATCACTGGCGATCAGCTTGTCCAACGCTTTTTGGCGCGACTTCACCTGCGCAGCCCATGCCCCCCTGTCAAACGAATACGCACAAAAAACGGGGAGCATTGAGTTTGGGAGAGAATCTTTCCACGGAAAAAACATTGATTCGACTTCAATCAAATGCATCGCGCGCATGCTATTGAATCGAACCCTTCACGAAGAAAACCCCCGTCAACAGAAATCAACCAGCGACGTCGAGCAAAGAGAGTCCAGCGGCTGCGGTGTAGCAAACGAGCTCTCACACAAGAAGGCAAAAAGCTCGTGCATGGGTGATCCACAATTTGAAAAGCCCCACATCTCACTTTGATTTAAACTTGTTGATCCAGTTGCGCTCCTCCTTGATTTTTTTTTGTTGGTTTTTGTACGACGCTTGCCAAGACTCGAGCCTTGCTCGCTTCAGCTTAATGAAGTTGCTGTAGTTACCGGGGTAGGTCACGGCCACACCACCATCTGTGTCGACGATTCCCGTGCATACGCGGTCGAGGAACTCTCTGTCGTGGCTGACAATAACCATGGGGAGGTTTTGGTTTTGAAGGAAGCTCTCCAGCCACTCCACGCTCTCCATATCCAAGTGGTTTGTCGGCTCGTCCAACAGGAGAATATTGGGGTCTTTCAGCAGGATCTTGCCGAGCCCGATACGCATGCGCCAGCCCCCGCTAAAGCTTGACACGGGCTGTTCTCCCTCGCTGCACGGTCATGTAGAAGAAATCGATAGCGACCGAAATACAGTCACGTCAAGCGCTGATCTGACCGGTTCCAGCTTCTCTTCTAGCTTCTTTTCAATTCTTGCTGGTATATCTTCAAGTACACTGGACGTCAGATGTTGGCAACCTTCATGAGGGAACCAACATGAATGTTTCAGACGACCCGAGCGGATGCAAACCGTTCGCAAGATGATACCACGTGAACACGGGTCTGTGCCTTCACCTGATTTGGAATCCCATTAGATCCATGACCCGCTGCACCTTGGTGCTGAGATCGTACACACGGTTACGTTCAGCGTCTTCTTGCAGATTCGAAAGGCGGTTCAGGACTTCCTCCATCTTAGCCGGGTCCTGCTGGACAGCCTCCTCTTGCAGTTCATCCTTGACGCCGTGTGGTGGAACAATTGTAAGGTTCGAGTATGACAGGCAATTCATTGTCCAGCCTGGTGGGGCAAACCAGATAAACTACAAGGGGTTCCTCAACTGAGGGAGCATTCCAGACACATCGCAGTGAGCAACACTCGTCTCCGGGCACAATGGGATCGGACACTATTTCGGTACCTCTCTCCGAGAACCAACTAAACATGCAACAGAGGATAGTCCGAACGGCGAGAGTCCAGCCACCGAAAAGGCAAGAGTAAGCGCACCAACAACCTCCAGGCATGAACTCGGCGGCAATAATCAGTACGACAGCGTTTCCACCAACTTCAGCTCGCGAATCGTTTCATGGACACGTTCCCGAAGAGACTCCTTGTCATGTGAACAAAAGCCGGGGGTCGATGAAGTTTTACGCACCTCGCATCTTTGGAGCGCCGCAAGAATGTCCGCCTCTTCCGTGAAGACCGAGATTAGTTCGTCTTTGAGCGAACGCTCCATCACAAGCTCGTCCACAAACTCTTGTCGGAGAAACGCAACACGCAGATCCTTGGATGACTTGATGACTTCCCCTGCAGTCGGCTCGAGGTCACCCGCCAAGATTTTCACCTGTGTGGTCTTGCCGCCGCCTGGAATAACCAACATCAGAAGACATCATGAGGCATAAACACATGGCACAGCGGGGCACCGCTATTATAGTCATCAGGACACAGAGAAAGCAATCGGGAGGAGTTCGAACCAGACACGGTTCTGGAATCCATTCGTCCACAAGATAATCTTCACGCACCGTTGGGTCCGACCAAGCCTATCCGGTCTCCCGTTTTGACATCCCACGTGGCGTCCTTGACGACCTCCTGATTCCTGAAAGTAACAGCGACACCTTCCAGGCGGAGCGAGACAAACCCGGGCTGCGAGCTGCTCGATATTCGAACTCGCGGGGGCGGCCTCGCCTTCCGAATTTTGGACTCAAGTGTCTCTTTTTCAACCTCAATCTCTTTCGGGGCGGCCATCTTCTCCTGGGAGGGCCCGTGGTCCACCATTTTCTCGTCTCCCTTTGCACAAGCACACGACACATGGAAAAAATATCGTTGTTGTGTGCCGTGAGTTTACGCATGTGATTGGGCCCGCATAGCCGACAAAGAGGTTAAATTGCATCTGGTCTTCTGGGCGCATCGGATCTGCGAACAGTAGATGCCACTTGTTCGATGGCACCGCAGGACGATCAAAGGCAACGAAAGAGGTCATAGAATACTTGGCAACGCAGGCGAACCCAGTCACCCGCCATTTATGTGTCGCACCCTCTGCGGACAGAAAATTGCTTCGTTGCATACGATTGCAACCTTCAGAAGTCTTTACATCTCACGAGAAATTGGATTTTGGCGAGCGCGATGAACGCAAAGAATATACTTATGGGCGTATTGTTCGGGGAGCTACGAGTGTCTTACCTCAACCTTGAAGTCGTCCAACCGTTCCTCAATCCCCCCCGCCCCACTCTTCTTCTTTCCCTTCTTGGTTCGCGGTGGAGGCTGCATTAAGTTGACCTCTACCTCTGCCTCTCGTACTTCCTTCCTGTCAACCTCGTGTTCGGCCGGAGGAGCACTAGCAGCAGCCTCAGCCGCCGGGACGTCCATCTGCCCAAGCTCTCCTGGCAATGAAGACCACAACCGCGACAAACAAACAAGATATTTTATTTGTGGAGGAGAGATTCGATTTCTACCGAACGTTGATCGTCTGTTACGAAGTTAGGTAGCATCTCTAACACCATGACCTCTCTCAACGTGACTGACGTACCAATGTCAGCCGCTGAAAACGTTTGCGACTATTAATAATGCGATGTTTACACCCGAAACACTTCGAGATTGGATAGCACGCGCCCCATCAGCATACACACCCATGCTATGGATGTGCGGTATGTATTGAGGTGTATCAGGGCGTCCAACAGGGGGCGGAGATACGGGGAAGAGATTCACCTTCAGCCTCTAGTTCCTCCAATTGGGCCAATGCGTCGGCCGCGGCACCCTTGGGGCCCTTTTTCTTCTTCTTGTTCTTCTTCCGCTTTGGCGAAGGCGGTGGACTCTCTTCCATATCCACAGAAACAGGTTCAAGTTCTGCCTCTAGGGCTTCCAACTGGGCCAACGCGTCTGCAGCCGGTCCCTTCCTCTTCTTGGCCATCATCATCATCGATAACGACGATGATCTCGTTCGGTGGTCCTCATGCACGTCCGTTTTGAATGCCAACTTCGTCGATACATGCTGTAACGTCGAAGACCACGGCGGTGCCAGAAACCCTGAGCACCAAGGCATCAAGCCTAAAGCCATCATGAGGCGGGTCCCCATGCTGCAAACCTTCGCACACCTAGAAGAGAACACATGCAAATGGGGTTATATTGTTGTTTCTTGCTCGCTAGAGCCTCCACACATACTCTCTTTACCTCTCTCTCTACGTGATGAACTCGTGCTTGTCTTCTTGTCCCCGGAGTCTTACTACATTGTTGTGCCGAGTGGAGAGGCATCGGGGTGGGTGCTTATCCAGAATACTGCAGTGACAGTCGGAGAGAACGCGCACCCCTGTGCGATCGGCTCTATGTTTTTTTTGTGCAAAATGGGTTCGTACGTTCGCACACACAACATTAAAATTCGTTCGAGCTCATTCTAAGAGACCGATTGCGTCAGGGATGGCGTACTGCGATACAGACACAAACATGTTGTCAGATGGTCTGTGCCGTGGTGCGATCGTATTTATGGGTCAAACTACATAGCATCGGTTTCCTGTCTCACAAGTTCTCTTGGGAATCCACACGTCTCACAGATACAAAAACCAAAGTTGATGAGTGTTTGAGGTTTCCAGGCGTCATGTACTGCTGCACAGACAAGAGTACAGGCTCCCTGCTTGTGCTCTGCATATCTCGTGTACCCAATGCTGCTGTTTTCACATGCACATGTTCTCCAACGTACGTAAGTTTAATGCACTGGCAGTCTCCCATAGGTGAATCACTGAGACAGCTGGCTTAGTTCATGATCTCTTATTGGACGGCTGTGCGAGATGAGTGATGCAATCACACACACACAGACCGTGCAGGGGGGAGGGGACGAACGTATGCATACGTGTGTTGGTTGTCTTCGAGCAAGATGGAGAGACAGAGAGATGACAAGGCTCAACATCATAGCAACGCGTAGAAGATACATCCGGCACAGGGGTGTGCGTGCCTGAGTGCACTCACCAATACGAAGTCTTGCCTCTCTACGCCAAAGAGCCTCGGCAGCCAGCCGCCCAGCTAAGGCCTTACGCCTACAAGGTGTAAGAGGCAATATGCTCTGGTTGCCTCTTCTTGAAGTCCACTCATCGGTTCGGGATTCCATGCGGCGGGATTTTTTATGCGTACACGTGTTTTCTAGAAAAAATGACGAACTGCTGCCCACCGCGTTAACCCACAACTGCTGCACCTCCCACATGAAAACATGAGAGCTTCAAGACTAAGTATGCGAATTGGGTGCGCTTTGGGTGCGTGGGCGCCAACTTCCGCGTTTGTTGTTCCAAACAGTTTATCCAGCGGCTTCATCTCGGCTTCCTCTCAACAGCGGGCGGGCGTCGGAGCGTGTGCACCGCCGCAATGGCGGCAAAGGGCCCACAATCGACTGCCAACTCGACTGATGATGAGTTCCCCGCAGAGCTTGAATCCAGAATCCTTCACAGAGCGAGCCTGGGAGGCAATGGGCAGGCTACCGGCCCTTGCTGATCTCAACCAAGCTCAGGTGACCCTCCGTTAGCGAGCTCGTCTTGTTGTAGGTACGCGATTCCAGACCAACTGATGTTGCAGTCCATCCCGACATTCGAATCACCCGACCCACATCTAGATTGTGTACTTGTCTTTTTGAAGCCAGACACCACATCGAACAGCTAGTGAGAGCTTAGAGCCAGTGAGATGCTGATGCACTGAAACCTATTGGGTCCTTACTTAGTTGTAAGGCTGCTCCAGTCGACAACTGCTGTTCAGTAAACTCTGAACACATAATTTGCCGCGTGCACTGGCTCTTTCCACACAATGTTCAACTGCGACTTTTCACATGCAAACAGCTAACGGTGCACTGCTGTCGGTCTCTCCACGCAGATGGTCGAGAGTGAACTGCTTGCCAAGTCGCTTCTTGAAGAAGGGGCTGAAGGTCTTACTCAGCGCATTCTACAAAAAGCGGGGGTGGATACTTCCAGGTTCAGTTCTGACCTGGACTCGTTTCTGTGAGTCATGTTTACCAAAGCCTTGACAAAAGCCCGATGAACATTCCACGTGTTACGCTACACCGCAGCCCACGTCTTTCGAACTTACGGAGTGCTGCACATGAATAGTTGCATGGTTTCGGCGTTCGATAAGTGGCTTATACATTTAATGTTTGGTGAAGTTATCTTGTTGCATGCCAAGGTCCGTCCGGTCTGTTTCGCGTAACAGCGTGTTTTTTCCACGTTGTGTCACTGCTGTAGAACTCTGTCAAACGAAATGCCTCTCCCAGTTGCTCCCAGCTTCATGTTTTTCGCAGATATGTAGCGATGAGATACGCTACGAAGTCCCCGTTGCACACAATCGGTGTTCGTGTAATCGGAACAGGTGGATTGGAATGCTAGCGTAAAGATTAACCACAGTAGGTTTGGGCTGAACTGCGCTGGCTCTTTTCATTCATTCTCTCTGGTGCTGGTAGGTATTTGCACAACGTTGCCCGTGATGGCAAGGACGTACCTGTCAATATGTCGGAACCAAACTGATCCCAGATCGACAGCAGCTTTTGGCGGCATACGATACTAGATATGGCGGGGTAATGAGCGGCCCATTCTTACTACATTGACCTCGTTCGCAAGTGCATGATTCTCCCTCTCCAGGAAACCGGGCGAGAAAGACGACAATGTGTTGGCCGCTTCACAATGTACTACAAGGTACAATGGGCAGGAAATTAACGTGTAGTTACCAAGATCAGCGAGACCCATCTCTCAGACCATCGTGTCGCACGTTTCATGCGACTTGCCCCGCCTCTCCCTTGTTGCTGTCTCCATTTTCTCAGGTCAAAGCAAGGGCGTGTGTCGGACACTAGCTCCAAATCGATGGGCCAGACCCTCCAAAAAGTCGTCGCGGCGGCCTCGGCAGCTCAAGCTGAACTCGGAGACAGCTTTGTCTCTATAGAGCATCTCTTCCTGGCCCTGGCACGGGAAGACACCCGCTTCACGAAGAAAGCCTTGCAAGATCAGGGCACCGACGACAAGAAGATTTTGGATGCTGTGAACGCAATCAGGGGCCCGCAGAAAGTCACAAGCAGGAACCCTGAGGCCGCGTATGAGGTACGAAGCTGTGCTCAGGCGATGTCGATGGGCATTGCGGCAGTGTAGACACGGACGGTATGTTTGCTCTGAGATGGGTACGCATTTAGGTTGAACCATCGGCGTGACTCGTTCTGCGTTTCTATAATAAAATCAGTCTCAAGCTGGAGCAAATGCTGGCGTGTGGAATTGGTGCATTGTCTATTGCGCGTTCACCACCTTTGGATGCGCGTTTACAAAATGCCGTTTGGGGGTTAAGCCTTTTTCTGCATCTTTTTTGCTCACGTGTTGAAACAGGCGCTCGAGAAATACAGTCGAGACTTGACACAGGCCGCCCGAGACGGGAAGCTGGACCCTGTTATTGGACGCGACGACGAGATCCGCAGGACGGTCCAGATTCTTAGCAGACGCACGAAAAACAATCCTATTCTTCTGGGAGAGCCAGGTATACTTCTACAACCTCATCACAAACTATAAAGATGTGTGACACCTTCTAATACCTGCCGCAGAAGCCCCGCCGAGCATACTCAAGCGTAGGAATCGAGGCTGTTCTGCGCTACTCTTGCATGTTTCACGCATCGATGCTACAACACGCTCACGCGAAAACATTCAGGAGTGGGCAAGACTGCGATCGCTGAAGGGCTCGCACAGCGTATCGTTGCGGGTGACGTTCCGGAATCTCTTAAAGGCCGCCAGCTAGTGTCGCTCGATATGGGAGCTTTAATCGCAGGCGCCAAGTACCGCGGAGAGTTCGAAGAACGCCTCAAGGTAATTTCCAGTATTATATTCCATGTACCGTTGTTGGTTTGCATCGTGACCAAGAATGACTTCTCCCGAAGTGTTGGGTCGCCATGTCGTGTAGGAGGTCCCAGAGACGCCGTGGCCAAAGTCTCCTTGATTTTGTGCCCCTGCGACCACCCTTCCACTTCGATACGGCCAGCATCGAGCGCGCTCGCCTTGTGTCTGTTCATCGAAGTTTTCCCTCAAATCTACCCATACCGGGTACTGTTGAATTTTTTCCTGAAGTCTTCCCAGACGGTGCACTTCGACCCAGAACATATCCTACCCCGGTAGATTTCAGTGTGTTGCCCATGCAGAGCTTACACCCGGATATTTTGAGCTAGTCTTCTCACACCGGAGTAAAATGCGCAACTTGCCGTTGTGTATGCGCTAGTATTGTCAGCAAGAACAGTTTCATGTCGGAACCGTACAAGCGTGGAGACGGCGTGTCCCGCTCTCGTCATAAACCTAAACGCCTCATCGACTCGCGTGATGGCGTGGCAGGCAGTGTTGAAGGAGGTTACGGAGAGCGACGGACAGGTCGTGATGTTCATCGACGAAATTCACACCGTGGTAGGCGCTGGGGCGACATCCGGGTCCATGGATGCAAGCAACCTTCTCAAGCCGATGCTGGCTCGCGGCGAGTTAAGGTGCATCGGTGCTACAACACTGAACGAATACAAGCAGGTTCGTATTTTTTCATGTGACCCCTGCAAGTATCTCTCACCCAAAAAGTAAATGAACAAAAGCTTTCCACCCAACGTTGACCTTTCCGTGACAGGGTTGATTTTCCTCTTTTTATTTGTTTAGCTTCCCACAACTGGCTCTCTGTGCTCCAAGATCTTTACATGTGTGTACACACACAAATGACGCTGGCAAGCATGGTACAGCAGTGATGATAAAAGCCCGTGAGCGGGACTCACAGGGGTGGGGACGCGGATATATGTAAGGGTGGCGAACTGCGGTTGTACCACTCGTGTACAACAGTAGTAAGAGGAGAGAGAGAAATTTGCAGCAGAGTATGTTAACATGTGCATGCCTCTTTCTGACAGCGATCACCCGCGCAGACGATGTACCTGTGCGAGCAATACTTGCTGGCGCAAGGATGTTGCTTACCTCATCCCTGGACAGGATACTCATATACTAGCTGCGCTAAAGACGAAAACGTCGAAGGCGAACCGCCTCACACGCGCGCCAGATCGATGCAAAAGTAACGGTGCACTCAGCAAATCGATTATCATCCACTCTCTTGATGAAGATGTATCAAAACCATGGTGAATCTTCGTAGTTCCGTGCTTTTATTACTGCACTACATACAGCAGTGGGGTTTGGGGTTATAGGAGTGGCTATCGGAACTGCAGTCACAAAAACCCTTTCCCATAGCGAAAATTGCACACAGCGTCTCCGTTCACTCTCAATAAACAGGCAACCCAACCACAAGAATAGCAAGCATCGAAGCAGTACGTTACTGCGCACCGGCTCTGGTGTGCGTAGTCTCTGCTCTCTCGCGCACACGCGAGATCGGGTTGATCACAGCAGTTGGGTGCCTTTGTACCTACCGGTGGTATTTTCCGTTTGGATCTTCGGCCCACATCAAAGAGATTTAGGCATGGCAAATAGGGCTGTGTGTACCCTGCTTGTATGCGTGCTTTTATGGTGGGCTGCCTCTTGGTCTCTCTCTCGGTCTCTAAAGTATGTTTTTTTCTCTTAGGCGACACACGTCGGCAATCTTTTGGCGCACAAAGTAATTGGAACCGCGCCCGGAACGCGATCGGGCCCAGAGTCATATGAGGGTCTCCGTGTTTGTGCGTCCATTTCGATCGTTTAACGGCGAGAATTAGATCTTGACGGTGCTTGGCAGGCTCAATCTGCGTGCTGTCGTTGTTCACTTATATTTGTCCTCTCTTGCTTTGCATGGCAGAACATGGAGAAAGACAAGGCCCTGGAGAGGAGGTTTCAGCAGGTTTTCGTGAAGCAGCCGAACGTGGAGGATACTGTGAGCGGCTGCCTCACAGTTTGTAAACATTGGTTTACCGTATGCAACAGCTTGGTGTGCGTGTAAGCGAATCGACCTCATCGTATGTCGGAGATAGGTGTTGCAGAAGCCCCACTGGTTGCTTGTTGTAATGCGGCTGTCGTGAGTGCGCTCGCGAACACTTTGAATGAACATTTTGAAGGGGCGCGAATACACGAGTGTTTCTGAAAAACGGCACCTTGATTACTTCGGATGGCAGGTGAGCATCCTACGTGGTTTGAAAGAACGTTACGAAGTGCACCACGGAGTTCGACTGCAGGATGCATCGCTCGTCGCCGCCGCTCAGCTCAGCCATCGATACATCGCAGACAGATTTCTCCCTGATAAGGCCATCGATCTTGTGGATGAAGCAGCTGCCAAACTCAACATCGAGGCAAGTGAAGGGTGCCATGCGTATTTTGCAGCACTACATCTGAGGAGGGTATGCACCATCATGTGATTGCGGGTTGCAATTTGGTGTTATTTGAATGCTGGCTTGCAATGTCGTGGGCCGCGTGTGAGTGCTATCTAGGTTGCATTCACCACAGCTAAGTGCGCGGGAAGAACCCACCACTCTCTACTTGCTGGAGTTTCTTGTGGCCACGACCTTGTGAGGCTAAATGTATTTCTTGCTCCCTCGATAACCAGGTAACGAGCAAGCCCCAGATGATTGATGAAGTGGACAGGCGTCTTATCCAGCTGGAGATGGAGAAGCTGTCACTTCGAAAAGAGACTCGAGCGGATGCCTTGAAGCGCATCGAACAGATCGACGATGAGATGGCGGAACTCCAAGAAAAGCAGGTTGGGGTACATTTTCACGGGTGCAAATTGCTGCATCTTTTTGTAGATGACACGTTTTACCAATGTGCATCATGGGCTCCACGATATACCGTGCTTATATATCATTGGGCGATTTCAGCGGTAGGTTGTGTGTGTTGCTGTGCCGACGTTGGCCGCCCACAATTTCTCTCTGACTCCCCAACCTTGATTTTGATGGACGCAGGAAGGTCTTACGAGTGCTTGGGACTTGGAACGAGGTCGCGTTGGTAAGGTGCAAACCTTGAAGGAAAAGATCGATGCCCTGAAGGTTGAGATTGAGCATGCCGAACGCGGTTATGACCTCAACAAGGCAGCCGAGCTCACCTATGCAGTCATGCCGAAGCTTCAGGTGAGATTGTGCTGAAAGATACATCTTGATACACCCGCTGTATGGCAGCTCATATGAGGGCTGACTCTTCTTGGGCGCTGTGCTACGTCCACACAACGCCAGGTGCTCGCATCGAATGCACAAGTGTATTTTGAAACCAAACAACCAATGATTCCATCAATATCAACCTGGCTTGCCTTTTTTTTTTTTTTTGTCTTCACTTCAAATCAGCGCTGACAGCACTAGTGCCGTTGACTCCAACCCGTGGTCACACAGAAGATCCCCTCTCTACCCTCCCCTCCTGCGGTACTTTGCCTTCGATTTTTAATGCGAGAAGAGTTCAGCACTCTCTTCCCTCTGTGTACACACGAACTAGCGCTATCCCCTAGGCCAGGAGCGGAAGCGAGAGAAAAAATCACTTTGCAAGAAAAGCTCGCTTTCGCCGGGATTCGAACCCCTGACCTGACCTCTAGAAGGTTTCGAGGACACCAACGAGACCACCGGGGCGACCGGTTTGCCTTTGGTACTCTTCAAGTTTGTGGCCGTCGTCTGTGGCCTTCATGATTTCACGATATGACAGAAAGAACTCGAGGAAGAAGAGGCGGTTCTGGACAAGGATGGTGCGGATTCACATACCGATGGCGGATCTCGCATGCTGCGAGATGAGGTCACGCCGGACGACATCGCATCCGTCGTGGCGTCTTGGACAGGTATTCAATTTCCAATTGGGTACAACAATATACGGTGTTGGCAGAGCCGAAACAAACTAAATGATATCGCGTACAATGTAGAAGGCCGCGTCAGCGAGACTGATTTGTCATGCGCGTTGTTCGATTTTCCAGGCATCCCCCCCGGAAAGCTGATGTCCAGCGAACGCGACAAGCTGATGAACCTAGAGGACGAACTGCACCAACGGGTTGTGGGCCAAGATGAGGCTGTGCGGGTGGTTTCGGAGGCCATCCAACGTTCCAGGGCTGGACTCAACGACCCGGACAAACCCATTGCCAGCCTCATCTTCCTAGGTCCCACTGGGTAAGGTTATGGGAGTACTCTCGAATGCATTGACTTGTCGCCCGACATTGTCTACGAGGCAACTGCACGTCCATATAGTACATGTTGTCCGATGTGATCTGCAGATAGTTGCTCAGCAACTGATGCGAGTCGTGCAGCATGGCTGACGAGCTTTTAATATCCAACGTTTCAGCTGGCATTTGGCATGTCTGTTGCGACCACGTTGACTCTGCCGTCGCTTTCCTCTCAGGGTGGGCAAGACCGAACTCTGTAAGGCGCTAGCTGCGTACATGTTCGACACCGAGGATGCCCTGGTGAGTGATTTTCAAGAACTTGGGGCCCAGTCCTCACTGCTGTTGGATCCACATTGTGAGGAGGCACGGCTTCATACCGAATTAGAGTCGACATCATCTCCAGAGCACAAGCGGGAACCGGGAGTCGGCAGAACACGGCTGATGGTCTGATGAACGATATCACAATTTTAACCCCCAGGTCCGGATTGATATGTCCGAGTACATGGAGAAGTTCGCTGTCTCGCGGTTGGTCGGGGCTCCACCGGGCTACGTGGGCTACGAGGAGGGTGGGCAGCTCACGGATGCCATCAGACAGAGACCGTACTCGGTGGTGCTTTTTGATGAGATGTGAGCACCCCGACGAACAAGTGGCCGGGTTGCAGTACCAGCGGTACTTGAGTCTCAAGCGTTTGCCAACAAAAACATGAGGTCGCATGTAACGTTCTGTTGCCCCGCCCGTGCACTACACTCAGAAATCTCCTTGATGGCTGTACAGAACTTTGAACACTTGTAGTTGGATGTATGCCAGTGCTGAATACCCCCTCACCCACATCCTACCCTCAGGGAGAAGGCCCACCCGGACGTGTTCAACATCATGTTGCAGCTTCTCGACGATGGACGCGTTACCGACAGTAAGGGGAACGTGGTAAACTTCTGCAACTGCATCATCATTTTCACCTCGAACGTGGGAAGTCAGTCTATTTTGGACGTTTCGTCTGCGGAGGGTGGAGGGGTTCGTGAGGTGCGACAGATTTTGTCGGACCATGGTTGCGATTCGATTACTGGAGGGGGCCGTGTTTTGCTTTTTCGTGCGCCAGCCTTGTTCTTAATATTCACATAGTCAATCTCCATGTTCCCTTGTTGGTTGATATGTCGTTTGGACCGACTGTCAAGCGTGGTCAATCAACAGGTTTGTGTCCATGAAAAAAATCAATTTCGGGCTGACTCTTTAGAACATGGTCGGTGCCTCACGTGCATTGAAATGTGTTCGACCTGGCTGTTCACGCGCAGGAAATGCGGAACCGCGTCATGGCGGCAATGCGAGAGGGATTTCGACCCGAGTTCCTTAATAGGATCGACGAGTTCGTCATCTTTGATAGACTCTCCGCGGAGGATATGCGCCACATCAGTGGGCTTGAGCTGAAGAAAGTCACTCTTCGCCTCGCAGATAGAGATATTACGTTGGAGGCATCGGATTCCGCGCTCGACTTCCTCTCAAGCGTGGGGTGAGTGAAGAGCAGGCATAGTGTCTCTTAGCATACATGCGTGGGGGACTGAGGAGTGACTGCTGGAGCAGTACTTCCCAAGCTTTCTTTTTGAAGAATAGAGAAACGAAATATTGTTGAAAAACATCATAAATTGACGTGGAAAACAAAACTTTTGACAGCAACTACACTTGTGTCGGCCGGTTCCTCAACATGTTTTATTGCAACCGCGTCGTATACTCGTACCCTTTCGTTTTTAGGTATGACCCTGCCTACGGAGCTCGCCCTCTCAAGCGAACGATCCAGAGAGAGGTTGAAACGGTATTGGCGAAGCGCATCATATCTGGCGAAATCGCATCGGGTGACGTTCTGGTGGCGGATGTCATCAACGAACGTCTGGTGATTGCGCCCAAGGGTGCAACTTCTGGTTTGTCCCAGGGTGCGACTCCCGCTACTCCAGCACTGGACAGCTGATCTCGGTCCGTTTAACTCTGTTTGATTGCTTTGTTGTGGCCATTTCCTACGGTCCGCCTATCTCGAAGAACAGTGTGTATGGGGTATGGGGGCGAAAACCAGCTGGTGGAACAATGCCGTTAAGGGTAGACAAAGTGGAGCCAGGTGGTGGAGGGGCGGCTGAAGCGAATCTGCTCAGAGAGGTCGGGTGCATTAAAGATGATGCAGACCTAAGTGGGGCAACGGGTTCAACTGCACAAGGGGGTGGGTGGGGGTAACGTTTCAGTTGATGGCCAGTCGAACGCTTAGCTCAAGCAAACGTTTAGCTCACGTGCCCCTGAGGCAAATGTTATTTCGATTGTTAGAGGGGGCGGGGGGCGGTGAAATGGTTGATGTACGGTCATGACAGGGCTGGCCCTGGAGAAAACGGAGCAATGGAGGGAATCGCAAAGCGAAGCGCTGGAAATAAGAAACTTAACAAATGAAGATAATCAAGCTTGAGTTTGAGCTCTGACAACGGGCCGCCATGAGGGTAGCATAGTATGCGTCGCAAAGAAAGGCAGTCATCGAGGATCAATTTGGGCAATAAAAAAACAAACAAGGAGGGAGAGGCACGACCCTTTTGCTTTCGTCGAACGACGCCGCGGCACGGCTACTGAGGTGTGAGGTACCAACGGATGGAAAATTTCGAATTCCAAAATTTTTCAAACATGAGCCAGCCCTGAGACGTTGTTTCGTGTGCAGTCCCGGACTAAAAGTGACTTTATCGATCTGGAATTTTTCTCCAACCCCGATTCTGCCTTAGTGTGGTAGGTACGTTTGAGGGCCCGTCGACGAGAAACTAAATTACTCTAGGACGTGTAGACCGGGTCTGCTGGGGGCATGGATCATCATAAGGAGATGATGATGATACTACCCCTTGTGTCCCATCTGGGGGGCCTCTCTTCTCCCGGACATAATGCACATATGCATGGTATATATATCTCAGTGTTGTTTTAACGGGATTTATTTGTTCAATATTTTTCGACCTTTCCGGCACCGCAGCCACTCCAGCGCCCACCACGGTCACGTATGAAGGCTCCTCGGAGTATCTAGTGTTTAGTCCTGATAAGTCCTTCCCGCTGAAGAGATGAAGGGGAATGAGGGTGCGTGGCGTTCTGGGCAGGGAAACAACGTTGGAAAAGTACACGTCCTCAGTAATCAGGCTTTTGTCCGATCTACTTCGTATGGGACTTTTCCCATATCGTCCCAGGGCAAGCGGTGTGGCGCACTTACGCCCACCTAGCGCCACCCTGGGTCCTCGTTGTTGTTGTTGTTGTTGTTGTTTTCTTCACCTTTTCTTCGTGTCAGTTGCTAATCCCAAAATCTAGTGAAGACTCGTTCCGTGGTTACAAAAATGCTATTTACAGAGCCATCAGAAGATAGATCTAAACACGCACACTTGGCAAGAAAAGGGTACGCAAGCCCGAAGAGGTACACCTACAACCCCGTTCAATTTGTGTGCCCAACACTGAACTACACGTCTGCACGTTACATTCGACTACAGCAACATCATACTCCCCCCCCCCCCCTGTCCCACTCTTTTCCAAAATGGACGTTTGCCGACTACAGCGTAATGCTGTCCGGAGTGCTGTCTGTACAATAACACTGTGGCAGGCATGGAACAAGAAGCTGGGGCACGCTACTGCTGTCTGAAGTGCTGTCGCAATGTGTCCGCGGACAGTGGAAAAGAACAACCAACCAACGCCACATCAGTGCAATTGACACTCACCCGAATCTATCCCGATCGTCTGTGTTCGACACAGCAGTGTAAACATCGACACTGACTAGGAATCATTCCACATTGAAGGGGTCTTCCACGATGCAGGTACACAATTAAGGCACCCGGGGTATCCGCGCCATCTCTGCCGCGCCTCTCCACAAAACCAGTGACGTCATCACACAACCCAGCACCGACATTCAGGGAAAAAAACGAAAAAAGTTGACACGTGCGCCACAGTTCGATGTCGTCCGCATGCTCCGGTGCCGTGCCGCAGCTCCGGTACCGCTTTGGCCAGTCCTAGCAAGAGTACACTAGACCCGCTCCACGGATCCGTACATGCTCTCGTTCTGTCCTCCCCAGTCGATTTCTCGCTTTCTCCTTCATTGCACTTAGGGTTCTTGGTCTGAAAAATTCTCGCGCCGAAGGGATCAACCAACCCAATCTTCAGCTTGTCATCACCTGCTCCCTCCCTTGATGGCGAAGCCAGGCTACTGGGACAGTACAGCTCCCTCTAACAAACCTAAGGCCGTGCACATAATGCCCGTTCACCTTTCTGATGGCGTGCCGAACATTAGATGGGTATTGCTGCCTACACCGACGGCCAAAAGGCCCGTGCATCTGCGCTTTTGTAACAGAACCACCAGTGCCGACCCAACTCTACCACTACGCACGCAACGCGGCGGGTGTGCAGCAGCAAGAAGGTATCGGTCGCTTGGAGGTGAGTCTAGCCTTGCTCGCTAAAAAGACCCCCCCCTCGCCCCCTCGGTGTTTGACATCGGGATTGGGTTTTCGTCGCTTGGCAACGACGTTGTAAAACAAGCCAATTCACTTCGTCGTGAACTCGGCAACCAGGTTACCGTTTTTTTTTTACCTCATTTTTTTTTTTGGCGATAACCATGATGGTGGTCGAGTAGATCATGTTGTGCGGGGTGGAAAACCCTCACTCCGCGCAATGGGGGATGATCGCACCACGTTGTGTTAAAATGGTCAAGCATCCTCGAGGCAGTTACATAGTGCTTACAACAACTGTCTCTGAAAGTGAAAGCGCCAGAAAATAAATTAAGTCATACGCAGCTGTCATCCGTACGCAAGGAAGTAAGCACAAGATGCCGAACACCCTTAGCAGGATGCAGCTCACCCTTCATGCGACTCGCCGAATACCTCACGGCGCTTCGCGCTTGGTGATGTGAGAGCCTGGTCCGGTGAGAACCCGACGTGCTCCGTCCCGGCTTTGTAGGGATGCGAGGTCAATGGTCTAACGACTACGGCATGCACGACTATGAGTACCCCCCTCCCCCCCCCCTCGCTACAGGCCATGCCTAGGCAAAAGCCTTGCCATGGCAACGAGGGGAAGAGAGTGGACTGCTGAAACAAGACCACACAGTACTTAGGCCTATTGTTAACGCAACGGAAAATTCACGCATTTTTTCACGGAACGTTGAAAAGAAGAACCGATTATTTTTCGCTTGTTCTATTCGTGATATCATCGCAGAAAGCTACCTCGATTCCGCGGTGTCGGCACAAAGATGCAAGCACCCGTTTTGCACGCATTCGGTAGCCCCTCGAAAATAGTTTTGAACTTAGACAGAGCTTCTCAGCCTCTTTCTTGCTCACCAAGTTCTATACCATACACCTTTTCCCATAGAGAGCTATTGTAGCTCATCGCGCCATGTGATATCCGATTTTTCCGTATACTATGACATGCATCGTGCATCTATCTGTAGACAGCAGAGGTACCCGTGTTACTGCTCCAATGCACACATGCGTTTCGGATCTTTCCAGCGTAGCGCCACAGTTTTGAGTTTTGATCTAAGCATGCCTTTCTATCATATGGAGCATATAATCGCCCCAAATCTTTTGTGAAAGATGTCAACATTACCTGAGGGCATGAGATTGGCAACGTCATATTGCAACACGCTAGACTCGTGTAGAGATTGCAGCGCGTCCGGCCCTCACTCGCGGGATATCAAGCTGTCCTACGGTGGCACGCCGTGAGAAAAGTGTAAAATCTACCCACCGTCTAGCCCCGACCGTAAACCACAGTCTACAAGGTTGACGCTGGCTGGTTCACCTATCTCAGGCCGAAACTAGACGCTTCCAGCACTGGTTTGCTTTATGAAGCCGGTTGTGGGAGCCGAGGTCTTCAGTTGTTGCTCCGCAAAAGATCGAGGGGTTTCAAAAAGGGTCGACTTTGCACCCGAGGCGTTTTGTCTCATTCGTTTTTCACAAGGTGTGCAACACTGCAAAATCAACCAATCACGACCGGTCAACACCTGGTAGGTATGCCTTCAAAAGAAGAGCGTTATCACTACCTCTAGTAGCTGCCCTTGTGGGTGTCTGTTGTACCTGTGGTGTGTGTTAGTGGGGCATTGCTCTGAGTTAGGGGGTAAGAGATTCCCAAAATCTCACTATTGAGGGCCCCGTCCTCTGTTGTGGTGTAGTGCCACTGCAGCAGTACATGGGGTTGGGAGTGTGACAAGAGATTTAAATACCACAATATCCGCAGTTACACCATTCGAGGTGCCACTATATCGGGCTGCTTACTGTAGATCGATTGCAAGATACGCTATAAGTGGTGTAGCAATGAGGTGAAGAGAAACAAAAAGGCGGCTTCGTGCAGGGAGAGAGAGAGAGAGCGTTGTGCCCCTGGTGGCTTCCACCGCCCCGCTCGGTAAAGCGATTCCAAGATACCGTGGTCCCAGTTTTGCGGTTCCCTGTTTAGCTGGACGACCTGAATAGCGGTTTCGATTAAGCTTGCTGTTGCGGGGTCTGCTTTTGGAGACGGTGCGAACATCTCTGGCCGAGCATGGCCATGGCTTAACTTTTTTCTGCAAGGTTTCTCGCGTGTTCATCATGATCGAGCATGGCAATTGCCCTATCCTTGTCTGCGAGCGTTTTTTGCGTGTTCTCGATCTTGTCCAGGTACGTTGGTTCTGTGGACGCAGCGCACCTGGGTAGCAGTAATTCACGGTGGGAAGCTGCCGTAGGATATGTATGCATGTCAAAGATGTGGTAGATTGGGGTTTCTATCTGCCTGGTTGGCATGTTGGCAGGAGAGAGAGAGAGATTGAGAGAGGGAAAGGCGATTTTTTACTGGTGGTGCACGTTCCGTCGGTATTGGACATATATAGAGAAAAGAGAGGAGGGGGAAATGTCCAATGCCGACAGCAACTGTAACACTCTTTGACGTGTTAGAGACCTCACAGCTGCCACAGACACAGCCGCTACAGAACAGTCACCACGCCAGCAATGAAGAGTGTTAGCAGCTGGTTGCTGCTACCGCAACAACAGCGACCCAGAGGAGAGAGTGAGAGAGAGAGAGAGAGAGAGAGAGAGAGAGAGAGAGAGAGAGAGAGCGTACGCCGCCCACCAGAGAGCCTCGAAGCTGATGATGCGACAGCTGATGACAGAGAGAGAGAGGGTGCGCCCCCCGGCTAAACAGAGAGTCTGGCAGCCGAATGAACCCTTTCAGACCAATACACACGCTTTCCCAAGCAGGTCTTTGTTCCTTGCCCTGCTGCTTATTTAGTTACGACGCAGCGCTGGGTTGGTCTGCTGAGTTTTAGAAGCGAGACTAGTTGTGGCTGTTGGAGAGTTTTTAATTTGGATCTTTTCTCACCCTCTGCATGATCTGTCGAGGCAGCGCCCGCCATTGTCCTGTGCTCTGCTCGCGACGGCTACTACTCCCATGCAGTGCGGGCTGCGGGCTCTCTGCATGCTAT